GAGGTGGGCCACTCGCTTGGGTGGGCCGCTCGCTTGTGGAGTACGTTACGCATTGTTATAGTCGCTCAAAGTCAAAGTACCCCTCATATTTTGCGGCACGGGGGGTTTTCCGTTACGCAGGGAGGGACGTTAGATGGGTTTATGAAAAGAACATTTTGACTTGATTATGGTCGCACGTGACTGTACGTTTGTACACGTGAAATTTTAAAGAACTGAAAGTAGTAACCCCACTTGTAGTGGAGCTCCCCCGATCTCTTCATAGAAGTGATGTTGAAATCACGGCTCAGCACTACAGAATACAGCCGTGTCTGGAAAAACTGGAAACACGGAGCAGGCAAGATTGTCGTCACATCGTTGGCTGTACGTAAACGCGGAAGGAGCCTGTGCCACAAGAGCAAGAAAAGCAAAAGCAGGTGCATTCAGCCGGCGCAAGTTCATCGTGATTGATCGGCCTTCCCACTCTAATACAGCAGCCTGATGTCCGTGATCCAAGATCCTGGGACCGTACGCGGAGTCAGTGATGGAAGGCGTGCTGCAGCGTGATAGCGCTGCATGTGTGACTCAAGAGCATTATGCTTATGCTCGGCCTAGGGATGTTGTGCGACTCTCCTCTCGGATGTCGCGATAAAGGTGCACGACAGATGATAGTGATCGCTGACTCATCTCCGGAAAGCGGGTAGGATGGGTGCCGGAATTTTGGTTCCGGCGAGCTTTGAGGATTGGACGGGAATGGCGCCGGTAGGTCTTGGGAGGAGAAAGGACTGGGAGGGTGGGAATGCGGCTCAAGTGCAGATGGTTCGACCTCGAGTCCACCTGACCATCACCGAGATAGACTAATATGCATGCACTAAGACATCCCTGTATAGCTGCATGCTTGTCGCTGTTTTAAGATGGGGAAAGGGATCGGACGGCTTAGCGGATAAAGCAAAAAAGGAGGGTGTTGGAGAAGCCAGACGATTGGTTGATGGAATTGATAGATGTTGGTTCGAACTGTTGGTAATTTTCGGCGACTTCCGATTTCCCGTAATGGAGGGCCTGCCGATCTGGGACGGATGCTGCATGTGGTATCGTCGAAGTAATGGGTGATACCTCGAAGGATGCATAGCTTGATCTGTAGTAGCCTTCGCAGATTTATAGATAATTAGTCGGAAAGGCACAGTACTAGGATATAAGATCGCGGACACTGTTGTAGTATCGCTTGAGCTCCCAACTATTCGAAAAGAATACAAACCTATTTCATTACAGGTCTAGACTTACCGGGCCACCTCAGCTGTGGTCGAGGGATGTGCACAGCCCGGACCGTGACCCGATGCCCAAGCTTTTGTGAGTACGTGGAAAACCCACGAGCGGTGTTGGAAAAGTGCAAGGAAGCTCTTGTCCCAGTATTGTAGTCGTCTCGATCGATCACGACGATTTGAGTTTGGGTGATTTAGGAAAGCGTAAGACTAACAACAAGATGCTTAATATAGCCGCAGCTCTGCGATAGATGAATTCTTCGATTGATGTGCTGAATACCAAATATACAATAGAACGTAACCAAACAATGTAAGAATAACTGGGTATTCGCAATGAGAACATCAAGACACCATGATACATGAATTCCGAAGGGGTGCGCCGCCGTGACAAAGTGAAAAGAGGCTAAAACGTGGAAGTTGGCGGAATTTGAGCGAACCCGCGAGAAGAATTGTTTCACGTTCTCTGCCGTACTGCCATATTGGTGGTTCCGAAATCCATGACCTTGGACGAATTTCCTGGATCAGACTTGTGGCGAGAACGGCCTCGTCTCTGCCTCTTACGTCCGTCTGGAGCAGGTGGAATGGGGGCTGGCCTGGCAGGTAGTACCGCAGGCGGCAGCTGTTCGACTGAGTCTTCTTCTATTGAATCCGGACCATATCTGACGTTGGCGAGATCTTTCGTGGCTAGATCGGTTCTCCACACATCAAGCGCCATATGCGCCCAATCCGGGATACGCTCTCCTTGTGATGCTTCACCAACACTCCGCTCCAGCTCATACATCTCCCATGGGGAGATTCTGAGCTTATGGAGAATCCACATGTTGATACGTTCACGTGTGCTTTTGAAATCACGTAGATAATCGCTAAGGGTAGACTGGCTACTTGGACCCTCGTCCAGGAGGAGCAAGTCTCGTCCGTCTCCCCAGAAATTGTCATCTTCCTCGAAAGCTGGCTCTCCTTCAGGGATAGTCACCAGGTCTCCAATACCTCGCAGATTGTCGGGCTGCGCCATTCGCCAGATATCTGGCGTTTGTAGATCAGGAGCCGTAAGTTCTAGAGGAATGCGATCTTCCCCGGCCATGCCTTTCGGCACGTCTTCCGCCGTAAGAACAGTACTACGGCGCTCAGTACTTCGACGCGGGATGTTGTGTAATCCTAACGACTCTTGTTTGCTGTGGGACAGCGAACTCTCATATTCGGGTTCTTGGGGCATTGCCTTGAACAAAGGCATCTGGCCGACTTTGACGCTATCGCCAAGATAGGCTCCGTTGAGCATGGCGGCGTTCCTTGGTTCGCCCTCTACCTCGCTCTTATGCGAACCTGTTTCGAAGGAAATGTCGGACATGTGTGTTGCTACCGTCGTAGTACCAGTTTGCAACTTGAAGAAGTGGTTGAATTTGCGTTGCAACTCTTCGTACTGCTCCTTCAAGGCAAACTCAGCGGCACCCAATCTACCCTCAATCTCCTCGTAGTCGTCTTCAGCCGGACCAACCAGGTCTCGGGATGATTGGGCTTTCTGGAAAAAGTGTTCCAATTTAGTGTCTGTGGAGGTAGTCCCACTGATCCATGATACACGTAGAGCATCCATAAAGATTCGGTCATTGTCAGAAACATTCTGCCGATGTATTCGCAATGCGGTTCTTTTCTCCTGAACTTGGACCCGAAGCCTGGTTATATCCTCCTGCATTTGCACAAATTTCGACAGATCCTCCATGAACCGATCATAAATTCTTTGGGCCCCAGGGTTCACTCGCGGCAATTCGGCATTATCACTGGAGATGATCATATTGTAGGTTATATCTAGAGGTTGGGGTGGACCCGGCGGGGGCGGTGGAGGAGGTGGAGCTTCGGTCATATTGACAGATTTGACAGATCCTTCGGTCTTGGTTGGTGTGGTTGGCGGTAGAAAGTCTGCTGGAGGCGGAGGCGGATGTGGAGGTGGAGGTGGATGTAAAGGTACGAGCTGTTCCTGGGAGGTCTCCATGTCTGTATCAATCGTTGGAAGGTCGTCGCCGATCAGCGGCTGTTCGTGCGCGTCATTCTGAAAACCTTCAGGGGCATGTGGCGGCAGGACCGTCGGTGGAGGAGGGATGGGATGGACGACGGAAGGGGGAGGAGGCGGGAATATGAGCGGTGGTAACGCGTCATGAGGAGGAGACGGTAATGCCGGGTCTTCCTTCACTGGTGGTTGTTTAGGCGTGGTGGGACGTGATTCTTCGCTGAAATATGGTTCAGCGAAATGAACCTTGGCCCGTGCTGGCTTTGGCTTTGGCCCCGTCGCGAAATCACGACCCCGCGGTATAGTGTCGTCGTCCCCAATCGTGTTCGAGTCTGAGCAGACATCTGACAGTGGAAGAGACGCTTGGAGAGACGCTTCAGGAAGGCTCTCCAGGAGTCGGTCCTCGGAAGACGGCGGGGCAGACGACTTGACGTCTTCGAGGGCGGACAATTCGAACGACACGGGACGGTCGGCCTCCATCTAAAAAGCACGGGAATCAGGAGAGGCAAAACAACTATTGGCGATTGCTTACGGCTTTCAAAGACGCGGCGGACGTTGACATCTGAGAGTCCATCCACATCCCATATTCGAGCTGCACAGCCGGACGTGGAGCAAACGCAACGGCCGCAGGAAAACGGGGAAGAGGCCAGCGAATCGGCCAGCAAGAGCACGGAATGAAGAGCAAACGGCGAGAGAGAGAAAGCGACACGTTGCGGGCAGAGCGCAACGGCGGACGGCGAGCCTCACATCGTGGTGGTGAGCGGCACACTGCCTCATATTCCAGGGCTGACGCGCCAGGGAGCTTTCGCGCGGTATGCGGGATAGCGGCGGGAGCTTGATACGACGGATTGGGGCCGGAACAGGGGCCAATATCGCGGGCTCGGCTACGGCGACAAATGGCCAAGCGTCGATAGCTGTAACGAAACCACATGCACGCTGTGCTGTCAGGCCGCTTACCCTACTTATTACCGTGAGTGCCCCTCACTCTGCCTAGATGCTATGCGGCTCTTTGGGCGCCCGCTGTATTTGACTGCCTTCGTTCCGGCCCAAAGGTCGCTGGCTGCCCCCAGGACATCCCCGCTGCTGGATGATCCGCCCCTCGTTTGGCCAACCATCATGTAAATATGTCTTCGGGCGCCTACTCCGCGTGGGTCTGGTCTCCAGAGCACCAGCGTCACTACTGTTACCGCTATGTGAACAACCAGATCGAGTACCAGTGGTCAGGCCTCCCAGCTGCCCAAGCAGCACAAGCGCAAGCAGCCGCGACAACATCGTTACCGCAGACAGCGCATGCAACGAGGTCAGTGACAGTTTCTGTAATAGCCACTATGTTTCCAAAGGGAGCCTTGTTATGGATTGGAGTACTAGCTCTGGCAGTTACTTTGTTTATGTAGGCCGTCGGAAGGGCTCGTTGCTTTGGTCTCTTTAGTAGCCTCGCCGTCTTAGCAATGAAACTGCTCAACGTTCAAACCTACCTCCTTCCACTCGCAAGTTCTTGCACTGACTTCAATTATACAGTGCTACACCTCGCTCAGTGCCGCCAATAGACTCAGCAGCTGCATCCTCAAGAGTAGCCACAGCCTCGAGAACAATTACATCCTCAAGAACAAATCAACAACCAAAGAAAGAGGCGCCTGTAGTGGAAGAGGAGGAAGACGACGGCGAAGATGAAGACGATGATGCCGATGACGCCGATGACGCCGAGGGTAGTGGAGATGATGAAGAGGAAAAGCCCAAGCCTCAAGCGTCACCGCCGACGTACAGGCCCGCCGCAACCACAACAACGCAGCCAGGTCGGTCTCAAAGCTACCAGTATGGGACCGGGCAGTCTCATAGCTATCCATACGGAGGTGCCCAGTCCACCGCTGCTACTTATGCGTCCTCTGTAAATACCTACGTCGCGCCCGCTTCGGCTCCCACTTCGCCCCAGTACACTACCAAACGCCCTTACACAAGTGTTTCTCAGTCGAGTGTAACACAACAGCCGCAGAATCCTTCTACTGGAGATCCAGCCCGTCGGCACATCAAGACAAGCTTCGCGCAGAACGTCGAGTCCAAGGAAGACAGCCTTGATCCTCGTATGTGGTTTCCGTACTCATTACTTGCCGTGACTGACCGTATCAGGCTACAGAAGAGTTTCCGCTCGGCATATACCACAGTTTTTCTGCAGAGGAAGGGTCTTCAAAATGCTTTGGACTGAGCCCGCTGGCGTCACTCCAGGGAAAACTCGCGGTTCTACTCATTTCAGTCTGATTAGGTTCAATGAAACAGCATACTCCGAAATTCGTCGGTTCATTGTTATAAGTAACAAGGGACAGTACAGTCAGTGCATGTAAGTTTGGGAATAGGCTCCTGGCCCGTCGTTATAATCATGTCAAAGATTAGCTTGCTGCCACTTCATCCATCCAACGCAGATCAGAGTTTGGGGCTAACCGTCCTAGACCTATCCAGACATACCGTGGGCAAGGTACTCGTAAGCATGGTATCGTTGTCGAGGATCACTCGTTGATCTATACTGGCGACGAGGATGACGAACCGCCCGAACTCCTTCCAGGCGAACGGATCACAAAACAACCGCTACGGGTAGAGCCAACGGGCTCGGAAACTCTCGAGTCTGCCTCTCGAGTGAACTTTGGTAAGGTGTACACTGTGGAACACAACGTCAAAGTGTTGGACATTGGCGTTGTTTGTCCACAGCACATATACCTCTTGGTGAACTACTTCACCGACGCTTTGACCTCAGTGTAGAGGACGCGATTGGGGAAGCCGGGGAGCGGTCGACTTTGAGATGCTTGACGCGCCACACACTAAGCAACATACGCTTAGTCGGTTTGTCTCGCAGGACCCGTTTACACACTCCGATGTGTGCCATCATATACGGGCGTCACCTGCTTCGTGTTACTCGCGATAGTGGGTGGCGTTGCCATGTCTTTTCTGCTTCGCATTTTTTATCCCTATGACGAATTTCTCTTTATACGGCCATATCCTTCATTTGCTCCAACTTTCTCCTTTAGCTTGCCCTAATTCTAGTCCCATGATATGTCTGAGTAATGCTCTTGGCGACGAATTTATTCTCGACATGTCGACGGCGTTAGATAGCTCTTCAAGCGTAATCCAATCAGACTCTTGATGCTTCTTATCTTTCGGAAAGAAACGGCGGCCCCAGCTGCACTATGACACCGGAGCCATGATACGGATTATGGGTTTAGTGTGGTTCTGGGTGTCTGGGTCCCGAGTTGACGGCCCGAGGCACGTGCCGCTACCCCACTACGGCCCGCTAGATCGAGACTAGTCGATCGCACCCACGTTTTAACCGGCGTAACGGCGCACCTCAAATTTGACTTTCCGCCCAACGCAACTCATCAGGAGTTCATCACGTCTTCCATCCCACGTTCATCACTCTTGTCCTTGAATATAAAGAATCTTGCTACCTGCTCTCACGCATGTTCTTTTTGCCCTTCTTCCTCAGCCTAATTGAACGCGGCTTGACCGGTACTGCTGTGTTTAGTCCACGAAGAGATGAGGTGCGTATCTCCATACAAGCCGGGCAACATGCAACATCGATGGTCGCAAGCCCTACCCGACCCAACGGAATCCCCTGCCACTAGCGTTGCATAAACTTGTTGCTGTTTTAACAGCTTGCCTTACTAAGGAAAATAAGGCGACGAACGAGGCTGAGGCTGATAGTAAGAAGGCATAGGTTCGGGGATCCGAACGGCCGAAGGAACAGATGCAGTATCCGGCGTGAGCTTTCTCATACTCTTGCGGTCAGAGAATACGGCTAGGCTGTCGCGTTGTTTCGGATACCGGCTGTTCGACTCCGCTGATAGTATGAAGATGATAGTGGTGAATGGTGCTATTGCTTAGCAGGCATCGATACTCGGGGCCCTTGGTCGGTAATGTTACTGCTGATGGATTCGCGGAGGCGGTAACGGGCTGTCATTTGGTATGTCTGCTTATCTTAGGAAAGAGGTCATCGCTGAATAGAAATCGTTCACCGATGAGACGCAAGTCCGAAAGCTTCCTTCGCCAAGGCTCCGTACATGAACCCTCGTGAGAGAACCACGTGACTAAAGAGACTAAAGAAATACCCCCACGAAGGAATCCTTCCAAGAATTCACTTATCGAAAGGCCACACTAGAAGATGATCCCATTAAAAGTGCCAGGAATTCCTTTGATTCATCTAGTATCATATCAAGCAAAAGAAAACGTGGACTAAACGACCGTAGACCAACCCAAACCAGCTCGAGAAATCTCAAATTACATAAATCGTAATCGCGTACAGCAGTAGAAAACAAATACCTCAAACACTACTCGATAAAAGGATAGTAGGCGCATCGTATTGATAGTCATGCGTTTAGGACATAGAGGAGACTCGACGAAAGAAAATCATTACCAGACATTTGGATTCCATCAAAGGACGTTTGGGCGTTTCACGAGTATGTTTCGCGAGCTGGGCCAAACGACCTGCGGAAAACAGCGTATCATCTGAGCTACATGTCGCTCATGAAACCCATCATCCGGTCCTACTTTTTACTCCCTCCCCAGATACTGTGCCTTCTTGCTTGCTTCGGTTTCGCATTTGAGCTAGATGGTCTTCTCTCTCTTCCTTGTACCGTCCTGCCGACTTCGGCGACTCTTGTTCCGCTTGTCGGATATGTTGGAAGCTGAGCTTGTCTGCTGGCTGGCTTTTCGGTATCATTGCCTGAATCATCTTCTTGTCTTTGGTCATACTCGAAATCTTGGACTTGGTCGATTTGTGGAGCTACTTGAACATTTAGCTCGGTGTTTGCTAAAGACAACGTGTTCTCGTAGACCATGGACTCATCCGTATGGCTAGATGTGTCGATAGGAGAGCATCTATCGGAAGAAGACTCCGCGGGCCATGCCTGATGGGTTCGGTCAGCCTCGCCCATCCCGAATTGGCTACGCATCGACCCTTGCGGTGGTGCGTTGGGAGAGCGTAGACTCTGAAGGTGGTCTACGCGTGATTGCGCGTATGGTGAGGGCGTTGTCGAACCACCATATTGGTTTACGGCTTGCTGCTGAAGCGCTGGGGCACGCTGGTCCTGATATGCTAACGGGGATTTATATCCTGGATGGTCCGCACCACCAATCGTTTGGAATCTGGGCGCCGAACTCGGCGGCGTCTCGGCGATTCCCCAGGCCTCTTTATACTGGTGTACCAACTTCACCATCGACTCTTTGGCAACTTTACCGAAATCGTAGACTTTTACGTTATGCTCCACGGTATAGATCTTCTGGAAGTTGACTCGCGAAAGTGGATCCAGTTTTTCCCATGGGTTGGTGGCAACTACACGAATTGAGTCACCCATTGGAAGCTCCGAGGGGCTTTGAGGTAATTCTTCTGGCTTGGGAGCTGGTGGTCCATGGTCACCCGTATAGATGATAGCGTGGTGGCTCTTCTTCTTTACAGCCGACACGCCTCTTCTAGAGTACGTCTGTATCGGCCTTGAAAGGATTTCAGCATTCCCCATTATAAAATCAAAGGCACCGAGGTTACTCACAAACAATGACAGCAATTATGGCCTAGTCTAACGACAACGAACCAACGGATTTTCACATAAATCTCCTGATTGAATCTAGGATCTCGGGCAAGCTGCTGAACAGATATCGTCGGGGGAGCGGTTCCTTCTCCCACCATCTCTGGCCAAAGAACCTTGAAGACCTTTCAAAATGTTAACGAAAGTCTTTCTTCGAATATCCAGTGCAGTTATTCGACTTACTCGACCAATCTCAAAGAACGGAGCTGCGGGACGCCGTACCATAAAACCTGAAGTCGTTGAGTCACAATTTAGAAGCATGGATTCGGGCCATATCTTACTTGGATCTAGTTTTTCTCGATTGCCTTGTGTCCCTTTGATCCTCTTAAGTGGACGTACTTGCGGCTCCAGCCCATCTTGCTCTTGAAGGTTGTATCCCAAGTTCATCTCCGTGGTCGTCTTAGATACCTCAGACGTGAAACAAGGGTCAGCTCCTCTAAGGATAGAAGGTGAATATGTTGGGTAATTATACTGAGGAACAGATATAGAGTGGCCTGCGGTGGAGCTTGAACGTTGGTACATGTTGGATGTGACTGACTGAGAAAAATGCCCAGGTGCGTCGGCAGTAGCGGATTGCGGTATACTTATTGAAAAGGAGTGAGGCGCATTTTGATGAGAGACCAACACACTCGAATGTCCTCCAGATGTTAGTCTGTTGGTTTGTGAGAGGGGCGTGAGATATCCCTGGCCGCGTTGAAGTGGAGGAGCTTGATTGGACATAGAACTCTGTGCGTGTAACCTATGATTTTCATTTCTATCGCCGTGCGCTGGCACACCATTCTCGACTCTGGTATGTGGAAAGTTATACCCGCTGCTTTGTCCTTGGACATTTAGCATGTTCATGGCTTGATTCAATCCACTGGAGGCATTCTCGGAAATGGAGTCAGGCACTTGACCAGGCGAGAGCGGATGGTTATGCGATATGCGTCCCACACCGTGTGAGATTTGTTCTGGACTGTTTTTGCAGTTTTGTATCAGCCTAAGACACAAGAGCTGGGAATGAAATAACCTCGGGGAGAGCCACTTACAGATTTGCGTTGAAGCTTGTATTAGCTCTAGCTAGAGTCCTAGCTTGATTCGGTGGAAGACTGACGATGCGTCCAGATGCAAACACCCAGGAATTTCTCACCGAATCGTATCTGTAATACTCTCCGCAGGTTTGGTCGTACCCATCCCACAGCGCGTGTTGTCGCCCGGGAGGTTCTGCCATCCCCAGCACCTACATAGCATTCGGAGTATCGCACGGACTCCAAGGCGAACGAGCCCTTTTAGTGGCAGTTGAGTGAGGCTCAGCGTATTTTACTCGTTCTAATGGGCATTTCAATTGCGTTGCACTAGTTGTTTTTATGACAGCTCGCCATTCTGCCGGGTCTGCACGAAAGCATGTTTTCAGCCTGCTGCCGCGGTTCGTGCATATCAAACTAGCGAAATAAGCCCCGTGCATAGCGGGCGTGTCATCTAACAAGGATTGTATCGGAAGGCAAATGCATGAAAATGGCAGGGCTGGCGGGATCACTCAAAGCTGTCCTTCACCCCAAGGTTCCTCGTATGCCTTTCCCGACTAGATTGCCGCCTACTACCCGCTCTTAGGACTCTTATGGACCTGAAGGGAAAGCAGCCGACCGGTAATGAAACAACCCCGGCCGGTATTGATGCCGTTGCATTTCAGCGCCCGTAAGTTCAGAGTCGTTTTCAAAGCCAAAGATACACACTTCTCAATCAGTTCACAGGACCTCGTCAGGCGACGACATACCTCCTCCTTATGTCGAGACGCCCAGCACTCCAGCTTATCAGCATGATATTGCTTCGCCCTCCAGCCTTGAAACTAGGGGGCGTACGCCACCATTGGAGAGATTGGCCGATGATACCCCAAGAGTATTCAATCAGGCCTCAGCCTCGTTCCAAGAAGTTTCGGCCCCCCCTCGCCAGCCGTTATACCAACAATTCTCAAATGGTGATAAGCTTCAAGGACGCTCCCCTAGACCGGCGGAGAATCAAATTATCCCCCAGGAGGCGAGGATATCGGGGCAGACCATGCCCTACAACATCTTAACGAGTAAGAGATGGATTGCATCGCAGCGACGCGTAGCCCGATCAAGGGACAAGGTGCTCACAACACGTGTCCGCGTGAGAAAGCAAAGGAATAGATATGTGCAGCATATGCAACATTCTCAACTTCTTGGGCGGAAGCTGGCGGCGAGTTTCAGTGCAGCGTTGGATGGCTTTCGGACACGACAGGACCAACACACACTCGAACAAATTGTGTCTGGACTCGAAAGCGGATGCCAGGAGTTCAACGGGTCTATGGGGGAATCGGAAGTGCAGAGAGAAGAAACATACGCTATCGAAGATCAGCTTTCAATCTTGGAATATCGATACGGCAAGAAAGAGGACAGCTTATCTCATCAGGTCGAGAGTGCATTGGCGGGCGAAGACACGGGATATGAGACCACAGACACATCTTCGGAAGGCCTTTCCATAATCTCAAGCCATGACTCTGCTCCAGTGGACTTCCCGCCGCGGCTCAAGGAATACTATTCTAGGATAGGAGATCGTAAGATCCAAGAGGACCGCTTGAACAATTTCAAGATCGAACTCCAACAGGAACTCGACATGCGCGAAACCCTTCGTGGAGAAGGCAAAGACGTCAACACTGATGAGGAGTTCTTCAGCGAAAGACTACTAGAACAGATCCAGATTGAAACTGAGCTTGCTGAGGCACGTTCAGATGTCCGACGTCTCCGGCAACTATGCCTAGAGGAAGGCATATATATCGAAAACGTGTTCGACATTGACGACGACGACGAAGCACTTTCCGACGCTCAATCCGAGGCCTTCTCCACGCCGATGGAAATGGAGCAATCTACCAATGAACTCTATCCTCCAGCACTATCTCGATCGTATGGAAGCGTCTCTCCAGGTGGAAGTCTTATTTCTGGCTTTCTAAATACTCGCGACCGCGTCAGAAAGTGGCTGATTGACGATGCCGTGAACGAGAAATTCCTTAGTGCACCGACAAGCGACATACTATCCAGAGATCACAAATGGGTCAAATTGGTACCGGCATCTTGCTCCCCGATTGAGCCGCCACAAGGCTTCGAGCACACGTTCCAACCACCCGATCCTATCCGCAACGCGCAGACGCAACTTTCTCACTCAGCTCCGCACATAAGAGCCTCATCCAGCGAAACCACCGGCCGCTCTCCACGAAGACGTGCATACAGTGCTGCAGGAGCGTTGCAGCATCAATGATGCCACCAGCATGCTCCGTCACTACAATGCCCTTCTTTCAGCTAGGCGCCTCGATCTTCCCGTCTCCTGTTCTATCCAATGACGTTCCTATGTTCATTCCGGGGTTGTTGGTGTGGCGCATCTTGCATTTCAGCTCTCAGAGATAAGGCAACATGTTGATAGATATGGGTTTCTCGTTTGTAAGATTTAGATGACCCGGTTACGAAGTCGCTTCTGCCTTTCTTTTCCTGCTTCTATGTCGTTAACTGAAGCATGATACCCCCCTTTTCTGAAACCTGTTCGGTCTTTTTCGTATACTCTTCGCGAACTGCCTCTTCCGTAGTCTAACTTCCGCTGGCGCTGATCTCCTCAAGATCCCACTTTTGCACAGTGCTCGTGGCTTAGAATTCGATATCAGTGATATTAAGCCGGCCATATCTTGGATATTAGTGGGTGAGCATGCCTCTAACTTTGTTGGTCGCCGGTGAGAGCTGTCCAATGAACACCAAGCGTTCCCGATCCGTGGATCCTGATCCTTGCCCTATCCGTATGTCCGTGTCCGTGCGGGGGGTGTGCATCCTCTTGAGAATCAATCCTCACCCTATGGAATAGTGAGGCTGCAGAGGCAGATGATTATACAGCTTGCACAGCCCGCCTGAGGATCGAGGCAGGGAATACCAAGTTTCGTCCCACACCTTTTCGGCCAGTGATCAAGTGTTCGCTCTCAGTTTCATTTTGATGTCGCTCCATTTCACTCTTTCGGTCCAGTCCCTACTCGCTAGGTAGCAGATGGTAGACCGTGGACCCCACGGCGGAACAAGCAAAATGTCTCGATTATGGTGGTAGGTGGCACGACTCATTTGACACTGCTTCTAAGCCACCTCGCTCGACCCCGCAGCCCTGTGGGGGTGATTGACTAATACCCAGCTGTATCTAACACGACTATTTTGGCTAGTTTCCTCACAAGCATAACCCAGCAAGCGCAGCGGCGTGGCGCCATGGGCCAGCCCGGCGGCGCGGGACGAATCGTGGGCAGAGTGGGTCTCTCCCGAGCATAAAAACGCACGGACTGGGCTGTGAATGTGAAAGTCTTCCGATTTTAGAGTGGCATGTCAACAGGAAGGCAACCAACGTCGTGTTGTCGATTTCGGTTGACGTGACATTTGTACGCTGTGAAGCGTCGGACTTGGAGAACACACCCGCAAGGCGGCAGAGCACACGGCGTAGCAAACGAGCTCAGCTTGCCCCTATGCAGCTTCCCGAGTCCTTCACTGTGCTCACCCCCATGATTCGTGCGAAATAGCCCACGTGGGAGGCCTAATCCCACTTCTCCTTCAAACGTGCACTGCCCGCGGGCCTGACTTTGAGATGTGGAAATCATGGGTTGGTGCTCCGTAAGATCCTGGATGACTCCTAGACGGCATCTCCGTTGTGATGTTTGCCTAAAGCGGCCCGAGCATGACCGGTTACGAATGCAGGTGCTGCAGTGCTGATGCACGAGAAGATGCACGGTGGATCAATGCGCAGCTTTCCCCGCGATTTAATGGAGTCACGTCTCCGTGCCGATCAGTCATGAGCGTGACTGGTCCGTATACGCGCTGCTCTCGAATTTTGGTAAGGCCGAGTGGTATCCAGAGCCTCCAAGACTGATATGCCGAAACTTGAGCTGCTCTCTGGCTGATTCGAGCGAAGTCGATTGGATGACGAACTTAGTACCTAATAGCTTCAATACCCAATGACCTACAGTCCTCCCACTCTTGAAGCAGCCAAGCTTTAAGGCAAGCGTTTTCGACAAGCACGCGAGAAAGGCTATCCTCCAATATCGCGTAAGGGGTGGTAAGTTGGACGAGGCCAGAAGCCACCCAATGAAGTGTATGCGCCCTGCTGCCGCTTTGAAAGATCAAGCTACATGAGCCGAGTTGAGAGAAACCGACTTTGTAATTTACGCGTATGGGAAGCGGTCTAAAGAAGTCATTACAAAATACAGGTTATGGATGTACGTGTGAATTGAAAAAAACAAAGTAGATCAGATAAACGATCGGGGGTACGGACTAGCAATACCTGAGTGTCGAACACGAAATCTAAGGGAAGGTCCCTTGGTCCCAAAGTTCTCTTTCATCCTCCAGTACCGGATACCCGAAATCGACGCTCTGCAAATAAATTCTGCCCAACTGCTAGTAAGAACGTTTCGAGCTCTGTATCAATGAGACCTCTAAACGCACATGCTTCCATTCAAAGCAAATATGACACAAACATGATAATCGCGCGATATAGGATTCAGACTTGCTCGAGCCATGGGAAGATCTCGTTGAAGTTGAAGGAATGACGACCACAAGCCAGGCAACGTAACAACGTCGTATATCGCTCACTTCTCTCCTCAAGAGCGCGGTGATTTTTTGTTCTTGTGACGATCAGGTCCTCCATCGGGTCCTTCGGGAGGCAATTTCTTGGGAACTGGTAGGCTATTTGATTGGGGGTATATGCTCCCAGTGTTGCTTTCGCTACGTGATCTTCGATGTGGTGAAGGCGGCAGCTCTCCTCTAGAGGATCTCCGTACTTCTTGTGACTCGCCACTTTCGTTCATCGGCGAGGCGGATCTTGACAATTCTAACGTGCGAGAAGAGGTAGAAACTACCGTGAGCGGTGGACTGGGCACTGAGGGTCCATTCAGTGTATATGTCCACGGCTGGTGGCTGTTTCCGAAAGGCTCAGCGGTCGCTGGTGGAGGGGTTCTCATATATTCTGCTCGTCTGAAAGGGTCACTGAACGGCAGGTTTAAAGTCGCAAAAGATTTGAACTCATTTACATCAATTTTGATGTCTCCAATATCCCCTGGGTCTGATCGAGGCCGGTCATCGGTTTTTTCAGGCTGGATACGGAGCTTCTGGGTCTGTTCATTTGGGGGTTCAAGGTAAATCGGGTCAAGATTTAGCGTAGGCTTAGATTTGCCATCTACTTCCTGCGAGTCTAAGCGCGGAGAAGGAAGAGCTGGTGTGGTATTAGGTTCTTGGTTGACTTGAGACATATCCAGCAGAGTTACCTGCAAGGGATGAGATAAGGACGGAGTCGGAGTTTCTTCATGTGTCGGAGATGGCACGCATTGATCTTCTCGTGTCAGTGTAGGGGGCTCCGTTTCCTCTTGATTGCTGGGACGAGCATTTCTATAGAGACTATCGGTATCGCCGGAGCTTCCCGCGGAATCCGGAAGTGTTTCATTCGACTTTATCTGGGGTGGTGTAGGAGCAAGCTTAACAATGGCAGGCGGCCTCGAAGTGGCTTCTGTGTGTTTCGAACTCGAAGAAGGGCTCGGCCTTTCTCTGCCTGCGGCTGTAGATCCATTTTCTTCGGCACTCACGTGCGACACCTGACTATCTCTTCCACTCCGGGCGACGGAACTGCCAGAGGTTTCATCATTCCAACGCTGAATCATTATCTGCCAAAAGGAGGACTCGTCAAGGTCCTCATTGTATAAGCCAGAGAGGAAAGCCTTGAAGCGAGCTTTCTCAAGTGAAGATGCGTCCATAGTATCAAGTAGCCACTGACCGACTCTTCTTCTGTTGCTTGGATTTTCGTCCCCATACATAGCTAGGTTGCTTTCAGTCTTCGCCCGTGATATTGTCTCAATGTTTGCAGTTGGTAAAGGCATCGTAGACGATCCCGAAGGATCCGAGGCTCGGCGACCAATGATAAGGGAAGGGCGACTGCTACTCAGCAGCTCTTGCTTCAGATTTCTTTCTTTGACATCGACAGCAACGAGCTTCTCGATGACCACGCTTGCTTGCCGTTGAATTCCGTCCTTTTCCTTCTCTATTTCCGGGGGTGTCGAAAAGTCGGCGATTATCCGTAGTTTATGGTCATCCATGAGAAACATCTCTTGCTCCCGGAGGCCGTTGAACTGATCTTCGAGCTGGCGCTTCTCCATCGCAGTAGTGATAAGGTCGCGGGTAAGTCTCTCTGTGATATCTTCAGCAGCTGGTTGAGAGATGGCATGTGGCGTAGTAGGCCCGCTGTCCGAGAACTCGCTGTTACCGTTCTCATCGCTATCTTCTGGGAAGGAATCCAGCATGTCATACTGATAAAAGTCGTCTTCCTTTTCGATGAAGCGCCACTCTGAGGCACTGAATACTTTCTGGGCTTCGGAATAGTCGTCTTCAAGTTTTCCAATGATATCTCGTGCTGCTTGAACCTTCAGGTATTTTTCGTGGAGATCCGGCGGCAGATATATGCCTTGTTGCTCGCAAAATTGCCTGAGGCTAGTCATAAACGAAGCCTCGTCATTCCCAGCTCTCTCTCGATATAAACGAATGGCCTCCAGTATGCCCCGAAGATCCACTCGCTCGATAACTAACCCTTCCCTTGACTTTGCGAGCTGTTTGTGTAGGTTTTGGACATTCTCTAAATGTCGGCGGTAATGTCGGCGGGCAGCCTTCGAACGGCGTACTTGACCTCGACGGGAGATGGGAGGGTCATGCGACTGCCTCGCTGGACCTGCAGTCAAGTCTTGTTCTGTCGACATCGTAGGTCCAAGGCTGGTAAATTGATAGCCGGTGATTCTTTGAGATTAGTTTGTTGCCATCTTGCTCAAAGGATTTCGGATACGCTGGGACGAATGATCAGGAACGGTGGCCGATTGCGTTTGAAAAGTAAAACAGTAGTTGTTCGACGCGTGCCTCCCTTCATAGCATTCTAGCAACACTCATCAGCCACAAAGAGAGGAATACGTGGATATATGTGACAGGTTGCGGCGTACGGCATGATAGTGTCCAACGTCGGCTGAATGCAGCTTCAAGCATCAAACGGTGGTGGTCCTAGGACCTTTGAAACTGGCACATCCGGGACTCTAATCCAGGAGGCGCGTATGGCATTCTCGTCCTCACATACCTAGCCTCTAGCGCCGGGGCTGCGGCTCAATAATAATACGATATATTGTAAAAAGGCAATTACAAGGGATTAGACTTGCGGCAAGGGCGAAACGGAGGGGGCACGCCACGCAGCGCACACCCAGCGCCCCGGAGCAGTGCACCCACCGTGATTCATGGATCGTGATCGGTGAGAAGACAACCGGCCCCATTTGCTGCGCTAAAAGCGGCGAGAAGGCGCCGGCCCGTGTGGACCCATCCCTGTCGACGCAGGTAGCTCCCTTGCAAACCACCGACATCCCCCCGGACCTCAGCATGTGCTCGATGTGCGAAATGGCGGGGAAGCCGTGTCCACAGTGCACCGCTGGCAAAAATGACGCTTGATCAAATGCAGGTGCAGAGCCTCAATCGTAGTGAAGGGGCGTATATATAGGTCTTGCGTTCGCCGTCAAATGATGGGATGAAGCAGCAATCCGGTAGTCATGGCTGACCCGAATCAGTGGAACTGGAGCCCCCAGTACCAAAAGTATTACCGCGTTACATTCGACTCAGATGGTAGGACTGACTGTCCGATTGAGTCTGACCAGAGCAGGCAAACACGCTGACCTTTTTTACAGGCCAGCCAGTGTACCATTGGTCGACAGCTACACCTCAGCGAACGCCAAAGTAAGTGTTCTCGGAAGCCTCATAGAGGCTGGGGTAAGTAAGCTGGAATGGGCTGACGTGTAGTAGTAGACGTAACACAGGCGATTCTTGGAATGACTCTGCATTGGGTGGCAGCCCCCCATCAGCATCGCAGGACTCTCCGACGTCGACCTATCCCTCATACCCACAATATGGGCAGCAATCTTTGGATCCCAGCTCTGCTCACGCATACCCGCAAGACCTTGAGAATCAGACGTCGAAAAATGATACTACCTCCAACCCAGGATTAGGACGCAACCCAGCGTATCTGACATCGACTTCTGCTTATTCGACGGCTACCCCTGCATACTCACAGACCGCTGGGTATCCCGCATCGACTAGCAATGCTTCATCAAACCTTCCTGGGCAGGCACCAAGACCTGATGTCTCAGTCCCGGCACCATTGCCTACTCCTGGTGAGCCAAGTCTTCGTTGGTATCTGGTCTAAGAAGCAAACGAGCTCAGGGACTGACTAATTATTTTAGATGAAGGCAAATTGCACATCCGAGGGAATCTTTCTCTTGGTACAGCGGAACCGCTTGACCCAAGTATGTTTGGTTCTATCAAATCCGCACTTTTGCTGACTCTTACTAGGCTACCGTTTGAGAACCAATGCCGGCCAGTTCTTCAGGAAAGGGAGGGTAATTGCTATTTCAATGATTACTTGACGCCGCTTATAATTTCTTTAGATGTTTTCGGTACTGTTTACCGAAAGTTACGGCGAAACCCCTCCTAGACCAGACAATGAAAACGCCAGCGTGGTAGGAAATCGCGCAGTTCGAAAAGATCCGAACATCAGCGTTGTGAAGCACAACGAGTTAGTGTACTCGCAGATTCGCCGCTTTATATCTGTTGATAACAAACACGGGTTTTGCTACGCCTGGTGAGTGTCGGAATTCCAAAAGAAACTCTGCATACAAAGGTAGGATGATGAGACTGACCTGATAGCCCAATATTCACGTACGGAGGGCAAGGCACGCTAAAGAGGGGCTGTAGACCCGAAGACCACTCCATCGTCTACTATGCTGGACTTCAGATGCCCACGCCCCTTCCAGGAGAAATCAGAATCACGAAGCCTCCTATTGGGGTTATACCCACAGCGAACGATACTTCACTCACACAAATGGACGTTGCTTCGCGCCTCAACTTCGGAAAGGCTTACTTGATAGAATACAACGTGAAGGTGAAGGATCACGGGAAAGTCCGCGCCGAAGACATGGACACTCTGATCTATCACTATAAGAAGGAGCTGAACGGGTAGTGATGAATCGTACTAGGAGTCTGAGTCAAGAACTCGGAGATCGAACAATACGTTGAACCTCGACATGGTTCTCAATTCCTTAGCGTTACGAACCTGTTACGAAACCCATTACGTCTGCCTTTGTGGCTATACTCTAGCCACGAAGCTTGTCCTTTTGCCCCTCGGCCTCTCCTTACTTGGAATTTGGACGGTTTTCATTCTTGCGGCGTATCACATCCACGGTATCTTACCAAACGCGACGTATGATTATGATCATAGTCATGGTCATGAAGATTCCGGTCTACTTCAGGATTATGGAAGGCGATTCTCAACAATCGCTGGCAGCTCATCTTTAGTTCTTCTGTCGGTCGTATTTAGCAAATCCTCTGATTACTTCCTCGGCGGACTTCGTTGCCGGCTCTGACTTCCATGATGAATAACCTGAAATCATGATTGGTAGCAACTAGTGCCCGCGCAGTTGGATCCCCGATACTCATTCGGTACCGCCACGCATTTGCCAAGCTTGATCGATCAGCACCATGCCAACGTCCTAGAGAGTTTTCGACAAGCTGAAGCCCAATATTCGCTCCTCATAAGCAATTTGCAAATCATAGTCGATGGCGTCAATGCCTGCTGGCTTGAGCTAACCGCCTCGGATCGGTGCAAGCCGGGGCCTAGGGTGATATGCAGCACCACCCCTCACATGCAGCACACGTATCGAAAGTGGGGGAGATTAGCCAATTCTTCCTGCAATGCAGGCTTCTGGTGCTCGTGATCCTTTTAGACAGCTTCCAGCTGAGCATACGCAGAGCCGCATGGAGTCAAGGGGTGCGGCCAGCGTATAAACCATTCGGCGTCCGAACCTGTGCAGCATGAAGATCGTAACAAGCTACTCATTTCGACTCGTACGGAACCATGGCATCCGGAAATATCGTGTGGACCTGGAGCGAATCATACAAGAACCACTTTTACATCACCTACGATTCCCAAGGTATTGCGACAAGCTCTTACATCACCGCGATATCCACTGACACGACCAAGGGAATCCTTCGTATGTCTGGGCCACCACTGATCAGAGACGCGACTCAGGCCGTAAGTTAGGTCATTTTGCCCAATTGAACACTACCTGCATCCATTCAGTAGCTCCTTATACGTAGTAAGCTAACGCATGATTGGTGGATGCAGAGTTTGAGACAGGAAACCACATCCATGGGACGGACGGCGAATATGAGCAATTGGATCCGAGTAAAGCCGATGACTGACAGATGGAAGCCGAACGTTGCTAACGTTTCCAGGCTACACGGTCAGACAGGATGCCCGGACATTTTTCCGCAGGGGAAGGGTAGGTCTTTTGCTGAAGTGAGATGAGTCCCTACTGATTACCGCGCACAGTTGTTCTCCGTTCTTTTCAGTGAAGGCATGGGAGAAACCGCGAGGATGCAGGACAGGGACTGTGTCACCGTGGTGAAATATGGCGGCAAGGTGTTTACTCAGATACGACGATTTGGTAAGAAAAGCAAGCTTTTCCACCAATGCTCTCAACTAAGCCGAGTGTTAGTCGTCGTGGGTGAGAAGAAAGGTTTTTCCTATGGCTGGTAAGCTAGTATCCTCGCTTTCGCATCTATCTGCTTCTGATCGATTCAGCCCCATATATACATATAAGGATCGCGCGACTACCAAACCTGGATGTCGACCTTCTGAGCATGCGGTTGTCTACTATAGCACGCTGCAATCACCCACACTTCTCCCAGGTGAGACAGATTTGGTCAAAAAGCCTATCGGCGTCAAGCCGTCGGATCCGAACCAACAGCCCATGAATACCGCATCCCGTATACGGTTCGGCAAAGTCTACCCCATAGACTGGAACGTCAAAGTCAAAGATCTTGGGAAAGTGATTGATGAAGATATGGAGCGGCTGCTCGCCTACTACACCAAGGAACTCACTGGGTAATTGATGACCAGAAGCGAAGTTCTGGCCTCCAAAGAACCTATCATACGTGCCTCAGCTCACTCCTGAGTCTGTGGCTTTCAACGAAGCTGAATACGTCTTTTCATAGTGAATTCTTTCTTTCATAGCCTGAAGTTGGGCGGTGTCAACCAGAAATTGTTCGCTTTTAGGGGGTACGAAGGACGGAAGCAGAGAGCCGGGGACATTACGTTAACGAGACTACGACGACCGTCATACTTGAGATTCATTAGAATCTCTTAACGAAATATTCCTCCTTCTAGTCAACGCTGAATTATCTCATAGTATGTAGGCAACTGATCTGAGGGATTCTTTCCTGAGCTTTCCAAACCCCTGAGTGAGGCTATGTGACTTTATGATCTCCAAATAGATGGTCAACTTCCATCCGAACGACAGCAGAAAAAAGATGAAGTGATAAAATCGAAGTAATACCGTGAAGATATTTGTAGCAGGTCAAAGCTTTGTGGGGCAGTCACGTGAAGATATCTTGGCTAGCCTTGGCATTGTTGCTAAGAAAAATTCCGAACCTTGACGTCTCCAGAAACCAACACAACTACAACCACCATCCGCTAAGATGAAACGAAAACTCAACGAAGAGGGCGTCCCGGAAGAGGTGCGCTCTGCGCCGTCTATGAAATCAGGTTCGAAATTCGAAACGCTGCAGCTTGATCCTCGTCTCATGCGTGGGATTCAAGCGCAGTCGTGGGCAGAGCCGACGAAAGTGCAATTGGAGGCCATCCCCCTAGCTATGTATGCCGTCTTCCATAGAACTGATTACACTCAAGCTGACAGTATCTAGGGAAGGCAAAGATATCCTCGCCCGATCCTCCACCGGCACTGGAAAAACCGCCGCCTACCTTTTACCTGTACTCGAGAAGATCCTCCGCAGCAAAACAACGTCAAGCCAGAGACAGACCACAGCACTCATACTGCTCCCGACCCGGGAGCTGGCAGGACAGGTCGCAAAGGTCGCGGAGTCGCTTGTGGCGTTCTGCGGACAAGACATACGCGTGGAGAATCTCGCACGTACAGAGGATGGTCTCGTTCAACGCGCTCGCCTTGCAGACTTCCCGGATATCGTTGTGTCTACTCCGGGTGCAATATCGACCAACTTGAACAACGGCGCGCTGTCTCCCGATCACCTGGCACACCTCGTAATCGACGAGGCGGACTTAGTTATGAGCTATGAATACGAGAACGATCTCGAAAACATCTCCAAGTCTTCCCCAAAGGGCGTTCAGTGCTTCCTCATGAGTGCTACTCTATCTTCCGATCTAGACTTTCTGAAAGGCCTTTTCTGTCGAAATCCGGTCATTCTAGAGCTGGACGATGACGAGAAAGATACAGGCGGTGTCACTCAGTATGTTGTGCGATGCAAGGAGGATGAAAAGTTCTTGTTGGTCTATACTTATTTCATGTTGAAGACACTTAAGGGGAAGGGTATCATCTTTGTGGGCGATATCGACCGATCATATCGACTGAAATTATTCCTGGAACAGTTCGGTATCAAGAGCGCGGTTCTAAATTCCGAACTACCAGTCGCCTCCCGCCTACACATTGTGGAACAGTTCAACAAGAATCTTTATGAGATTCTCATTGCCAGTGATGAGAATGAAGTTCTCGGCAATGAAGGACGAAAGAAGAAGAGTCACAAGGAAAATGAGCAAGAGGAGGGGGTGGATGAAGATGCCGAAAAGAGCAAGACCTCCGATCCGGCAGATGCCCCGGTGGATGACGATCAGGATGGAGAAAAAGTCACTACAAATGGCAAGGTAACTGAAAAGTCTGGGCCACCAAAGAAAAAGAGGAAAGGACCGAAACTAGACAAAGACGCCGGCGTTAGCAGAGGCCTCGACTTCCGAAACATCGCCTATGTCCTCAATTTCGACCTTCCTACGAGCTCCAAATCTTACACTCACCGAATCGGACGAACAGCACGTGCGGGGCAAACTGGAACGGCCATCTCATTCGTCGTTCCAAAGGAGCATTACCGGAAACACCGTCCGACTACTTTCCCGTCCACTGAACACGATGAGGAGGTCATGGCAAAGATTATCGCATCTCAAGAAAAGAAGGGGAAGTCTATTCAGCCCTTAAAAATTGACGATAAACGTCTAGAGCCCTTCCGGTACAGACTAGCGGACGCTCTGAGAGCCGTGACTCGGATAGCTGTGAGAGAAGCAAGGGTGCGGGAATTGAGGATTGAGCTCTTGACCAGCGACAAGCTCAAGCGACATTTCGAAGAGAACCCTGAGTTGAAGCAACAATTGCGCCACGACGGCGAGCTCAGAGCTGTGAGATCGCAACCACACTTAAAGCATGTTCCTGATTATCTTCTTCCTGGAGGCAAGCAGGCCGCTCAAGATAACGTTGGGTTCATTGGGATGGGCAAGTCAAACGAGAATCGGATTCGGAAGGCAAGAATGCAAAACAAAGCTCGTGGTAAAGGGAAGAGGCCCGGAGGAAAGAATGCGGACCCACTCAAGACATTCAACGCAAAGGGGCGTGGAAAGAAGTGAGATAGTTACAGAAAGTATGAATAGTATGTAGACTTCAGGAGTATCCAATCCCACGTCTACATCTCTCTTTGACTTGAATGATAGGTGTTATATGAGTGCCTCTTCCAGACGCCGCTGGATACCTAGCCACTATAACAGCAAACTTGCCCCAACATCTCCCCAAGCCCACCTGGGCGCCCATGGCGATGATAGTAAGAATAACGAGACCCCAGATCTCTGCACCAGCCCCCGCAAGGACCTTCTCAGCCTTCCTCCCCCCTTTCCCCGCTCCTACCCCATCCTAAACCCCCCAGCCCCCCTCACCCGCTGCACAACCATCTCAACCCCATCCCCCCGAAACGCCTCCCCCAAATCCCGCCTCAGCTCCGCATCGCCCGCCACCAACTCCCCAAACGCCCCCTCCCGACTCAACCGCACAAACCCCTCTCTCAATACCTCAACACACACCTTCCTCATCTGATCCCCCCTCGCCTCCTCCTTCCCACCACCAACCCCTCTTCTCCGCGTCTGCTGGTACACCACCCCCACCGCCCTCACCACCCCGCCCACGCCCACCTCCTCCGCCCCCCGGATCCGCGCGGCCCGTGCACGCGCCAGGATCTGCGCGCACGCGGCGCGGAAGTTCGTTAGGGTCGCCGCGATGAGGGTCGGGACGCCGAAGCGGAGCGCGTGCAGGTAGACGTGCGCGTGCCATTCGGGCGGGGCCATGGCGGGGCGGGAGGGGGAGGTGTGGGCGAGGAGGGCGCGGTAGGTGGGGGTGTAGGAGCGGGTGTAGAGGTGGGAGAGGAGGGCGCGGAGGGCCCAGGTCCAGCAGAGGGGCGGGAGGGGGAGGGTGGGTAGCTAGGTTGGGGGGGGATGTTAGTATGGAGGAGGTAGTGAGGAGGGATTTGGAGGGGGAAGGGGACCTACAGATGGGTTGGTTTCAAGAGCTTCCGCGAACCACTGCGATTGCGAGCAGAGGATTATTTTGTGGGCGCGTGTGGAGTGGGAGCCGTAGATTAGGGTTATGTCGGCGAAGGTCTCGTCTACGAGAAAGCTGGGGTTGGGGGTTAGTGGTGTGAAGAGGAGGGCATGGGATTGAACAGTTACGTACCGATGGAGCCCGTTGTCGGGGACTTCAGGAGAGGTGTTTCCTGGTACTGGGGTTGGGAGAGCTCTAGGAGCTGCGGTCAGGACGGCGCTAGGGGGTGTTGGAGCCGGTGGAGGGACGTTCTCCACGTTCTCTACCGTTTTCGGATCTCTAAGAAAGCCTCTTAGAGCTGCAGCTGAGTTCGCTCCAGGGGGTTTCGGAGCTGGTGGACATCTATCCCGGGGGAGACGGTAAGGACCTGCTCTAGGAGCTGGTGGACATCCATCCCAGGGGATATATCTAGGAACTGCTCTAGGAGCTGGGTGTGGGATCGCTGTAGGAGCTGCGTTCGGGTTCACGAACGAGACCGGGTTCGGGACCGCGCTGGGGGATGTCGGAGCTGGTGGTCGAATGTCGTCTACGTTCTCTGCTATTCGGAGAGATCTGATATCTAATCCGGTAGCTGGATCTACGGCTGTTCGAGGCGGGGTCGGGGCGGGGACGTTCTCCATGTTGTCTACCATATACAGAGAGAACTCAGGAGCCGGACCCTCGGGGGTGTAGCTGCGAGAAGTCTTCAGTTGCGGTCGTAACATGGTGGTAGGTGTATTGCTAGATGTGTTAGTGGGTTTTTTAATGGGAAGTTTGTTTGAAGGTGTGGAAAAGCAGGTTACCATTTTGGCAATGGATTTTACACTAGATATTGGGGTGGGAGTCCATATTCACTTTTACGTAGGATGGCGGACTGGCGGGTGTATATAGAAGATTCTAGGCTACTGAAGTGCCCCTTAGCTCTCTTTAGCTTACAGGCTGATATCAGAAGGGAGGGTAGTTAGCGAGGTCGATACCGAAATACTCGACTGAAGTTGGATCGCAACAGACATTCCATCTCGTCTCGGGTTTTGCAGTTCGGAGCACGATTAACATGAAGGCATATTCTTTTCTAGAGGTGAATTGATTGAGGAGCTCTAAGGCGCAGAATTGCCGATAGGTGTGTGTGTGAATATTCAGATCCATTTTCTGTTCCGTTGTTGGTCGAAAGAAGACGAGGGGGTTTGTGTTTGCGATATGATGACCTTCACGCCTTGACTCGTGTTGAGCGTGCAATACGCACGCCAGATATTTTAGATGTATGATGAATGAGTAACACTCTCAGACTGCAATGGCTCCAATTTTTCTATCTGCACTTGGCGTGTTTTAGGCTAGATGATGAGGAGCATAAGAGTTTTTCGCCATCGTGGATCTTTAAAATGAGAAGATGGAGCAGCAGGTGAGAAACAAACTTCACCTACATTATGAGACTTCAACATGTCCAAATAATGAATCTGCCTTTTTGGTACGCTATTGTACTCATCTCTCTCTTATCATTTCAACCTCTACGCTAGCTCCTTGATGAGGTCAACTCTAAACGCGGGAATCTCATCCATCAACTCAAATAAAGGCAATTGTGTGGTGGCCGCGAGAGGCTTCACCATGATATTTTCAGAACAGATCTTTGCGAAGACCTAAGTGACTACACACGATGATTCGGTGGACTTCATACTCGTCGTCGCGACAACGAATAATGAGGTCTGAGAACTGAGAAGATTCAAAATAGCTATGAAACGTAAGAGCTTCATACTCAGTATGATTGAAAAGGTTTCTGACCGCATAAGTCCCGCAGCCATGAACGTAGTAGCTTCCTCCACCAGAGTACTGAAGCATTGGCTCCCCTTTGACCTAATCGAACTGATCGACCCTGAGCCCCGAAGACCGTGGCCTGCGCCAGAATACGTGGCAGCACCCTGAGAAGGTTGGTTGGGACAGTGGCTTCGCTTCTATCTGATCCGGTCCGACCACATAATGCTGTTGAATGTATGGGGAGCGTCTTTGCAAGCTGCGCTTAAACATTGACTTCTCTTGCTTCTTAGAGACCTAGACGATGGCCCTGGCATTACAGTTGTCGTCAGCGAAGTCCTCATTTGCTATTGGATCCATTGGTTGGCCTTGGTTTGGTTTGAGATGATGAGCGGACGAGAGGAAACGAAGATGGCTTGGGAATGGAGATATTGTAGCCGACTATACTTCGTAGTAAGGAAAAGCACATTAGATTGAAGTGGGCGGAGGCCCGACGATGGAGAATCAAGTCGCGACGGAAGAAGCCTGTCGCCAAATATCATGCAACAGTCCAGCCCCTCGTTGAGCCCCCTAACCATCCCAAGTTCGACAGACGAAGAGGAAGACACCAGCGATAGTGACATTGAGGTGATGGTTGATTTGCAAGATTCGACCGACTCGAGTCTGTCTACTACAAATGCGACATTCAAGAACAAGCTCCGCGAACTCGCCGATCATTTCAGAGACTACGCACTTACATCAATCCAGTGTGTCATCCTGTCGCTTATTATCTGGCTCGGCGACTGTATCCTGATACAAGCTCCTAGGAAGCAGCGTCATTATGGATTTGTTCGGGCGTCCCGCCATGCTGTCGCATACATCTGCGCACTTGACGTAGACGCCACGGTATGCATCATCAAGGAATCCCTGACGCCAGGCATGGTGCGTGTGATCCAATTGATGAGTAGAGGGCATCAAGTGACTGAGGACGATATCCGAAATATCGGCGGTGACCCGGAAGACGAACACCAAGGTATCTACGGGAGTCTTCTCACGACGCTCGCCTTTGCCGGTCTACATATAGGGAGCGGATCGTCCGCTATAGCTATCCCCAACGCAGCCCAACAGGAAACCGGCCTCAAACGACGGATCGACGAGCATACCAACCCCGAATTCCGTGAGAGGGCCAAGCTTAGGGACACTATTCATTACACCTTCTGGAGAGAACACAAAGCCGTACCCCATTTTGTGGTACTAGCGGTATTCAAACAGATGGTACCTAAAGCACTGGTATTGCTTACCGAGTCTATTATGATGCTACTTCTTAGCACGTTAGAGAACGAACCCGGCGTCACACTGCCAACTGGGCCTCACTGGCTGTCAGGCTCTCCTCCAGCATGGCGTCGTTTGAACGATACTTGGCCCATGAACGCGATGCCCGAGCACTTTACCTTACTCGATTCATCACCAGAAGCATCGAATAGGCAAAGAGATGAATCGAAGAAGAGGAACGACACTATGAAGGGTAACTTGCTGAGGAAGTGTGTACTAAAGTACGAGATAGAAAGGAACTTATGGCCTCACGGTACATCTGCCAAACACACTCCGTCGTGTCACAATCTTAACGGTCATTAAGACTCGGCTCTAGCTGAAGGCTGGAGACATTGTTAAAGTTGTTTGGTTATTTGACGATCAAATCCCTTACTATCGATACGTTACGTCTGGCACCAAGTCGACGGACGCAGCGCGTACATTTGGTATGGAGATAGTAACCAAGGGGGACTCTCGTCATACTCGCTTGACAGAAAGAATATACCAATTGACGCCCACGTGGAAGTAGCCATCCAGATGGTGAAAGATGCAGCCCGCTTCCAAAGCTACTGATTAGAAGGTCCACCGGCGTGGTCCGCATGATATATCCATAGGTAATCAAGCAATAGGCTCTGTGCCGACGTCGATGACGAAGCATGGCAATCGGCATGAATCAGAGACTCTCGGGATAGGTAAAATATTATCAACATCATCGTACTTCGGTAGTGTGATAGGATAGCGCCGATAGCCATCTGCCGGTGGCTCTGCGGGAGTTCTCTGACATCGGCAGGTTCCACGGTGTCACAGGTGCTGGCGATGGTGGCGGCTCCAAGAAGCAAGGCAGTGGGGATGGGATTCTAATGTGTAGATTGTAATTGGCTGGGCTGCACGCGTCGAGAATATGGGGATTGGAAATAGAGCTGTGCGCACGGGCCGTAGTTCTACCCTTGTTTGAAAGTCTAGTTCATCAACGTCATGGACTACGAACGGCCGGCATGAAACGTGGGGTATATAAATTCGAATGCACTTCTGTGGCAACCATGCCTTAGATACCGCAATTGCCTCACATCAATTGTCTTATACACACCAAAAACCCTTCTTAACTGTTCATAACCATGTCTCGACACGTCGCATCCGGCAAGAACGGGGACATGTCCCGCAACTATATCGAAGACCGCGCTGCCAAGAGCCAGGACACTCTATACACCACGAGCAACGGCGCCCCATACCCTCACCCATACGAGACCCAGCGTGCTGGCACGAACGGGCCTCTCCTTCTCCAAGACTTCCACCTGGTCGACCTTCTCTCCCACTTCGATCGCGAGAGGATTCCAGAGCGTGTCGTTCACGCAAAGGGCAGCGGTGCTCATGGCTTCTACAAGACCACAAACCCTCTGGATGACCTGTCTTGTGCAGACATCTTCAAAGCTGGCAAGGAGTGCCCCATCACCGTCCGCTTCTCTACCGTGGGAGGCGAGTCTGGTTCTCATGATTGTGCTCGCGACCCTCGAGGGTTCTCTGTCAAGTTCCGGACTGACGAAGGCAACTGGGACGTGGTGGCAAACAACACTCCTGTCTTCTTCCTAAGAGACCCTGCCAAGTTCCCACACTTCATCCACACCCAGAAGCGTGACCCTGCCACCCACCTTACCCACGCAGACGACTCGACCGCCTTCTGGGACTACCTATCTCAGAACCCCGAGTCAATCCATCAAGTCATGATTCTCATGGGCGACCGTGGCATCCCCGATGGGTACCGCTTCATGCACGGATACTATGGACACACAATGAAGTTGGTGAACAAGTCCGGCGAGTGGGTGTACTGCCAGATGCACTTTAAGTCGAAGCAAGGGACCAAGTTCATCACTCAGGCGGACGCCACTACAAAATCGCCGGATCATAGTCAAAAGGACCTGTTCTTTGCCATCGAGCGGGGCGAATTCCCTTCTTGGGATGTCGAGGTGCAAACCATGACGCCGAAGGAGGCCGAGGAGCTCTGGGAGAAGCAGAGGATCAACGTTTTCGATCTGACCCATGTCTGGCCGCAGAAGCAGTTCCCTCGTCGCAAGGTCGGAGAGTTCACGCTTAACGAGAACGCGAAGAACTACTTTGCCGAGATCGAGCAGGTTACGTTCAACCCGTCGCACTTGGTGCCGGGTATTGAGCCATCGGCGGATCCGGTGCTGCAGTCGCGGTTGTTCAGCTACCCAGACACTCACCGCCACCGTGTTGGTCCCAACTACCAGCAGCTGCCCGTCAACGCCCCTCGCGTACCCTATCGTATGGCCAACTTCCAGCGCGACGGCGCCATGTCCTTCTACAACCAGGGTTCTCGACCAAACTACTTATCTTCGATCGAGCCCATCTCTTTCCGCAACCGGACAGTCGATCTTAACAAGACTCACGGCAACTTCACCGGCGACGCTGTCACTTTCCTCTCCGAAATCCGACCCGAGGACTTCAACGGCCCGCGGGCGTTGTGGGAGAAGGTCTTCGATGACGGCGCGAAGGAGCGCTTCGTCGGCAACGTGTCGGGCCATATGGCGAACTGCTCGGATAAAGAGATCATCAAGCGCCAGATCGGTATCTTCCGCGAGGTGTCAGGTAGGCGGCGCAACTTTTTCTCTACTATAAGTCTGCTAATAGATTTTAGACGACCTCGCGACTCGCTTGGAGAAGGCGACGGGTGTCAAGGGATATCCGGGCATTGGGGACCTGAAGTTCAATGGCACGCACAATGGTATGGCCAGTGATAGCAGCTTGTGGGCTGCGAATGGTGTCGAGGATGTTGCGTTCAACGACAACCCCAACGGCGCGCCTGTCAGCGGGACCCATAGGGGCATCACTGCCTAAGTATGCCAGCGGCTTTGAGATGGAGAAAATAGAGAATGAAACGCATTGACTGTTATACTCTACATATAGATGCAAGGAAATGGGAATACCAGAATGATTGAACTTGGGTTCAAAGAATGTAACAAGAAACAGTTGCAGAACTAAGATATATCCATGTGAACGCTGGTGCAGTTCGAGTGGTAGCTAGCCCTACTGGTTCTACTGCTGGCGGACCGACTGTGGACAGTGCTAAGCCACCATCTGGAGTTCTTTGGTGCATGACCAGAAGTTTAGATAGAAAGCAGCGCCTTGAAGCATTCAAAACAGACTCTTGGGTGCTGGCCATCGTGAAGGATGCACCAGCGATGTCCGAGTCTAAGCACTCATGCTGTTGTCTGGGGTGCTGGGCTGCTTGGTCTACTCTGCTGAGCCGCGCTCCGCGGGGCCAGACAAGTGTGAACAGCGGTGACTGGCCTGCAGCCTCACAGTGCAGCGTCGGCAAAGGAGGGTTCAATCGGGATGAGAAAGCCGAACGCTAATCTCTTTTGAACGCTCGTCACGTGCTGGTTTCCAATGGCCTTCTTTGCGCGTTCTTGCAGCCATCGTCATCCTAGCGACGTCTTCAGGCCTTCGCACCCCTATCTTTGCACGCCACAGCACCCACCACGAGCGATGAATATCCGCTCATCCCCCCGTCTCTTCTCTCAAGGACATGGCGCCGCCTTTCCCGCCAATATCGCTGCCCTCGAGCCGCATCGCCATGGATTTGGACGAGTTTAGGGCTAGAGCTGGTCTGTGCGTCGACGATGCAGTCCGCCGTAGTCCCAGTGGCTCCGGCGGGCGGTACCGGCTTTTGTGTCGCGCGTCTTTCGTTTCTCTCCGCACTGGGACTCGACTGGCTTCCTCTTCACCACCATTGACCGCCCGTAGACGGCACCCTCACCGCAGCCCAGTCCGTACCATGCTTCTAGCCGTCCACTTCGCCTACGTCCGTCGCCCAATCTCTGCAGCCTGCGCCCTTTGAAGCTTGTCGAAGCTTGTGACCCGCCCGCTCCGTGCTGGTGAGCCCACAATCCATTCCCTCCAGCCCGCGCCCTTGAAGCTGTGCAGGCGACTGACATCAGCTTGAAACCACCAGCCTAGCACTATCACTTCCTCAACATGTCTCCCCGGCGTTCGTCGCGCGCGAGAACCACTCAGCCACGCCAGAGCGACCCGCCCGCCAACAGCACCTCCACCTCCTCTGTATCATCCGGCCGCACCGATCGGGCCACCAGGTCCAACATCAAGCAATCCTCGCCCCAGAAGTCCTCCACGCCCCATTCCCTTTCGTCTGAAGAGGTCGAAGAGCCCGTCGCCGATCCGCCTGTCGAGCCGCCACAGACCCGCCGACGGGCCCGCGAACAGGACAATGACGAAGACGACTCCGCCAAACTCGACGACGAGCTCGACGACGATATCGCCGAGGAGGAGGAGATAACCAGATGTGTGTGCGGGCAGCAGGAATACCCAGGTCCCCCTTCCGACGCCGGTAAGTCCAGAGACGGCCACTCTTCCGGGTTGGCTGACTCTGAGACTCTGGCAGAAGACGCGGGCGGCTTGTTCATTCAATGCGACGTCTGCAAGGTCTGGCAACATGGCGGCTGTGTGGGCATCATGGATGAAGCCGCCAGCCCAGAGGAGTATTTTTGCGAAGAGTGCCGCAAGGATCTACACAAGCTCATGACGAGTTCAAAAGGGTACGTGCAGTCATTACCGTGTCTCTCGAATTTTCAGACCCTCGAATGTCATCATGGAACGTGAAGGCAGCTCTGCGCGCAGCTAGATTCACGCGACACGTCCCTCAGTTGCCACGTCGAAGCTAGCGCATGCTTCTCCACTCTATATGAACACTTTCACCAGCATTACGCAAATCCAGAACTGTCGCTAATGGGCTGGGCTTATAGGCAACGATATTCCCGCTATCTACCCGTCTCCGGCTACAATCCCTCCAAGGGCTCCAGGAAATCGTCCGTTTCGAAAGACCGGGAACCCAAAGGATCCAGAGACAAGGAAAAGTCTTCCAGAGCAAGCGCCGAGTCATTCACGAAGCGACGATCTACAATGAACAGCCGAGCAGCCTGGGACGAGGATGAAGTCTTGCGCAAGGTGCTGGAAGCAAGCAAAGGTGAGGGTTCTATTGAGGGCGGGAACAGAAAGAAGAGGAGTCGCGACGATAGCGAAGAGTGAGTATCCGAAATCGCCTTCCGAACGTTTCGAGCTGTGACCGCTGCTGATCACCCGTCGCAGCATCAAGCAAGAACCGAAACGTCAGCGCACTGGATCGCGCTCGCCAACCACCTCCCCCACCTTAGAATCCGACGACGAGGGCCCCGCATCGAAAAATACAGCCAATGGCAGACAAAAGCCGCGCGGAGCAGCAGCGCGAAGCCAGCGCGAAAAGGAACTTCGAGAGAAGGAAAAAGAACGCGAACGCGCTGAAGCAGCCGGCAGACGCAAGGGTCGCATAGAGAGAAGAAGAGCAGATGGTACGCCTACCCTGTTTGCTAACCTTTATCCTCAACCCTTTCTGACGCAATCCTACAGAGCCCGAAACCGCAGAACAAACCCCCATAGACGACAGCGCCGTACCCCCCTCAGCGTCCGAATCCGTAGCCCCCGATACCCCCTCCACGGCCCCCCAACCGGCACCTACACACAAGAAGTCCGGTCGACCACCACAGAAACGCGTCTCCCGGCTAGGCCGCAACCAATACACCCGCGACCGTGATAGCAATATCACGGCAGCGAACAACGGCGCTTCACCTAGCCGCACAAACAACGACAACTCCCCCCGCTCGCCCCAGACATCAGCCGTAAACGGCCACAGCGGCAACAACGGCCACGACAGCTCCGACGGCGCGGTGGGCGGCGGAGGCGGCGGAGGCGTCACAAAACACCCTAAAGCGAAGAACTGGCGGCTGGAGAAGATGAGCTGGAACGACATCCGGCGGCCCGCCGGCGTGATGCAAAACTACATCTCGCAACGGCAGGTCGAGCTGGCGGGCGTGAATGGGGAGAAGAGCCCCCTACGGCCTGTGGTGCTGGAGGTCAACGGCACTGGCGCCGGCGGGGAGAAGGAGCGGGATAAGGAGATGCGGGAGGTGGATGCCAGGGGCGGAGAGGAGGGTGGGGTGGACCGGTTCAAGAGCCTGAGCACGCTGCAGATGATGGATGATTTGAGCAGGGAGCTCGTGCTTTGGCAAAGGATGGTGCAGGAGAGTCAGGCGGAGAAATGATGTGAGGGGAATTGATCGTAATGGCGGCGTTTTCGGAAAGGGCTTTTGGCCTCCACGTGGATTCTCTACGCGGGACTTTTTGGGATACTGGAACACCTCACGTGGGCGGGTTGAGGGGATACCCTGGATGAGGCACGCGGCTATTTAGCTACGGGGTGGGCGTGGGCTTCTTGTATAAAAAAGGCTTTCATGGAATGAGATGGTGATTCTGCTTCACAACGGGCCTGCTTCGTGCGTTCCTTGACCTAAGCTGATTTCGTGCACGCAGCGTGATAACAAGGTGAAATAAGGGGTCCGAGAAGGGGTGAACTCCTCATGTGCAAAGTCCAAGGCACGCAAAGGCGATACGCCTAAGGCTAGCTTGGTCGTAGAACGGTCCAACCATGTTCGACTTCTTCTTTGACGACGAGAAGTTCTTCTCCATTTCTCGCACCACACCTCTTACCCCAAACCCCTTTTTAAAACCCCCCCCCCCCCCTCCTCCCCCACGCGCTAAAATGCAAGCACAACATAACACGAGCGAGCAGGAGAATGAGAATTGAATTGGTCCCCCTTCCGCGACCCCTCCACCCCCCCTACCCCCTCTTACCTCGACTTTTCAGACCGGTCCCAGCCCTACATGCGGCAGAGCCGGCATGGCGACTAGTACGCCATCCCCCGCGCGCACGCAGCCGCCGGCGACGACGACGCCCATGACGCCCGCGCGCCGCACCACGCGCCCGTCGCGCGCTTGGTAGCACACCTGTCTGCACGCGCCCCAATAACGTATCAGCGAAATACACAACGGGGGGAAAAAAAAGGGGGGGAGGGGGGGGGGAAGGAATGACTCCCTCTATCCTACGCCCGTGCGACTAGACGGTAAACGCGAACAAGGTGGGTGTGGGTGAGGTGACGTACTGCAACAACCCGGGCTTGAAGCGCTCGATGCCGGGGCCGGGCTGGCGCAGGCCCGTGAGCTCGACCACGGCGCCGCCGCCGCCGGCGGGGAAGTGCAGGCGCGTGCCGCGCGGGAGGGCGGCGAGGTCGAGGCCGTGGGTTGTGATGTTCTCGCCGAGCTGGCCTGCACGAGGGGCATTGTAAGCGAAAGGGGGGGGGGGGGGTTAAATTGTCAGGACGAGGAATCTTTAGAAGAGGGGCGAAGGGGGTTGGACTTGAGAGAGGAGGGAAAGCAGCGGCGTAGGACGGCGTGGCTGACCATACGTGATATCGAACCCCTTGCCCTTGAGCTCGTAGAGCAGCTCGTACGGTATCAAGTGCACCTGGCGCAGATTCGGCGAGCTCGGGTCATGTGCCGCGAGGGAGGTGTGCTTGACCGTCGCGCCGGCGTGGGCGTCGTTCTGCACGCCGAGACCGGCGACGAGGGTGATGGCGCCGACGACGGATTTGCTGAAGGTGTGGCTGGGAGCTTGGCTGACGGCGGTGACGGAGGGGATGGACATGGTGGTAACGGGGAAGTTGAAGGGGGTTGGTGAGGATTATGAGGAAGTTTGGTCAGATAGAATGGGATAGGATGAGGTAAGAGAGAGAAAGAGAGAGCGCGGGGCAGATCTGAGATGAGGTGCGGGGCAGTTGGTATGCATGTATAGTGCAGCAGCAGGGAGCTTGGGGTGGAAGCGTAGGTAGTGGAAAGAGAGTGTGTGGGTCTCTTCGTATCGGCGGGCGGTAGCCTAGCCCGGGCGTAGGAAGAAGAGCTACGGGAATCGAAAACACCAAAGCGGAGTTACCGCGCCATATTTGGGCTGCCACGTTGCAGACGGTACGTACCGTGGTGTGGTGTGGTGTCAAAATGGAGCGACAGGCACAACTTACTGTCAAAAGCGACGATGTGAATGGGTGCCGAGAGGGAGATGCGGTGGGAGCGCTAAAACGTTAAATATGGACGCGCAGTTGGCGGCGCTTCATGTTGGTGTTAGGACGAATGTACCAATGAGGGTGAGAATGATGCCGAAGTAGAGAAGAACATAACCAATAGTATAGAACATAAATAATATTGATCGTACTATCCAGAATATACTGTCAAATTGAGAGGTGATGTCGTAAAGCAGGGCCAGGTTTAGATATGGGCAGCGTGGTATGGGTGGGACAAGAACTTCCTACAGGGAATTAGGCTACGAGGCGTATGCAGGTCGTGCAACGTTCCGGTAAGACATTAGAAGAAGTGGTGGGTTAATTTAGGACAACTCATGGTACGGAGGAGGGATCGTAATGGCAGGACTGATGACGCGAGCTTGAGAGGGTAGTTGGTGTTAGGAAAATATGAGGTGGCAATAAGGTCGGTGGAAATAGAGATGAAAAACGTGAGGTATTCGGTTCATGTTCAGGACTCACGAACTTGTCCATCTCGAACGCCCTCGTAGTCCTTGATATCGACACGCGAAAACAACTCCTCGTGTCTACAAATCGGCGAGGTCCTGGAACATATCAAGCATCGATCAAGTCAAGCATAAGATCTCCCATCGAAAGGAAAGGTAAAAATCCAAGATGCAAGGTGGCGATTGAATCAGTCTGATTTCCAACCTCATAACCAGCCCCCCACCGCAAGCTATGCATCAGCAAAATAAGCAGATGGCCATCCAGGTCGTAACGCATCCATGGCGTGGCAAAATCATCAACAAAAGGGCTGTATATACATGCGGATTAAATGCGAGTAGCAGTTCCGAAAGAGACCATGGTGCGCTCCACTGGAAGGTAAAACCCCTGAAGCGTATGGAAAATGAGAGAGAAGAAGCGAAATGAGCAAATTTTGGGTGGGACGTTTTGGCTAAGGTATCCGGACACGGGACCGTACAGTGAGGGTCCGGAAGATTGCAGGTTCACCAAGGGAGGGTCCAGGGAGATGTGGAGATGATGTTCCGTGAGGAAATTTGAGTGTTAGATCCTTGGTGGAATCCTGGTCCTGTGGAGAAATGATAAAGTCCGGAATGGAGACGGCAGAACATGACAAAAAGAAAAACCGCGCGGCATGGATCCATGAAGTCGTATAGCCCCAGACACCAGCACCAGGAATAACACTTTCAAGCACAGTCCAGGCAGATCCCACGGCATCCACAATTACAAAAAAATCAACGCCCGGAATCCATCCAGAAGGTTTGAACGTTCTAATCCGGCTTCTTTTCGGTACTCACGTATTACCGGGAAGATCCCTGAGAAAGAGGAGAAACGAGGTGAATGGCTCGGCAATTAAAGGGGTACTCCATCAAAAACGCTCCGGCGAAAACGTGTTTAGGGTATCTCCAGGTGGTGCACGGACCAATGGAAGACGACTGCTGGCGGTGACGGGACAGAAACAATGGCCACGGAAATCTACAACGCCAGGGGCGGAAGTATGAAAATAATTGCACACGAAGGACATGGACCAGCCGCTACTAACCACGGCGGCGTCCGTGATTAGCGGGTTGCGGTGGCGGATTTGGGTACTCTGGTGCGGGATTTTCGTCAGTGACTGCCGGCCCAGCTGACCAAACACGAAAAATACTCACGGCGTCCATCCGAAGCTTGGTAGTACCCAGCAGGGGGAGCACTGTACTGGCCTTAGCGATATACCAAAGGAGACCGGTGGAAGAATCCATAATACCTTGGTTGCGGAGGAACCTGATAGGATTGTGTCGGAGGAGCTGTAGCAGCCTGTTGTGGGTACGTGTACCTTGGGTCTTGATGCTGCGCGTATTGTGCATGCTGGTCCTGTGAAGCACTCTGCTGGGTGTATGTGTAGTTAGGCTGCGTCCTAAGTTGTCCTTGGGCTTGGTTGTAGGGAGGTTGCTGGTACGCTTGACCTGCTGGAGCGGCATATGCGGCCTGTGGCTGTGGCTGCGCATACGTGTAAGACGGTTCCGGCTGTTGGTACTGCTGGTGTGATTGATGTGTGGGTTGAGGGGGGTAGGCGGGTCTTGAGGGCTGCTGGTATGGAACGGCAGCCGGAGCAGGCGCGGGGTCACTTGGTCCATAGTACTGCCTAGACTGGTGGGTTCTAGAGTCCTGATATGAAACTAAAGCTTTGTCAGGGTGTTTTGAGTGCTTTGCATCTCGCGCATGCGGACTACCTCGTCCTTGTGAGACCTCAGTGCGCCACCGCTGCGAGTCCAACTTCAAGTCGGCTACCATTTGCTGTGGTCGTCAGCGACGAAATCTCCACCAGAACGGCATACATACACTTGTTAGATTGCGGTAGGCCGTAATCCAATAGCCTTGCACGCCCTGCTGCATGTCAGAAGCCGTGGTGGTGTGGATGGGACGTCCAGGTGGTAGGCAAACCTGATACTCGCCAGTACCTTCTCCAGGCCGCACCAGAGCGTCATTGCCTAGATAGCGCTGGATATCGGCGGTAATGACCTCTCTGGCGATGCCCTCTCCGGGCTGGAACCACTGCCGAGTTACAGACATAGCGGAGAGATGTGATGGATGATGAAACGTGAGAGAGTGAAAGGAAGGTACTGGTGGCAGCACGGAAAAAAGCCACAACCGAGCAGCAGAGATAGCGGAAGGATTCAGGTCCCGCGATAACGGTCACGGAAGGCCGTGGTCGAGAGAAGCGGCAGTGCTGGGCGAGCGCGGTGGGGGGTGGTGGGAGGCAGAGGGGGCAGCGGCAGGTGGGAGAGATTCCAGAAGAGCGCAGACGCAGCAGGCAGCGAGGTGCGGGGATTCTCAATATACCGGCAGTTTGGCAAGCTGGCAAGCCGCACGACGAGGGTCGACGGGGAGGGAGGCGTGATCAGTGGCGGCAAGCCGTTTTGGGATGCCGGGGGGCCAGGAAGGCTTCAGCTGCGATGAATAAGACCAGAGGGCCCGGCTGCGGCTGCTGCACGTCGCCAAAGACAGAACGGACGGAGCGAGGCGGTTGGGGAGGTGAAGGTACACGCTGCGGCTCTGTGGGCGGGTGGGCGAGCTTAAGAGGCGGGCGGGCGCAGGCGGCGGCAATTGGACAGCCAGAGCTGCACGCAATGGACTCGGGCAGCAGACGGACGCCGTGTCAGGCCTGCAGCGCGCGTGTCAAGTGTGTCAAGCTGCTGTCCGTTCGCGCTGTGCCGGATTCTGGGGTTGCGGCGGTGCAGGCGGCGGGAGGCGGGAGAGATCGAGGGAGCGCGAATCGACTCGACCTTAAAGAGAGCAGGAGGGCGAGTTCGGGGCGCAGGAGGTGGCAGAAAGTGCCAGATGGGCCGCGAAGACGTCAACTCCCTTTTGTCTGTCTGGCGGCCTGCCAGTCCCGCTACGCAGCGGTGGGTACGCCGACGACATGGCGAGCGTCGGGTTGAAATGCGACGGTTGGGCAGCGACGGCCCAAGAGAGGACGCGGCCAGCGCGACCCACCGCAGTATCACCACCGCCTGGCCACCCACGAAGCGTGACAGCCAGTGACGCGCGCTGTCCACGTAAAAGCGTGGAATGTCTGCTCGGCGTGCTGATGTTGAAGGTGCTCCATCGCGCCGCTTCTTATACACAGGGGAGCCATACCGCCAGATGCCCGGACAGAACTCCTCACGCTATTCCCGCACTATCCCGCCCTCAACGCCTCGCCGTCCATCACTCAGACGTCGCCGCGGCCAGCCCAGTCGAGCCAGCACAGCGGCCGCTTGGGCACTGCTGCATGCGAGCGCAACGATTGTTTTATAACCGGTATCCCGCCATTCGCACGGCGCTGCTAGCACACCGCAGCCTCTCAGTTTGTCGGCATCATCCCAGCCTCAGGCAGAGACGCGGCGGCGAAGGCGTTGCAGCTCCAGCAGGCCAAGCGCCTCCGCACATCCTCGAGGCTGCCGCCCGTCAGGCACCGCGGGAAGCACGTGTTCGCCGTCGCGCTGCGGATACTAACTGCACGAAGCTGCAGCTGCCGCATCGCACACTGCACCTCCATGCACCCACGCCCAAGCGTCCGCAGCGCTACTCCTGACCTCCTGCGACATCCCGGCGTTGCTCCCGTCGACATGCGTCCAATCTACAGCTTTGCACCTGCAGCCGCCTTCGCCTCGACCGTTGTGACCCTGAAGCCCGTCCTGGGGGCATGAATCCGGATCTCCTTGCCCCCGTCTCTGCTCCGAGAGGTCACCGCTACTTCGTTGTGCGTGAGCGTCACCAGACGGCCCCGGTCGCGGTTGAGGAACCCCGAATCTGTGGGGTATACTTCTACCTCGATGCCCTCCGTGAGACCGAGCGGCTCGTTTGCGTCGACGCCGCTGCTGGGCTCTGCAAAGTCGGCCTCCAGGATCAACTTGACTGCTTCGGGCCCCTTCAGCGGAACCGGCTTGGGCACCGCTGCTTTGCCTGCCTTGACGGCTGCACGAAATCGCGACACCCACGAATAGACGCGAGGGAATTGCTGCGCGGAGACGACATCGGGCGGCAGCGAGCCCTTCATGTCCACGAGCCAATCAAACGGCCAGATGCCTAGAACAGAGGTGAGGTGAGGTGAGGTGAGGGGCTTTAAGGAGCGGACGCGTGAAGCCACCCACCTTCAATGTCAGCCAAGGATGGCTTATCGGTCTTGAGTATCCAATCCCTCCCATCGGCTAGGAGCGTCGTTTCGAGGAAGTCGAAGGCGGACTTCATGTAGGCGATCGACTCGGGCCTTCCCTTCTCCATGGCCGCCTTGTCCCAGGGTCTGCCTGACCACTGCGTGCGGTCCTTCATGAAGGTGGGATCGTTCATTGTCGGGAACGACGTCGGAATCAGCGATGCCGCACGTGAGAACACGGGTCCCTCAATCGTCCACTTCTCCAACAGCCGTTCAATCGCTTTCTGCTCGGGCCCGGTGGCACCAAGAGCACCGTTGGGGAATCTTTCCTCCAATTTCCTCAGTATCAGCCGGGTGTCGCAGTAGACGTCTCGCCCGATGGCCATGACCGGTATGCGACGGTACTTCACCCCAAGCGCGTCGAGGTCTGCACGTGGCATGACGGGTGGTTGCAGCTACTGATTGTCAGACTGCATGCCTCCCCAGCATGAGGGATAAAGAAGCTTACACACTGCGCATACTCAATGCCTCGTAGCGCCAGATACCACACGACTCGCCTTGCATATGGCGAGTAAGGGTAGTGGAAGAGGATGAGGTTGTTTGGCGCTGCCATCTTCAGTGCTAGCTCTGATAGCTTTTACTATTATATTGTACGTGACAAGGTGGTAAGTCGACGCAGGCCCCATCGTCGTTTATATGGTCGTCGTATTGTGAAGCGAAGCTCACGTCTGTCTTTTGCCTCGGCTTGCGGCCACCGCGGCGATCGGCGTAGGGCGTGCCGTCGACATCGTCATGCAAGCTTGGGCCAATCAACGCCCGAGTGCAATATCCAAACCTTGGACGATTCCATTTAGTGGAGGTTCAAGATACATGACATTGTAGATTGAAGGTAAGAAGTGTTTGAGAGAACTCGTACGACCGAGGACAAACATGCCCGTCTGCCAGGTGGCTTTTGTTAGTAATTGTAGTACTTGGAGTATTATTGATACCTAGGTACACGAAATTAGACTATCCCGTGAATTGCTTCCGAGAAGTACAGTCTTAAGATTATCACTCATAGTAATCCAACTCACTGATTGTGCATCCTGGACTATCTTCGGGTTCAACTTGAATCCACTGTCTACCCAATTGGGCCGGATTTGAAGAACAGTGAACGAATATGCAACTTAAGCCTAGCATTGGGGCCTTAATCCTGTCTGGAATACACAATTCAAATGCTTTACAGCAAAAACGAATTCGTGCTCCATACTTCGATCTGGGCAGTATGCATTTCGTGGAAATTCTTGACGTCGACACGCTCCCGGCACACGTGACAACCCGTAGACGCGAAGCCATTCAACTTCAACTGCATCTCTTCCCCAAACTCACCACAAAACGTCCACAAATACCCATCTCCACCAACAATGCCCCTGCCCCCCACCACCGCCTAACCCAACGCCCCCAAACATGTCCTCCCCGCCACCCTTCCTCCCCTCCTCCGCCCCCTCCTCCGCCGCCGGCCGCCGCAAATCCGCCTTCACCTACAAACACCTCGCGCAACTCGCCTCCTACTCGCCCACCACCCCGCTCCGCGTCATCGCCCACGTCGACCTCGACGCCTTCTACGCCCAATGCGAGCAAGTCCGCCTGCACCTCCCCGCCTCCACACCCCTCGCCGTGCAGCAATGGCAAGGGCTGATCGCGATCAACTACCCCGCGCGCGCCTTCGGCCTGGGGCGGCACATCACGGCCACCGAGGCGCAGAAACTCTGCCCGGCGCTGGTCATGCAGCACGTCGCGACGTGGCGGGAGGGCGACGCGACGTGGGCGTACCACGCGGACGCGGCGGCGCACATCGCGACGCACAAGGTCAGCCTGGACCCGTACCGGCGCGAGAGCCGCAAGATACTGGGGGTGATTAAGAGCGTGTTGCCTGCGGGAGCCGGGCAGCGGGTGGAGAAGGCGAGCGTGGATGAGGTGTTTATGGATCTGAGCGCGCAGGTGCACGGGATCTTGCTGGAGCGGTACCCGGAGCTGAGGGGGCCGCCGCCGTATGACGACCCTGCGGAACTGTTGCCGCGGCCGCCGACGACGGCGCTGGAGTGGCGGGGGGATGCGTTGGTGGATTTGGAGCGGGGCGAGGCGGAGGAGGAAGATCCGGATTGGGACGATGTGGCCATTTGCGTTGGGAGTGAGATTGTGAGGGATGTGCGTGCGCGGGTGTGGGAGGAGCTGCGGTATACGTGCTCTGGGGGTGTCGCGCGGAATAAGATGCTGGCGAAGTTGGGGAGTGGGCATAAGAAGCCGAATGCGCAGACGGTGGTTCGGAATCGCGCGGTGGGGCATTTTTTGAGTGAGTTTAAGTTCACGAAGATTAGGAATCTGGGCGGGAAGTTGGGGGATGAGGTGGTGGCGATGTTTAATACGGATGCGGTGGGGGATTTGCTGAAGCAGCCGCTCGAGCAGTTAATGCGGTTGGGAGATGATACGGGATCGTGGCTCTACGGTATCATTCGCGGCGAGGACAACAGCGAGGTCAATCCGAGGACGCAGATTAAGAGTATGCTGTCTGCGAAGTCGTTCCGCCCCGCTATCAACGACTTCGAGCAGGGCGTCCGCTGGCTGCGCATCTTCGCTGCGGATATTTTCTCCCGCTGCGTGGAAGAAGGCGTGCTAGAGAATAAACGCAAACCGAAGACCATCAACCTACACCACCGCCAAGGGCGGCAGACGCGCTCAAAACAGGCCCCTATACCCCAGGGCAAAACCTTGACCGAGCAGATCCTATTCGATCTCGCCAAGAGCCTCTTCGCACAGATCATCGTCGACGGGCGCGCATGGCCGTGCATAAACCTCTCCCTAAGCGTAGGAGGCTGGGAAGACAGCGTCGCCAATAATAAAGGCATAAGCGGCTTCCTCGTCCGCGGCGAAGAAGCCAAAGCGCTACGAGAGAGCGAGAGACAGTCCGACGCGGCGGTCGAACGGAGAGACGAGCGGCCGCCGGAGAAAAGGAGGAAGCTAGAGAACGGCCGCAGTATACAAAAGTTCTTCACGCCTCGCCTCCCCAATCACACGAGCACGAGCGGCGATGCAGACGCTCCGCCCAACCCCAACCGCTCGCCTGAGCGCCAGGACAGTAGAGAGCAAGAAATGTTCGACGACGACTTGGACCTCGATCACCAACTAGACTCGGACGACGACGACGTCCAATACCCTCCCCTCTCTCCCTCCCGCCCATCAACACCAAAAACGCACCTCAACGACGACACCCCTCCGGACCTCACCCCTCCATCCGCACAACCCCAGTCCCACTCCCCCCGTACCCTCCCCCATCACGTCCAGCAAACTCTGGACACCTTCTTCTGCTCCCGCTGCTCTACCACTTTTCTCGCAGCGGAAAAGACCGAGCACGCCGACTGGCACTTCGCGAAAGACCTCGCGAAAGATCTGCAAGCGCAGGAGCGGGCCGACGCGGAGCGGAGACGCACTCGCGCGCCCTCGAAACCTGTGCCTCCGAAGCCGCAAAGCAGAGGCCGCGGTCGGCCGGCTGGCGGTGGTGGGAGTGGGAGTGGGAGCGGGAGTGCAGGGAGAGGCGGGGAGAAGGGGCAAAAACGGCTGGCGTTTGGGAAGGGTTGAGCTCATAACCTTTATGATAGTACCGTAGGAAGGGGTTCAGCGTGTGGAAGCACGAGTTTGAATAGGGTTGGGGAAGATTGGGTAGTAGGAACACGAATTCCACAATACGAGCGAGCGAGCGAGCGAGCTTGCTTTTGAGTCAGATTCGTCTACCACACGACCTGAAGTTTATAAACTCCCTACGTCGTTTTTTTCCGGAGCTAGATGAGTGGTGCATCTCGAAACCCCTCCCCCCCCCTTTTCCTCCTCTCACAGCTCATCCATCAAAAGCCGGCGCTGCGTCTCCATCCTCTCTGTTCCTCGCCTCTCAATACGTGTCACGCCTTCAAGCCGCAGGAGAAACCTCACTCTTCTCTGCAGAGAAGTTGGTGCGGGGTGCGGGTGCGGGGGAGCATCTTGCGAATGTCTTTTGCGTGGGCTGGAATGAAAAGCTTGGAACGTTGGGTTTATTGAGCCTACCTACTTATCGGGAAAGGGGGTGGGGGCTTGGGCATTGCTGTCAGACCCGACTAACTGAAAAGGAGGAAGGGGCGGCAGGGCCGGTCAAGGAAAAGCGTGGAGTTCCGCGAGCCGGGAAATTTCTAGATGGGAGGGGCGATTCGTGGTATGGAGGGTCTGGGGAGAGAAAAGCCGGAGGAGAGAGGATAGGGCTTATTTGGAGGCGGGGTGGAAAGGCTGGTGTGTTGTTGTTTGTAGCGCTCTCGGGGGTGGAAAAGGGTGGCGAAAGCGAGAAGGTGGGTTTGAGGTGGAAGGGATACGGAGGGGTGAGGAGCAGAGGGGTGGTTGGATGGGAGGGAGTGGAAAGGGGTGGTTTTGGAAATTGGAGGACCTACGACGTCATAATAATAATACCGCTCGCACCGTTGTAAACTCTTCCAAGAGATCTTTGTGGATGTAACACGGCACGCTGTGTCTTGTTCTTTGGCGACGGCGCAGGGGGTTGTAAGGGGCTTTTTGGGATCGCAGGGGTGGCCGGGGGCGAGGGTGTCGATGAGATGGGCGCAGGGGATGTGAAGGATGGCGTCGATATGGCACATGGCTTTGGGGCAGAGCTCATTCAGTAGTATCTTGGGTAAAATGAGTAAAGTAAGAAGAATGGGGAGAAACGTTTGGTCGGAAATTCAGAATTGGTGGTTTTCTAGAAAAATGCGGGTGCCCAGAACGTAGAGTAAGGAGAGCATACTCAAGGATTCATGGCTAGGATTGGATGAGGTTTATATGATGAGCTGTCACAAGTCACGCCTCTTGATGGATGTGTCAAACTCAATATATCCACGTGTGGGGTAACTACGGCACTGAAAAATTCTAGGTCCACCCTCCCCAATAAGCTATAATTAGGACGGGTTCCAGTCATCTAGCGTTCGATCTTGTCTCTTCTTTTCCTGGTTCGAGTGCCACATATACCATAAGGTCGCCCCTGCGATTAATGCTGCGGTGATCCCTATTACTATCCCTACTATCTCTGCGGGAGTGAATTGCCGACCATTGTTCTTGTTTCCGAGTGGTGATGATGCAGTTGTTGTAGAAGAGGGGGTAGACGTTGGTAAGTTCGAGGTGAAGGGCGTTGTGGATGGGATTTGAGAAGTTTTGAAGGTGGAACTGAGAGCTTCACCAGGATCCGATAGAGTGCTTGTGGGACTATGAGTGGCAGAAGTCGAGGGAATTGTTGTCAATGTTTCTATGCCGTCATATTAACCACCGCAGGTGTCGTATTATGATGGTCGATGATTCAAGCAGCAGCGCAGCGAAAAGGCCCCAAAACGGCTCAAAGACAGCACCACATATTGCGGGCTTCACCCTGACTCCGCCTGAGTATACGGTAACCGTCGCTGTGACGTACATAGTAACAGTGTACGCACCTGCTGCGCCTGGCTGCTGCGTCGTCGCCGGCAGTGCCCCACCTGTCGTCGGTATTGCGACTTGCCCAATATGCTTGCAGTACTCCGTATACGCTGCAACCGCGCTGGTCATGTCGTTCAAGTTGCTCCCGCACGATGAGTAGGCGCAATTGGAGAGGTAGCTCGTCGCAACCGGAATGAGGTCGGAGCGGCAGAAGCAGCCGTCGATGGGGTCGTTCCCACAGCTGAGTTGCTCGTTGGCGAGCCAGAAGTCACCCCGTGCGTTGCATTCCCAGTAGCAGCATTGAGCGCATCCGCGAAGCTGTTGGTATAGTGGATACTGGGATATACTGACGGTTCCTGCATTTGTATGTCCGAGGAAGTTGATCCCGAGGGCAAAGAGAAGCGGAGCAAGCAGTATTCGAGGAGCTATGGCTGGACTCTTGAGGCGGGAAGTACGAGAGTGTTGATGGATATACGCCTGGAAGAAAGAAACAGAGCTCCTCTATACACTTAGGGGGAATGAAGGAGAGAAAGCAAGAGTAAAGGCGAGCGAGGAAAAGCCGTTTGAGTTCCTTATCAGCCTGATCCCCATGCTTCAAGGCTGCTCAGCTGCAACTTACTCGGTCCAGCCTCAGCGCCATGCCAATACTTCGCTATGCCACAGCTGGAGGTCGACGAACACGGACCAATCATACGCGATGAAACTCATCATATCGCGTGACTGAGAACCTCAGATGCACGTGTTCAATCTACTTCACAAGCTTTGCTACTTCGGAGGTGGAGATATAACTTAGACAAGAGAGAGTTTCTAGGAAGACAGACAATACAGCACTATCCTCATGGTTCAACAGGATGGCCATTTCAGAGCGACCATGGGGTAGAGTCTGATTCCAAAGAGTCTTGTGGCTGGGTGGTTGACCAGGTAGGCAGCTTGGCCCTGAAGCTTGTCGGAAGCCTGTTATAGCCAAAGGTGGGAGAAGTTGTTTCTATTCTCAGTGAGTCGATGGGGGTAGACCCTTAAGCGTCAAAACGGTTGTTTCTAGAGATTAGAAGTTGAGGTGTTGAGGACAGACGTCAGCGAAAAGAGGAGGAAGTTCACTCGTCGCTTGCTTGGCGACTATTCTATACCAAAAGGAGAGCATCACGTGCTCTCACATGACTCTCTTAAATAAGGTACGGGAACCTTAATCAAGTTATTCGATGATACTTTGCAGACTTATCAGTCCTCATGAACTTTCTCCCATTCCACAGCACCTGCTCTTGGTTTAGGTATGGGCGAGGGGAATGACCTTGTTGGCAGCTTTTCATAGCCTAGTGGCCAAGAACTTTATTTGTGTATCAGAGCTCTGGAGCGGCTCCTTCAGCCCCTTCATCTCGTCCGCCCTGCGGGTCCTTTTCGGCACGTGTAGACACTTCAGTCGCATGTTTTATTTCTGGCTCTTCATCACGCCTCTAAGCCCCTTCGAAGTCAGCGCAGGCCGCCATGTGTATACAGCTATTGTGCATAGCCTGCTCTGTCTGCTTATGCTTCTCTACCCAATCACGACTAGACTGGGAGAGAATAGAATAAAATCTGCGACCGACAAGAGCCCTAAAACACAGCCCTGTATGTATGCTTACGCGATACGCTTATAGTGCTTCTCTATCCGCCCCCAAATCGGACCCGGCACTTAGGCTGCAAGGCCCCCCGGCGCCAGAGGCAAGCTACATAATGAATCGCCGTGCACTTTTAGAGATCCAAAAGATACCCCGTCTACTTTTCCCTGCGCGTTTTTTCTCTCATCATGGGCGACGGCTCCGTCGAGCTACGAGAGCACGGCACCAAGCGTGACGACAACTGCCTTGTTCGATCCGACGATGCCGGAATCTGGAATTATATCAAAGCGTGGCACTGGTTTCCCCTCCACCTGGCCTGTTGCATTTGCTTCATTGTTGTCATGTTCTTGCTGGTCGACAACCACACCTTTTTGTCCGGAACAACTCCTGATTCCGATCTACGACGGTCCGGATTCTACCAAACAGAGGTGACTGGACTCGTTTCAGCTGCGCTTGTCCTTATTCGCCTTGTCGCCGGCGTAGGTTCCGCCCTCGTCCTGTGGCGCTTGATTTTCATCCTTCTGGAGAAAAGCGGCCTCACTCTTGCGGAGATATGCCGCTTGGCCGACAAGAAGCTTCCGATATTGCCTCGCTTTGAGTCCTCTAGTCAATCGCTATGGTCCTGCTTTGCTTTCGTCGTTGTAATCTTGCTCTGGCCCCAAACAATCGCCGCACCGCTTGCCAACTCCTCCTTGGCTTGGACGCCTTCCACCAAACTAGCCAGTGCATCATCATCACAAAATTATATTCTCAATACATTAAACGATCCCAAGGACAAGGACAGCTTCGTATACGCAAATTTGATCACAAGAGTCATTTTCATAGCGTCTTTCATGGCCGGCAAAAACCCCGACTACGCATTCGCCGCGCTGAGGGATTCGCAAATTCCTCTTAGGCGATATAGTTACTTGATCCCTTCGCTAAACGATGGCGGGCTTGGTTCATTCGGTTTGCCATACTTTGAGGTCATAAACCTCAAATGGATTGACGCGCCCGACGGTCGTCAACTCAACCAGATGGACAACTCGAGCATGCTTGAGGATCCGGTTACTCCTGAAGTATTTGCTCCTGTAGGGAATCTAGCTTTTCTGAGGGATACCAAATGGCTCGCAAACGAGACGGTAGATCTGTACGAACCTCAGATTTTCGAAGGGAAAAAGAATGTTTCTGTCAAGGTCGATGGGACGTATCTTGGTCAGATAATCGATGGAAAGAACGTGACCGAAGACACTCCCTGTCCAACGGTTGGAGATGTTTTCGGAAAGCTACCGTCCGTCCAAAGATTCCACCGCGGATACTACGTTTCTAACGACTGGCGTGCCAACGACTGCTACTTGCTCGCAGAAGTTACCATAAAAGCTGGAATCTACCCAAAACGATTTAGCAACGTAACTCTTGTTGGGTCTTCAGACCACGTTCACGCCATAAGCCCCATAGGTGGTGCCGATGATGCGAATCCCTCCCTGATTCCTGACGGTAGCGTCGGGCCAGTATTAGACATGATGTCTGATGTGGCAAGGCTGATAATTGCACTCAACCTAACTTCGGATTGGCAAAAGGATAATATCGACAACTTCGTAAAAGGTATGCTTTCGATGTCGTATCACAGCACCTGGAGCGCGATGCCCGTAATAATCAATGATAATACCGAGGCTGTTGATGTCACACCTATGGAACCCGTTATCCTTGCCTCTGTCGATAAACGGCGACTATATGCCTGGCTAGGCATGAATTTGGCACTCACAGTTGCTGCGCTTCTTGTCGGAGTCGCGCATCACTGGACCACCACGAGGATAAAGACGATCCGCGACACCACCCTCGCTGCATTGACAATAGACATCTCGAAGATTTCACACCAGAGCGGTAGTGGACTATGTAATGCTTCGGCATTGAACGGAGACGACCATGCTATAGGAAGGATGAAATGGAAAGATGATAACGACATGGAAACCTATCATATGACTGATGAAACTCATCGAGACGGTTGCCGGAGAGAATTGGTGATTGTGAATAGAAGGCAAAGAAGACTGAGAGATATATAGTTGGTACCTTCTTCACTCGCAATTCCATAATTATAGACTATTTTCAAAACCTTACTTTCTTCTAACCTACTACCTGCAAGTAAGCTGCTAAACAATTGCAGGATGTCGCTGCAACCTACAATACTCAACCGATCAGAGAGAATATACCCTGCAGTCCTCACTCTCGTCAGACACCCCGCACGAACCTCGACGTCTTCCCCGGCTCCCAAATCATAGGGCAGCTCGTGTAAGATCTAGATAGCTCCCGCAGGGCGGCGGATCGTGCCGACGTGTAGCATTAATCCCAATTTGGAGTAGCGCCGTGACGCTCACCTAAAGATAGATTACGCGCCGACGTGAAACGCCATTGAAAAGCTCCAATCGAACCCCCTTCTCATTCGCTAGAGCATTAACGAATCACTTGGTGATGAACTGTAGCCGCTCGATGTCTTATTTGAAGAAGAGATGCTGTCCCGCTGGAGGTCCTACGAGCGGGGTCTTGTTTCCGTTTGTTCGATTCTCTCCTGATATTCCATTCCAAAGATTTACACTTCTCCCTGGTTCAATATGAATTATTTCTTAGTGCATTTACTAGTCTTAGCTGCGAGTCAGTTCAATATGCCCGTTGAAAGAATTACGCGGTTGATATGTTAACATCTTAGCAGTCTTACCATGGGTGCAATGTGATGCCCCTCCAGCCTCAACTCTCTACCTCAGCGAAACCAACACCACATTCTCCATCAATCTCCCCGATAACTCATCTGATGTATACATCTACTTCTCCTCCCCAGCGTTCTCCTGGGTCGCGGTGGGCGCAGGCGATAAGATGGCGAACTCCCTCTCTTTTATCATGTACCCTTCCGCCAACAATAAAAGTAAGCTACAGCGTCTCACCCAAAGCAAAACTTCTGAGCACCACAGCTAACAGTATTAAAGATGTCACAATAAGCCCCCGCATTGCAAGGTCCGTCTCTTTTCCATATTACTATACACTGTTTAGTCTAACCTGAGTAGTGGCCACTCCGAACCAACCTTCGCCCCAGAGATTCAGATCGAGTCTCTGCCCGGCACAACCATTAACAACGACACACTTGTCCTCAACGCTGTCTGCCACAACTGCCGTACTTGGCGTGGCGGCTCACTGGACGTCTCTTCCACCACTCAACCGTGGATATACGCATTCGGCCCAGATCTCGAGCTACAAAGCAATTCTCAACATGCGCCACTGCGACGGCATCACGCTTACGGTATGACCTTCCGCCCGTGTCACATAGAATAGAAAATTACTAATGCACACTTAGGCCACTTCACGATGAACATGGTCCAAGCCTCCGGAGCCGGCGGCGTGCCAGAACCCAGCACCGTAATGAACGGCGCCCAGCTCGTCGGCGCAGAGAAAGAAGACAACGGAAATCAAGCCACAGTCGCCCACGCGATCCTCATCGCCTTCGCTATCTTGGTCATGACACCGATCAACGTAGTCCTCGTGGGACTCTTCAAGACGTTCAATTTGCATATCTGGTTCTCGGTGCTGGTTATGATGTTCATAATCGCTGGATTCGGGTTGGGGATATCTATTAGTGGGGAGTATAATAGGGTGAGTCTAGCTCAGTCTTTGAATTTCTCATAAGTTTGCCAGGTAGTAGTAGGCTAACGGAGCGCATTCACACAGTCCAAACACTTCTCCTCCCCCCACCAGGTCCTCGGCTTCATCACCATTATCGCTTTCCTTGCCATTGGCGTACTCGGCGGCTTCCAATCCCGCCAACTGCGCGTGCCCTCCACGAACGCGCCACGGCAAGCTACAAAACTGGACACTGCGCATACATGGCTCGCGAGAGGGGCGTGGCTCCTTGCCGTCATTAACGGCGGACTGTAAGACACCCTTTATTTTACCCCTACACCTAGTCACTTCTCTCATGTTTCGGACGGGCTCATGCTTACATCCCACCGCAGTGGTCTCCAATTCGCCTCCTCGCCCATGCACACCCGCATCATCTACGCGCTCGTCACCCTCGCTCTCACGCTACCGATGGTGATAGTGTATCTCCTCGTCTGGAGGCGGCAACGGGTTACCAAGGAGAAGTTTGATGAGGACCGGGATGTTGTGCTTGAGGCGTACTATCTGTCGCAGCCGAAACCGATCCATTGAGCGGGGACGGTAGGATTAGGATGGTGAAGTTGTGCGTGTAAGACTTTGGTCATATGGGAGATGCTGTGGGCTGCTTCATTTCGGGTTAGCACAGGGAGTTTCGATGATTTTTTGGGTATGAGTACGTAGGGCGTTCGAGGAGTTTGCAGACCCCCCATGTTCAGATGGACCGCTTAGAAAGATGTACACGATTTGTAATTCTCCGTTCATTCGAAATGGACGAACTTACAGATTACAGTAACGTTTCGGCCGTTCATTGACATTCTGGCTGAGAATACAAACATACCGCAACCGCAGAACAGCCTCACCAAAGCCTAAAGTCACATCAAGCATCTGGCCTCACGACTAAAGAAAGCCCAAAATCCAAATAACTCCTCCAAAGACTCTCAAATCCCAATCCTCAAGCCGCCTGCTCATGACTCTTCTCGAACGGCCTCGCAAGTAACTTAAACTTCCCTTTCTTCAACGCCCTCTCCCCAGCCCATCGGCTCAACGCCTCCCAATTCACACACACCGTCTTCGCATCACTCTTCAGCACCTTATTCCGCGCCTCCCGCGAGTCCTTCGCCCACTCGAAGCTGTACAGCCCAACGTCAGCGTGGCACATCACGGCGCGGCGGAGGGTTCCGATGCAATGGTCTACACAGCCGTATCGTCAGCGCCTCTAATGCAACGCAATACAAAATGCTCCGAGAAGGCTACGAGGGGTCCGTACCGTAATGCTCCACCGCAAAAACAACATCAGCGTGTGAGATGTTGGTGAGGTGGTGGCGGTAGTAATCCATATGCACGGCCTTCCGTAGGATATCGAGGCAGTGCAGTTGGTGCCAGACGCCCAGCGAGCCCATGTAATCGCCGTTGGGGAGCTGGACGCGGTGGGTGAGGTTTTCGTGCTGGGCGGCGAGTTCGGCGGGTGAGGCGCGGATGAATTGGGCTGCGAGCTGGAGGCTAGAATTCGGTGTCGCTGGGACGGAGCTAGCGGGTGCGTACATGATAGTAGGTCATCCCAGGCTAAGTCGGTCGCAGGTGAAGGCGGCTGGTCATATGGAGAGTCTGTGTTGTCCCAGAGTGGGCGCTTCTCATATTTGAGAGCTTTTGTTGCGGGTGCTGGGAAGGAGTTAACTGAGGGGCTGGGTTTGAGGGCTGGCTTCGTACAGTATGGGGATTTGGGGAACAGTGTGGATGCGTCATGTCGGGATTCAGTTATAAAAGTTATGGTCAAGAATGCGGCTATGTATGAGAGGAGTAAAAGTATGAGTGCCGAGATAACGGTCTGAATTATTGAAACGTGAGTATTCTTTCGGCTTTCATGCCATGGCGATGAAAGTTCGGTGGGCTGGGTGCGGTTTCGAAGCAGAGGTTCTGATGATTCTGCCGATGTGTCTTCCATCTCGGTCGCAATAGCTGCTCAGTCGAGTTCAATGAGCATCTTATAGATGTCATCGCCTGAGCTGAGGTTCGGGAAATTTGAAAGAGACTTTTTGCGAGGTTCCATGGGCTTGACACTATAGTAGCTATTGGAGAGTTTGTACCACATCAAAGAAGCGTAAGATCATATGCATTTCCGCAGCCCGTTCGGGAATGACCCAGTCTGCAACCTCCCATTTCCGTTGTTTGTGTCCTAGAAACTATTGAGAAGATCAGAGACACGGATCAGAGAAACTCCGCTCACCAGACCCACCGCAGCATATTTCCTAAGCTGCCATATGCTGGGACAAACTTAAACCTCGGCAAATATTGATCAAAATCATCTGATTCAAGCAGGATGGTCGCTATCCGTCCCAGGCGGAACGGACGCAACGCTACACGGTCCTATAGGGCCACTGATAGTGTTACTCTCAACGTGGAAAGAGACACAATCGATGAAAACCGCTTTGTTGCTGATAGTCTATCCGGAGGGCCCGCGGGTTGCGTCCCTTACAAACATGAAGAATGGCATAAGATAGTAGTTTGCACTGCGACCTCGGCATATCCTCTGGCTCTGGCTCATGAGCGGGGCCTCGATCGGATCTCTCATTCTAGCCGACCGACAAATTGGAAGAGTGTGATGGCTGAAAATGTCGGTTTGGTTTCAGACGCTAGGGATCACGATGTCGGTCTTTGTCGGCGTCGGGGGGATTTGCACGCACCTGGTCGTTCGGAGAAGTTTGAACCCGCAGTACTGCACCTCAAATATCGTTCGTAGCCCTCTGCGCTTTTCTTGCGGTCATTGAGATTTACTACTCCTTGTCACAGCTTCGCCGCAAGAAGTTTAAAGGAACGGAAGTCAAGCACAACATGCTCACCAAGGGCTTCATCCTCGCTTTCTTGAGCTCTGTCATTATCGCCGCTCCGGTTTCCATCAACGGTACTACCTTCTACTCAAATTGGAATCATATTTAACAAGTCGCAGAAGAAAGATCCCTCCGCGCCCGGAACGAAGGTCACGTTTTAACCAAGCCGTTTGAGGCGAATCCGAAACCGGTAGCCGCTAGAAAGCAAGATGAGGTTGACGGTAGTGGACAGTGGAAGCGTGAAAAGGGCCATTTTGAGGTCATGCAATTTCACACAGATGCGAGGCTCTCAGAGCATGATAAAGTTGGCGGTGATGGACATTGGAAGAGACAAGACGAAGTCGAGGGCGGAGGGGATTGGAAACGAGACGAGTTCGAGAGAGATGCGCAGTGATAATGAAGCAGCGCCAATAATCGATTGCAGCTGCGAGCGAGATCTTGAGGTCTTGTATTGAGAACAAGCTGATGATTTCTTGGGGGTTGTGGGTTGCTGCGTATCTTCCGTTGGCTTCATAAGACTGTAACTGCTATAAATCTCCTCAGTTTGGTGTAGTACTGTTGGTAGAGCGCGAAAGAAAGGGAATCTGCTGAGTCCGAGAACCTGGATAGTTGGTATTCGCGAGAAGCATGTCAGGCAGATGTCAAGCTACTTAGCTACAAACGAGACGATGAGTTCGTCCGAAGTCCTTGTCCAGCTGCAAGAAAACTATGGGCAAAGCTGTGAAGAGTGTTTCTTGGGAGTCCGAGAGGTTAACTAACTAGCTTTGGAAAGGGTTTATTACTAAGCAACCACGGACTGTTTAACTAGCCAGGCCCAGGTAACTAAATGATCCACAATGCTTACTAATCTAGTCGCTGGTCTCTTAGCAGTCACGTGGCAGTCACGTGGAGGATCGGTATTCCTCCACAACTTCCAAGAAAATGCCCAGTGTTGCCAATAACGGATTGACGTCAAACGTCCTCTAAATAGCTCTCAACCCGAGCTTCTTCAAGCGTCACCCGACCAGGTGACGCGATTCACGGGTGTTGCTGCCGAGCGCCCCTTTCTAAATTCTCACACAACCTTTGCCTCCCACAACGGTCCGTGCAAAAACCAACACCAGGAACTCGGGAAGATGCATCAGCAGTCACGCGTTGCAATATTGAGAATGATTACCCATCAACTCGTTTCCTAGCATCATCTCTGCCTTACTGAATAGCCTAAAGCGTCGAGCCACGCGGTACCTGGCGGATCAATACGAGGGCCCAATCGCCTGCGCCGGCGGAACAGCGGATGCGAAAAACATCGGGTGACGTCGTCGCTTTTCATAGCAGACGGCACATGGATCGCCACGCTTGCCTGCAGGACAGCGGGATACCTGCAGACCTTTATGGTCGGCCCCTGCGTCGAGCAGGAGTCCCTTTCCCATATTTTCTAGCTCGCATGACCCTCTCTTCCTCTTTCCTACAACCTTCACTCGCTTCAGAAAGGCAATTGATCCGCCTCGTTTCTGTATAATCTTTTTGTATAATCACAATGCGCGCCTCCACATTCGCTTCGCTGCTCGCTGCGCTCTCCGGCTTCTCCGGCGCTGAGGCATACTGGAAGGGCTTCAACGTGGGGGCAACCAACCCTGATGGCTCTTGCAAGACCACTGCGGACTGGAAGACTGTCTTCACGACTCTGAAAGGCCTTCCTGGAGCATTCACTTCCGTCCGCGTTTACGCTTCCTCCGACTGCAACACGCTCGCTAATGCCGTTCCCGCGGCTGTGGACACTGGAACTGGAATCTTGGTTGGTGTGTGGACCGAGGACGACGCTCACTTCGAGGCCGAGAAGCAGGCGCTTTTGAGTGCTATTCAAGAGCATGGATCCGACTGGATCATTGCTGTTGGTGTTGGCAGCGAGGATCTCTACCGCGGCGATACAACGGCCGACAAGCTCGCTTCTCAGATCAATGATGTCCGCGGCATGATTCGCTCCGTTGGTGCTAACCAGGACGTCGGACACGTTGACACCTGGACCGCGTGGGTCAAATCAGAGAATAACGCCGTCATCTTGGCATCCGACTTTGTTGGAACGGACGGCTACCCCTACTTCCAAGGCGCCGAGATCCAGAACGGCGCCAACGTCTTCTGGGACTCTGTGCAGGCGACGCGCGATACTGTTAACGCCGTCAAGCCTGGAACCTGGGTGTGGATTACCGAGACTGGATGGCCGGTTAGCGGTGCCAACTTCGATGCGTCTGTCGCTTCTGTGTCGAATGCGCAGGCATACTGGACCAACGTGGCTTGCGCTGCTTTTGAGCAAGCTCACACTTTCTGGTAAGTGTTCCGAATGCTTCACACGCTTGAGGACCGTCAGCTGACTCCATTAGGTATGCGTACCAAGACTACCAGGCATCGCCGTCGTTCGGTGTCGTGGATGCGAACAGGAACCCAGTCTACAACCTTGCTTGCTAGAAGAATGTCCCTAAAAAGCTGGAATGATATGATACTACTGCTACAAAACCTGAGGGTAATAATATGAGAGATCGGAATCAGAATGTACGCTATACTAGACATTTTTGGAGTCAAAAGTGTACCTTGATGAAATTGATATGTATAATGAACGTTGATCTATTCTGTATTCGTTAAGAGATAGCGCACGAGACCCGTGGATATTCCTTGATCTAAACGCGCACTACAATGAAACTGGCATAACCAGCCGATGATCTTTGCGGCTGCCGTTAGTGAATGCACTGAACTTTCCAGAACTCTAAGCGAGCGAAGTCGGGATGTCCACGCGTCCCTTGCCCGCCAACCGTTCGGATGCGGTAGTGTGGTAGTAGGGCTGCGTTCTAAATTGGGTGCTCAATCTGTGGGTCGAAGTGACGATCCGGTTCCGACGGCAGAAGCCATGTGACGATGCAGTGGGTCTGCGAACCGAATGCTGTCTTGATCTTGGAATGTTTCAAGGTTTGGCAAGCGGGAGACTTTGGAGAATGATGGGGGTAAAGAAGTGGAGTGGTTGGGGAAGGTTGGCTCAGGATATTGTGTGCATATGCAGATATTGCGTGCCTCGAAGTTGTGAGACTTCAGTGTGTAACAGTCGTACAGTAGCGGCGAGCGCTTTCATGTGCCTGTCTGCGACGTCTATGTAATACTGTCGCAACGGCACGGCTATGGCCGAAAGAAACGATCAACGGCGGCGTGGGATCTGCAGAGCCTCAGCCCTTGATGCATGAGAATTGCATCAGTCCCAAGAAAGCGACTCGGTGTGGTCTCGACGCGATGACACAGCGTCTGCGGCCAAGCCGAAACGGGTTCCGGTCAAGCTGGGCGCGGTCAGCGATTGGGCCAGCGGCGTCTGTTTATCGCAGCGGAGTCCGGCAGGCTGGCTGGTGGTGAGTGGAGATGCGCTGGCCTTGCATGGGAGTGCAGAACCCGACCGTCTCCCCGCAGATGCCAATGTCACACTTCGCGACTGTCGGTGAACTGGCGGCCTGTGAAGCCCTTTTTCAGCCCTATGTCCTTGCAACGCAGCCTGCGATTGGCTACGACCGGCCAAACTCACCGATGGGCCTCTGCATGCCCGTGGTATGCGCCAAGCTGCCTACGTGGGGAGTGTGATCAGGACAAGTATCGCCAGCTTGACTTGGCGACTTAAAACAAGACGCCGCTTCCTCCCTACGCCGTATATCTGTCCGAACATCTCTCAGGCGACTATTTGACTGCGGCACTCCTCGCACTGCCTCTTGCTTTCTGATCCTCTCAATCATCCATCCCTCGCTACCCCGCATTGCAGGATACCCCACCAAACACTGTTTGGGATCGATGCCTGTGCTCCCATCCACTGTTTCGAAACCACCTCCTCCAATTCAGACGCTGGCTACTTCTTCCAGCGAGTCCCAAGCCTCAATGGCTCCAACATCTCCTGCTGAGCCCTCTCCCGCCTCCTTCATGTCGCGCCGCAGCACTCAAGGCTCAGCGTCGTCGACGATCTCCCCGGTCGAGGCGACCTTCTTCGAATCAATTGCCTCGAAAGTAAAGCGAGGCCGTTCCCGCAGCCGCTCCCAGCAAGGCGTACCCCGGAACCGATCAAAATCGCCCTTACCACCCGATCATCTGTCCTCATCGTCTTCTGCTCGCACCTCCACCTCGCCGCCAAGGCCTCAGCAAACCCGTCACTTCTCAACCATCAGCCAGGACTCGACTCGATCCAGCAACGATGACTCAAAACGATTTGACCCAACTCCAACGCGGCGCGCTACAGCAAGCAGCGATCCATGGCGAGGACGCCACGCGAACTCGTGGCTCTTCAACGACTTCAGCGTCACAGACCACGCAAAGGACCTCTTCCACCTCGGCAAGAACTCCCGCTCATAAAGCAGCTGAGCAGTGCTCGTCTGTAATCTTCTACTAGATTGTTTGGCTGTGCTGGAACGCTGCTGGATGCTTAGTGCATGCTTCTCGATGAAGCGGAACAGGCCACTGATACACATACTTCTGTGGATAGAACTGTGTCTTCGGGCCAGGACAGAGAGTCGAGCTGGCTCGAGTCAAATTGGTTATCTCTGCAAAAGACTGAGCGATATTTTTCTTTCGTTCTAACGATTCAGACGTTTAGTTGGGACGGTGCGGTGATTTAAGGATGGGCTTTTCTTTCTCTTGTTGGAAACGTGGTATCTTTGAATGAACGGCCTGGATGCTTTCATCTACCATGATGTATACTAGTCTAGTCTGATACCCCTGCAAGAGATATATTACGAATGTCATAGAGAGCAGCTAATCGCCTCGTCCGTGTGCATTGAAGACACCCCGTGTTTGATAATGGTAACGTTTTGAGTGATAAACCTGCTATTATTAGGAAATGAGGATCACTAGGAGCCGCATAGCCCTGCGGCGTAAGGAGTGGGGGTGGGGTATTGGACGCCTGTATGCCTGATTTGAAGGTTGTAGAAAGAGGAGGAAGTTGCGTGACAAGTCCGAGCTCCTCGTCCCTCAAACTCTCTTTCTTCGTTCATCGTTACCCACCTTGACACTCACGATATCATCCACTCCGACTCCGGCTGCTAACTTCGGAGTGCTTCACGCTGGAAAGACGTCCTTACTCCGACCATCAGGCTCCACAACGGTACATAAGGCCGACGAAACGCATCATGTCGAGCCCCGCACACTCTTACGCAGCCTCCCCCCTCATCTACAACCACCCACCATGACAGACACTGGCTCTACGGACCATGTTCGAGCAACCTTACCAACGCCGGTTTCTACGGCATCATTCTGGCACAGCGAGCCATCCGAGTTCCTTTTTGGACACAGAACAACCGACGATCTACCAGCGGCAGCAGACATTGTCATCGTAGGAAGCGGCATAACAGGAGCATCCATCGCCCGATTCCTTGCAGAAGATGAACGGGCAAAGGGCAAGAGCATTGTCATGCTGGAGGCGAGAGAGGCATGCTGGGGGGCTACGGGAAGGGTGAGTTCGCCATACACCCTCGATAAAACGAAGCTTGAGCCACCGCTTTGGTCAATACATGCAACATCTGCTGATTTGCGACAACTTCCCACAGAATGGAGGCCACTGCCAGCCACTCCTCTTCGACCGCGGTCCCGAAGTCGCAGCCTTCGAGCTGAAAAACGTTCACGCCGTTCAATCCTACATCGAAGCCCACAACGTCCCCTGCGAATGGCGCAGTGTGTCTGGATGCCGTACCTTCTGGAAAGAAGACCTGATCCAAGAAGCAGAAGAAGCGATCAAAGAGCTTAAAGAAGCAGCCCCAGACATCGGCAAAATGGTCACAATAATCAAAGACGCCGCCGAACTAGCCAAACACCGCGTGCACCCCTCCTGCACCGGCGCAACCCTCACTGAAGGCGCTGCCAGCCTCTGGCCCTATAAATACGTTACTTTCATCCTCGAGAAGCTCGTGAAAGAAGGCATTTTAAACCTCCAAACCACTACTCCCGTCACCTCCATTACCTCAACTCCTTCGACCTTCGCGTCCAACAACAACCCCCCAAAGCCCCTATACACTCTCCATACCCCCCGCGGCCCCATCTCAACAACCACCCTCCTCCTCGCCACAAACGGCTACACTTCCTCCCTCCTCCCCTCCTTCGCCGACCTAATCGTCCCCGTACGCGGCACCATGTCCGCCCTGCTCCCCCCTCCCGCCGCCACCCTCCTCCCAAACTCGTACGGCATGGTCGGCGCCCTCGACCAGCCCAAAACCGCCGACGACTACCTCGTCCAGCGGCCCTACTCCGGCGTCCCAAACCCCGCCGCCCACTACATGTTCGGCGGCGGCCGCGGCGCCAGCTCGCTCCCCTGCATCGGCGTCAGCGACGACTCGGTCCTCGACACCGGCGCCGCCGCATACCTCCGCACCGCGCTGCCCAAAGTCCTCGATCTCGGGCCGGACAGCAAGCCTGGCGATGAGCTGGAGGCGGTGCAGCAGTGGACGGGGATTATGGGGTACTCACGCGACGACCACCCGTGGGTGGGCGCGGTGCCGGATATGCCCGGTGTGTGGCTGGCGGGGGGGTATACGGGGCACGGGATGCCGAATGGGAGTCTGTGCGGGAAGGCGGTGGTGGGGATGGCGTTGGCGGCGTTGGAAGGGAAGGGGGAGGGGGTTGGGGAGGCGATGGTGGACAGGGGGGAGATGCCGAGGGCGTATTTGATTAGTAAAGAGAGGATTGAGCGGACGAGGAGGCTGCCGACGGTTGAGGTGCAGGATCTGCAGGGAGGGTTTAGGGTGTAGAGAGGTGTAGAGGGTAAAGGGGAGATGGTAGATAGTAGATGAGAATTGGTAGATAGGGGTTAGGAGGTACGCTTCGGGGCATAGATTGTGGTTTCGTCAGTACATCTGTAACATCTTCGCACAGCGCGCCCTACGTGCTCCCACTTTCCCTCGTGTTCTGCGTAAAGACTCCCCTTTCAAGTATACTAAAGCGGGTGCTTGGCTAGTACAGAGCGTATATAGCGTATTCATTCGTAAACTGGCAGGTAAATGGCGTGAACAATCTACCCAACGCATTTCTTCATCGGGGCATCCACTTACAGCGATTCGTCAATTCCATGATCAAAGGGCGCACCAAACTACCCTTTTGCGGTCAAGTATACTACCGCTAGCGTGGAATTGCTACAAGGATCCACCTATCACGAGTACCGCATATCGAGGTCCTCTAGCATGCGACCCAGTCGGCATAACCGATTTCGTTCGCAGCGTTTGCGGCTGGGATCTGGGCTTATTTGGCTTAGTCATTCGGGGCTGACGGTGGGGTATGTTTGCGTGTATAAGAAGCATGACAGCCCGTTGTTTGAAGCTGCCATACATCTTGCGCTTTCCCGTTTTTTGATTCAGTTGATATTTCCACGTTAAATTGGACGGACTTGGTCGGTTCTTGTAGACTCCGAGGCTATTAGATACAGTATAAAAGTACGTTCAAGACTAGAGTATTTTTGTACTCTTTCCATCTCTACTCCTCATCAATCAATATACATTGTCAGCGCCTCTGTCCTTGCTCCTCATCCTGATATCCCATCTAGCATCCTCTATCCCAAAGCAACATCTTCAATCTTCAACAATGTCCTCCCCCCTCCCCAAATCCTACGGCCTCGTCCTCTTCCCCGGCTTCCAAGCCCTCGACGCCTTCGGTCCCCTCGACGTCCTCAACGTCCTCTCAATCTCACATCCCCTCTCCCTCTCCATCCTCGCCTCCACCCTCGCGCCCGTGCCCACCAACAGCCCGGCCAACGGCAAGCTCTCCCCCAACTTCGGCGAGTCCGTCGTGCCGACGCACACGTTCGCGAACCCCCCGGCCGATCTGGAAGTGCTGATCGTGCCGGGGGGTTTTGGGCTGCGGAACGAGGCGGTGGTGGAGGAACTGGCGCAGTTCCTGAAGGGGGCGTATCCGAAGTTGAGGTATGTGCTGACGGTTTGCACGGGGAGCGTGCCGTTGGCGCAGAGTGGAGTGTTGGAGGGGCGGAAGGCGACTACGAATAAGAAGGCGTGGGTTTGGGTGAGTTTTCCCTTCGAAAAGGGTTTTTTTTTTCCGTATTTTTGCTGTGTGGAGGGCGCCATTGGGACTAGCATGGATTGAGATTCTGACGTATGGGCAGGCGACGTCGCCGTTTCCGAAGGTGGACTGGGTTCACAAGGCGCGATGGGTAGTGGATGGGAACATCTGGACCGGCTCGGGCGTGTCGGCGGGTATAGATTTGGTCCTCGCGTTCGTGGAGGAGGTGTATGGGGCGGCGAAGGCGAAGGAGCTGACGATCGGGATTGAGTATGATAGACATGAGGATCCGAGTTATGATCCGTTTGCGGATATTTGGAAAGTCACAGAGTGAATCTGGGACACTGCTTAGTCGATAGAAAAGGTACCCGTAATGTTATACCTCTCAGCCGTAACTGATGACGCTTTGGCCTCCGACTTTGATTGAGGATACCGCTGGAAGCTCCCAGCTGGTGAAGTTGGATGGCAGTTCTGCCATTTGCGGGATGGGCTCGATGCTTGGGAGCTCTGCTGGTGGTGCAGGTTCGTCTTCCCAATCATTTTCGACCTTTTGGTCGGTCCATTTGTGCCGTATCAGTTTGCCCTTTTGATCGATTGCAAATACATATAACCCTTCAGGCGACTCGAGAAACCGCAGAGATGTGGGTGATGCCTTTTCTTGAGATGATAGCTGGACGACGCATTGCTCATCTACCTCCCTCTTGCAACCGATACCACCCTTTACGGCACCAGCCAGACTGAGGATTTTGATTTTGCCACCTTCTTCAAGCACAGCTACAAGGCCACCGTTCGAGGTCACGGTCCCCACAAGATATTTGGCGCGTAGGCTAGTGAGGTCGTGTTCTAGATCTGGCGGCATTGTGACTGGACATGGCGCAACAGGACTGATGTATGACCACTCCCCTCGTCCGTTATTGGCGGCTCGCTCGAACGATGGCGAAGTCGTCGTAAGGATGTAAGGCCGCCTTGAGGGAGCAAAGAATAGTGTCGCCGATGTCACGCCGTAAGAAACCATAGACTATGTACAATTAACTGCGGTCAAATGAAGAGATAATGTGAGAGGTTGGAAGAGTGAAGCCGCAAGGTGATCGTAGAAGATATTAACGCAAGTCACATACCTTGGTGTACTCTCTTTCAACTCTGAACGGATGACCTTTTGGTTGCCCATTATTTGATAGCCGCCATATGAGCACCACGTTGTTGTTCGTGATACAGATCAACTTGCTTTTGTCTGGGCTGAAGCTAACCCCTTTGAGAAGGCCGCCAGCGAGAGGATCCGGACGACTTCTATAAAACCTCTCCAGCTTGGGCTCAAGCCTTCTGCGGTTATTATGCTTCTTGAAATGGAAGAGCTTAATGTCGCCAATGAAACCATTGAGGCCTCGGACAATCCCGCCACCAACGGCAATCCACACTTGATCTTTACCTTCATGAATGGCAAGGCAGCTTGGCTCCCACCGGTGTCCTCCAGCTTCTTGTTCGGACAGCTGACATTGTCCGACGGGTTGTGTCGCATTTGGGAGGTTGAGATGATGGTACTCATGGACTTCTAGGCCGCGGCCATTGGTGAACGCAAGGAAACAGTTAGATAGTACTGCATCCTTCATATAACTCTGAGGTCGAATCAACTCCAATCCAGCCTGCAACTTCTTACCATGGGATAGATAACGCGTATCGTAAAGCACAACTCGGTCGTCGCTTTGGAGAAATGCAGCTTCGCAATTTGGCGAGAGCCCGGAGTTGATGCAATCCACTCGAGAAGACGTTAAGAATTTACGTGCTTTTTCCCGAGGCCTTTGTAGTTTGACTAATACAGTCTCTATATTTGATGATCGCTGCATAGATTCGATGCCGTTTTCGTTCCATCCATCGCGCCGGATACGGTACTGGGGACCTTCTTCGGACACAAGGCTCCCCGATGATGATAAAGCTTGAGAGTGGCGTCGATCTCTGACATACTGGCCCCTTTCCTGGAGGATGCACTGGCTGATGGCTTGGACTTCGGCTCGGAGCTGCTGTGCGGGTTGTTGCACGTGACTGCGACGAGGATGTGAAGCAACCGTATGTATGTCTCTTGAGCAGTCATCATGGTTGCCTGCGTTGATTAGAAGTACCTCTATCTTTACCAAAGTTAGCCTATCGATACTTTAATGAGAACGGACACAGAAGGAGATAATTAAAAGACATGTACATAGTTAGAGTACATGCTTGTTCAATCAAGGGATGATATACTTACTGCCTTCCAGCGAACCCTTCGCTCGTCCGCAATGGCGATCGTACGGCCCATGAGATTCCAGAATGGTTGGGGGAGGTCTCCGATCTCAAGGATCCCACTTAACTGTCGAGCACATTCTAGAATGCCGCAAAGATAGGTAGTGATATCGAGCGCAGCAAAAGTAGCCATTGGGGTGAGAGAACTAGGAGATTGAGGTGCTAGAACCATATCAAGCTCATCGGTGACTACTTGGGAAACCTTCTCCAGAACCATCTTTGCAAAGTTCTGCACCCCTTGGAGCATTGGAGCAGGTTGTCGGCGCCCTGATGCTCGTACGTTAGAGCCTAAGGTGACGGTAGAAAGCAGATGCAAAGCAACGGTCAGCCGGGCAAGCTCTTGAACGGTGGCGAGGATATGAAGCTTGTCGGATAAGTGGTGCCAGAATTCAGACAGTCGTCGTTCGATCTCTTGGAAGCATTCTGTTGTTTGCGCTCTGACGCGGTGTTCAGAGTCCTGCTACCTGTTAGTGCATATTTCAACTGAGAAAGCTCACAACATACGGTAGGGACTGCTTGAAACGCAAAAGAAATCCATTGTCTTAATGGATTTACCACAGAGGCCGGCAGCGGCGATGCAGTTAACTGATCAAAGTCGAGTGCAACTCGGAGGAGATACGACGTCTGCGCAATACGGAAGTTGTCTACAGTGAGTGGCTGATGGATGATGCGGAGCCCCTGCTGAAGCTCGTTCTCAAATCGGCGAAGTAGATGGTTGCGTTGGATATCCGGAGGATTTTGGGAGTCTTGGACATGGAGTAGAGTCAGGATAGAAAGGAGGACTCGAAGGAGTAGCACAATCTCCAGACGAGTAGGCCCGGAAACCCGCTCGACCAAGCACTCGACGACTTGGCCGAGCAGTGCTTGCAGCCGCGCTTGCAGCCATGTATCGACGCTGTTCCGGCGGGCGCCTTCAACGCGCAGGAGAGTCTGTGGTTGTCCATATTCAAGGCAGAGGTATTCGTGGCTCAGAAGTTGTTGGAGCTCGTTCAGTGTCTGGCGGTCGAAGCTTCGTGCCGCAAGGGCGTCCCTGCGCGACTCGAGGACCTGGCGGCGAACTGCAACATCCTCTATCATCCATCCTCTATACCACTCAACATTCTGTTCGAGGTAGCGCTCACGCTGGTTGAGAGCCATTTCGACGACAACAAGAGGTATAGGAAGGTCAGAACACGCAGAACGACGCTCCGAGAGCTCTACAGCCCCCTTTGTTGGATTTTAGCAGAAGGCTGTCTTAGAAGACGTCCACGCGTCTCGATATCGATTGCTCCAGGCTCTAGTGAGGGCTGAGACTGCTCGCCTGCCTCTGGCCGGCCGACATGGACTCCGTATTGATTGGGGCGAAGCAGATAGCCTTGGCCCCCGCATGCAAGCCACAGCGCGTTCTCCCCACGCCCGGAGGCGTGATGCTAGTCCACTGATAGGCCCTATCAACAGAAAGGAGATGCCGGTGACCAGGCTGGGACTAATATTTCGAAGCCACCGAGGCGCATTCCACGACAGCTCATCGCATGTGGCGCCATAGCCTCGTTGCTTCACCGGCGTTTCTCAGCCTTGTCGCTTCGTTTGGTCACTTGCGGACTTAGCTATGGTGTTTGATCATGCTGGCGAGACCTGTCTCTCAGCCTTTTCCTTTAGTTCATATACCTTGTTGATTCCCTATTTCTTGGGTCAGCTCTCATCTTTTCAACGGCCTCGTGATTGTCTACGGAGTACCCTCGCTTCATCTTATCATGGCGGATACCCCAATGCAGAATGAACACTCTCGCAGCTCTATCGAACTGTCTGTTCGCGGAAAGTCAGGAAGTGTAGTTCAATCTGGTGTTAATGAGGCCGATGTCGACTCTGAACACAGCAACGATGGCTGGTTCGACAACGTAGCTCAATGGATCTTTCATAACGACCATCTCGATCGAGTACTTGAAAAGCATCACATAACAAGCATCGCAATCTCGGGAACCATCGGCATCGGACTATTCATCACGTCTGGCGAGCTTATTGCCGTGTCGGGCTCTGCTGGTTGTGTTTTAGGCTACGCTATTGCAAGCCTAATCGTCGTCGGTGGTGCGTAGCCTGAAGAAAGATTTGTATGGCTATGGCTAATCTCTATGTAGTCTATCGCTGTCTAGCAGAGCTCGTCAGTGTGAGGCCGCTATCAGGAGCCCTCATTGACTATCCTCATACCTTTGTAAGTAACTTGACGCTTTGTAAGCTTCAAATCACTGACAGGGCCTCCCAGGTTGATCCTGCCTTGGGTTTTGCAGTAGCTGTCACCTACTGCCTCGCTCAATGTCTGAGTATGGCTGCCCTCACCTCGGGAGCAGCACGGGTCGCCGACAATTTTGGTCCCTCTGGAAGCCCACCCCTTGACAAAGGCAAGAAGACTGGTATCGTGATTGGACTCGTCACTCTTACCCTCTTCTCAAACATCTGCGGAGTCAAGACCTACGGCCGGATTGAGCGAATTGTCAAGTGGTTTAAGATACTACTCATCCTACTGTTGTGCATCTTAATGATAGTCATTAACCTTGGAGTCGGAGGAGCGAGAATGAAGCCTACGGTCGGCAACTATAGCTCCGAATATGCGTTCACGCCCTATTTCAATCCGGCAGGCTTCAACGACACAACCGCTCATACTCCCCCAACTGGTAATACTGAGGGCATTCCTGGAGGGGGCGGACGCTTTCTGGCAGTCTGGTACGTCACGTGACTTTATCACATCTAACTTCCATTAACAGTCTTTCCTAGGACATCCGTGACTGTCGGCATGTTTGCGTGCATGGTAAGTAATGACTCCGGCACTAATTTTACCATTTTAGCTAACGAAGATCCCAGGGTGGTGACATCGTCGTGGTGACTGCAGGAGAGGCCCGCAGACCTCGAAAAGATTTGCCTACTGCGACGCGATTCATGTACTGGGTCCCATTGGGACTTTACTTCATCACGTCCCTTCTCGTAGGATTCAACATCAACTATACCGATCGTGATCTCTTCCGGATGTATTCCCTCGAGAACACGAACACTTCCCATTCGCCGTTCATCATTGTTGTCAAGTCGACAGCGATCAAAGCCCTACCGGACGTTTTAAATGCTTGCTTTTTGGTATCTGGCTACACTGCTGCCAATACCGCACTTTATGTATCGAGTCGTACCCTCTTTGCAACGGCGCAACTCTACGGCAATACGTTCATTAAATCCACGCTCGGCAGGACTAACAACGGTCATACACCCATTGCAGCCATCGTCTTCTGCTCGTCCTTCGGCTTCCTAGCATTACTGGGACTGGCAGACACTTCCTACAACCAGCCCATCCTAACTTTATCTGCATTCTTCACCGGAGCCGTCGCCTGCGTCTACGCCAGCCAATGCATCGCCTTCCTCCGTTTCAAAGCAGGGTGAGCAACTCATTGCCTTTACCCCCTACTCAACGCTAACATTGACAGGCTTGACCTCCTCCACGAACGCCAAGTCTACTCCCGAGACCGCCCACCCTACACGACAAAGCACTATCGCGCCCACTGGCAGCCCTGGTGGGCATACGTCGGCCTTATAGGCTCCTGCCTGATCGTCTTCTTCTCCGGGTGGCCTGCAATCTACATCCTGAATTCTCGCCACCACCTGACCGCGGACAAGCAACTGAAAACCAATGTCCAGCTTGCAGCAGATTTGATTGGAGCTTATGCGGGCCCTCTTGTATTCTTGACCCTGTATCTCGGATGGAAGTTCTGGCATGGAACGACGGTCCGACCCATTACTGCCCTTGGCGTGCCAGTGTACGTCTTGCAAGAGACCTTCCCGGGTGATGAGGAACCCGATGCGAGCGGCCGTCTCCCAGACGCGGAGAACCTGCGGAGAAGAGGCGCCGCGAGAGGAGTGCCGGGTCAGCCTGGTCCTTATGCACAGCGTGAGCCTACTGTCCAGCGGATGAAGTGGTGGCTGCGGGAGGCCTGGGGCTTGATGAAGTAGGATTCCGCGCGGGCGATGATTGATGAAGCTTTTTGTACATATGATTATGTTGACTTGCGACGTATAAAAACTCGTTTCTTGATTCAGTCTCGTATTTATTACATATATAATGTCTTGTTAACAGTCGGGGCACATGCGTTTATCACTGCTCGGGGCGGTCCGCTGAACATTCATAATTCTGGACATGACGTCAAGTTTGGAGCGGTGGCAATTGAGCTGTCTTTTACTTGACTGGGTATCTAGCAGTCAGCCTACTTCTGAGAGTCGGCCGTGTTGAGTGATTAAGTGGAACTTCAGCAAGGTTATATCCGAGAGCACGAGTCAATATCTCAACTAGCACGTGGTCCGCAATGACACGCGCAAGTCCACTACCTCTATTGCGTGTGTTGCATTCAACTGTGTATGCAGCATGTCACGTGAAGCAGCTGGGTCAATTAGAAGCCGAATCTTAAGGGAAAAAAGTGCAGGGGTATTCGGAATGGATGTAGTATATCGCAAGCTCATACTTGACTACTTCCACATTGACTTTGAAACTATACTGCCGCGCTCAAGAAAACAGCTGAGAGATAACGGTTAGCGAAACGTCCACCAGATGGATAATCCATGTATGAACTTACATATGCAAGAGAAAACGCTCCAAACAGCAGTCAAATAGCTCAACTTGGGTGGACACTATTACAAGTCAGCCAGAACCCCAAAATAGTACTCTTACCGACAAGAAACTTACGTAGTGGTCCTGCGACAGCGTGACAAACCCTACCCAGAGTAGCCACTGGCCAAGGTAAGGTACGATAAGAAGCTATATTCTCAGTCAGTCATTTTAGTCCGCAAAATACACGGGAAGGCGCTTGCCATTGCGTGGTAGGCCAGCCTCCTTGGGATATTTTCGGAAAAGCCCATCTGTACTATGGCCTCCTCCTGCGTCAAAGCCTCGCGTTCCGTTTTTGTCATGAGCTCAGTGCCTGTCGTCCGCGCGGACCTTTTCATTCTCCACGCATTTGAGATTGGCCTGAGCGCTGGTTTCTCACGACTCCACCCAGGAACGAGCTTGCTGAGTACCCAGGCGGGATAGTAGTAAAGCCGAAGGCCCAGACCCCAGATTACGAAGAAGAGTGGGATGACGAAGTCATGAGTAGTCCTGACCGGCGCTAGGATGAAACGGCCAATAGAGTCGAAGCACTGTGTGAAGAAACGAGCGGTCCGCTGGAAGTTTTCGATGAGTTTGCGGCCAACGGGGGTGTAAATGATGAAAGCCCAGCTGAGCGCGAACCCAAGCCCCAAAAGTGCTACAATAGCACCCGCGCACATCATCCGGGCGTCGGATTTGTGAGGGCTTTTCTGCAAGCTGGAGTAGCCATGTCGACGTCCGACATCCGCCGCCCAACCGATGTACACAACTCCAATGATTTGGAGGATCACTTCTGTGAGAGGTAATGCTATGGCGGCTGAAATGTAGTCAGTCGTGTCGAAAAAGAGAGCCCAGACGACGACAGGCCACCCAAGTCTGGGCCTGGCAGTCCAGAGCATGAACAATTTCCCGATTATGACGTCCTCATAGCCAGGCTGTTTTTTCACGTATCTCGCATTGATGTAGGTGGCAATGAGATCGAGAAGGACGCCGAGTATCGCCATGCTTGCCCAGCTTTGACTTCCTTTTCTCCCGCCTAGCGTGCAAGTAACGAACTGGGCGAATTTTCGGTTGGCCAGGATGATTGAGCTACCAAACGTGATAGCGTTCGGAATAGCAAATATCAAAAGTTTTCTTTTTACAGAAGGGCAGGTGCTATTCGTAGTCCAAACGGTGGTATTCGGGGTCCAAACGGTGATATTCGTGGTCCAACCTGTCTGAGCTATATTCTGTGGCTCAAGACTCCACTTCCACGGGATTATACTCAGATATGCCGTCTCACTCGCGTTCTTATGGTTCAGATATGCCGTCTCACTCTCGTTCTTGTCATTCAGATATGCCGTCTCACTCGTGTTCTTGTAGTTCGGCCAAAGTTCTTTCCATGTAGCATTGTATTCCTTCACACGTGCAATAAACGTCCCGTTTATTGAAGAGCTCTTTGAGATGTTCGCAAATACAGAAACATTCCCGAACGCGGCAGAGTTCGCAAATGCACTGCCATCGTCACACATCGGCACTGTCCAGCCGAGATAATCGTCAGGCTGTCGTCCTTCCAGGCAGAGGCCCGGGCAGGCATTTCCGAGAAGCATAACGCAATAACAGTCAGGGCGAGAAATGGTGACGTTGAACGGATTCGAGCAAAGGTAGGCCGAAGAGTACAGCTCGGGACATAATTCGGTGATGTTTTCGACGCAACTTGGGGGATTCTCCTTGAAAATGGAGAGCATCTCTACAGGCGCAGTCGGTGCTGGTTGGAGTACGTCATAAACTCCGTCGTAGGAGGACTTGAAGGTCACTATGCTTGTTAAAGTTCAAAACATTCAATCCCAACCTTGAGTTTCCTGGGGAACTTACAGGTATATCCAGAATAAGATGAAAGCACTGCGTCGACTGGCTGGATACTCTTGTGATGAGTGTAGATGAGGCCTGTGTAGCGTGTTGTCATCAACGGATCCATCGTACACCCGAACGTACTAAAAGGCCCGTCCATAGTACCAGTTTCACAGTCACGAGTATCAAAGTTACTGCAACGTAGTCAGACAGGTTGTCGAACTGGATGAGCATCCTACCATAACATAGTTCCATCTCGTATTTCTGTTCTCGTGTCACGGTGACTATGATCCCAGTCGTCGTAGTTAGCACAGGTTGTAGGGCATGATTCGCCACAGCACATGAGTGTGCCGTGAAAATTGCAAACCTCAGACGATGTGCAGAACAACGGATGTTTCACTAGATAATGAGCTTCCGAAGTTACTTATTGCAACAGTCTAGCGTTACGTACAGTCTCCATCGTAAAATCCGCAATATTGAGACCGATGTGGTAACTCAGAAACTGTAGTTCCCTCCGAAACGAACAAGACTGGGGTTCGAGTAATAATAGCCCTTGGCTTTATAGCGAGAGCTGGGGAGAGGACGTGAATAGAGGTCGCTGAGGGTGCGGCATCTCCTCCAGATTGGAAATGCTGCGCAATGACAGGCAAGTGTAGTTGCTCGATTGGAGTTGCTAGAACCTTATGCATGGAGGTGGATGTATATCGCGGCAAGCCTTGTGCAGGAAATGGTGAAGCAGGAAGCTTCTCGTCTGTAGGAGCGGACGTGCCAAAGCAAGCAAAGAAGAAGAAGACAATCGGAAGGAAGGGCAAGATATTCATTCTATCCATGCTCGTGGAAGTAGATCAACAACTCATACTCGAGGGAGAGTGGCGAGTTACTTAAGCCTCACCTGTGACTGAAGCCTGCAAGCCGCGCTGGAAGTCAGCCTGCGGGGAGAAGGAAGCAGCCCTTTCTTGGCATGCGTGCAGAAGCGGATGCCTTCTCAGCCATGATGATAAGAAGGAAGCCACATGGACACTGGGTTGGCTCGAACAGAGGTGTAGATCGCTGTGTGCTGGCGAAGTGCATGAGCCTTGTGCGTTGAGCGCCGAGCGCCCAGTTCGGATTAGCGCTGTCTGCGCTCGAATCAACACTCTAGCGCCTCAGGCACCGACACACAAGGCTGAACCTCAGCCTAAGTAGCAGCCCATAAATAATACGAGAACCTCCACACACTAGAGTTGTGAGACTCACGACTCCAGGGCGGCGAGAGTGCCTTCTTGGCAGCTTTGTCGCCAAACGCATCTGGCCCGGATTCTGATTCCAACTTACATGGGGCTCGAAACTTGCTGCAGCCGCATTATCATTACCGTTATCAACCGGAATCTGTCTCATATTCTTTCCCTCCTGCTTTGGTCCACCTTCATCGCTGCTCTGCTTAGCCTTATCTTCATACATCTTCTCGTCTTCGCTGGCACCTTCGCTGCTATGCTCAGCGCCGTCCTGCCAGCTAATCTTATCATATACTCACCCACCAAAGCAATCATGAGATCGGCTCAAAACAAGATACCAATGCTTTTCGTGCATCTTATGGAGAGAGTGTCTAATAGTGCGCCCACGACTCACATCAAGCATGCCCTCAGTACCCCAAAAATCCCAACCCACCTTGTTCACGAACGCGCCGTGGCTATCTTTAATCCTGTACCAATCTTCCCCGCGATCTCGTGCGGGCCGGGGCAGGGCCTTAAAGTCTCGCAGATGAGGTTAAGGCGTTTGCCTTTTTTCTTGATGGTGAGCAGCTAAGCGAGACCTAAGAAGAGAAGTCGCAGTTTGGGGACTCGCGGGGAAGTAGGGGTGAGTTTGCTGGAAGTAGAGGGCGAATTAGGTGAAGACGTTGGTATAGTAGCTGGGTCAGTCACGTGACGTAATTGAAATGGATATTTCGGGGCGATTGCTTCAACGACACCTTTTCGCTTCGCTTCTGTTCTTCTCTCTATCCCCACATCTGCACCCTATATTTGTCGTTACCATTAATACAATCAGTCGGGAACTCACGAGAAGACTCTCTCATGCATACTACCGCGACTAGAATCTTGCCTTGGCAGCTTAACCGCACGATATCCTCGCCACACAGATTTGACTGTTCCTCGACTCTTCTACATACGTAGAAGAATCCAAAACTATCTATCGGATCTGGTAATCGACTGGGAAACAACTGGCTAAATTGCTAGGGCCTCGGGCTCTTTGCGCGCACGAATTCTTCAGTCTTGTCGGCCCTCGAACTGGAAGGACATTCTTGCAAGACTACAATCTCAATATAAAACGCGTTCCCAGAGCGCCATGTACGAAAATAGTGTATAGCCCAATTTACGGTGGCGGATCGCTTTTCGAGTGCTATAAATAACGGAACTCCAGACGCACGCTCATGCACTCCGCCGCCGCCAATAGAACTGTGCAGTTGCCGCTAGTCTAATTCAGGTATCCCACCACGACACAGCTTTTAGGGATAACGACATACTCGCGATGGGGACTACTCGGCTTTAAGTGGGCGATGCAGAAGTGTCCGCGGCCTCGATCATCTCTGCCTGTAGGCGAGCTTGCCCGGAGATTGACAGCCCGACAAGCATTTCCATCCACGGCGTTTGCTGTGCCCCACTATATTTAGGTTCAGATTGACAACAGGTGGTGATGTACGTCATTCTCTCCGTCGATCTGCTGGAGACGTGCGGATTGGGCATCTTCACTTCGTCTTGATTGAAAATGATATTCGTGTTTGCGTACTTTCAAGTCTGCGATACCTCTTTCTTCCCACACAACTTCCCAAATTACTTAACGCAAGCGCCCAACTTTATCTCTTGTCAAAAAAAAATGAATCCTTAGGGATCGTCACTTCAAAAAGCAACTTGAGGTCACCGAGACCACGAATTTTTGAAGCTCTCATTGGCCAGCCTTGTCTCCGCCTTGCAGCCACCGTGAGTTCGTCAATAGTTGTTCAGCCTGAACACCTCCCAACAACATAAGTAGGCTGTGTCGTCCCCTCATCCGTCCATCCTCTCTCGGTGCGTTGCCCTACGATATCCTGGTTGACTCTTCACCATGGCTACTATGTCGCCGCATTGCCTCCCCTCTATTTCACTCCTTTTAATAATAGCCTTCCTCGCACCCCTGGTCCTTACAGAATGCTTCTATAAGTACCCGAACGGCGTCGTAAGCTTGAATGATGAGTGGCACGAGTGCCCCAACACCGCAAAAACCCCAGGTGGCCCCCAGCTGTGCTGTGCCGTAAGCGACGAGTGTGGTGAAGACTCGATCTGCTATAACAAGGACCCCAGTTTGAAATCCGGATTCTATCCCGGAGGCTGCACAGATAGTAGCTATGCCGATAGTGTCTGCGAAAAGGCGTGTTGTAAGTACCACACTCTTTCGTTCCAACACCTACCCACTATTCACCCACTCGCATTCGAACGCCAATCCGACTCCTTCATCATTTCCCTATCATCCGGTTAAATCTTTTCTGCAAGGCTGACATTGGGACAGCGGAATTCAAGGCGACTGAGATCATATACAACTACACCGAAAACCTTTGGCATTGCTGCGGTGATCAGTATTGCACCAGTGATCCCCCAACCGACGTAACATTCCAAGCCGTGTCACCAAAACAGTGGTCTGCCCTGCCGCTTACTCAGACGGCGACGGTGGTAACATATGCGTCTTCATCGACAACCCTTCAAACTTCCTCTTCGCCATCTTCATCAACAACCCTCCAAACTTCCTCTTCGCCATCCTCAGCTACGCTGCAATCCTCCTCGCCCTCTCCAACTCCGTCAGCAACTATGTCAGCAACCTGGTCAGCAACCACATCCGCGACCCCTTCGGCAACTACAGCACCTGCAACCGGCGGCCTTAGCAAACCTGCAAAGGCAGGCATTGGGGTTGGCGGTAGCATCGCCGGGCTGTCTGTGCTTGCGTTACTGTTACTTCTACGCCGAGAGAGGGCAAAGCGGATGACGCAGCGGGATACGCAGTGGATTCAGGGGGTACAAGGGCAGCCGCAGGTTCTGAAAGAAGTGATAGCGCCGACTGCGCCAGCGCCAGCGCTGCCAATACGAGGGTGGCAATATTCTCAGACGCCGGGAATGCCAGCATATAGTGAGGCATCATACCATGGGAGGTCGGAGCTGCCGGCGTATGGAGTCATCTCAGAGTTGGGGACAAGTCAAGACGGTGAACATCGTGGAACGGCCTTTGAAGCGTAAAGGAGAGTGCTAGAAGATTGAACCAAGTATCAGCACTTGTAAACAGATTCGGTACATTTTATGGTCAATGTTCCGAAACTTGTGGTATGTTGCATAGTTCTATGCTTAATGTTTTACAATCTGTTTTATTGGAAAAAGATTTAATGTATATAGAAGAACAATAATGCACTTGATGCCCCGTAGGTCATCTTATAAATTATGTATTGAACGTCTGGGGAGTACTGTAGGCGAGGATTATACAGTTCGTATGATTTTATAGTCATGGTAATCATCAGGATGATATAGGGAGCAACAAGACGCCACAAGCCTTTGGTTGTCCAAGTCGCTCACTAGCCAGCCTCACCTCCGCCCAGTAGGCCACCATGCATGCGCCTCTAAGCCTAGCATTTAGCCTGACAGCTCGCCCGCAACGCAATAAGTTTGGCAATGTCCGTCCCCCACCTGCTGGATGGATATCTGATTCCACGATCTCCAAACTGAACCGTGAACGTTCCCTGAGGCCACCATGCCGATGCACCGCCTTCCCCTTAATTATATCTTGCAGGTGCTTCTTCTGACAGACTTGGCTTCCGCGGGTTGGTTCCAATTCGTGAACACGGCGACGGCTCTGAATGCGGCGAAGACGGCATCTACTATAACCCGAATGCTGCGGCGACGATCTCGGAGTACTTGACGGCCGGGTATTATTTAGGGGGATGGCACGAATAGCAACTATGGGGACAACGTGTGTGTTGATACTCGTGGTACGTAAGCTGTCCCTCTATTCCAGTTGCTTGTCTCCAATTGAATTCCTAATGCTTATTTTATTTAAGTTAGCTAAACGCCGCCCCTCAATTCTGTCATGACTTCTTGGTGCGGTACGGAAGCTAGATACGCATTAGTGCCAGAGTCGATTTGAGCGGTCCATCCTTAGAGTTTGTTCCTGACTTAACAGCATTCCACCAATCAGGGGGGTATGGAGCTGCTCGTCCTAACCCGTCACAGAATAGTATTTAAGTGGGGTATTGAGGGGTACTTCACGAGAACAACATCATGTCTCGTGAACGCAAATCACAGCGGGTCAATTGACTTCATACAAAAGCCTTCGACTTCAACGACGTCGTGCTACTCGACGCCCCCAAATGCCCTATTAATGAAACTGCAATGTCTACAGACCTGCCCTCACATCTCCATTCTTTCTCCCCAATATCTACAACACCTGGCCTCAACCATGTCCAACATCATCCCCATCGACCTCCTCGCACTCTCCACAAACCTCAACTACCTCTCTTCCTTCCCCGCTCTCAACACCGCCGAACCTGCCGTCTCTCTTCTTGCATACAATACCACCTTCGCCACCAACGTCCTAGGAGAAAACGCGAAAGCACGGCAGTTGTATGACTTACCATGGCAAGCCTTCCACGAAATGGGAACCTACCATAAAGCCACAAACTCAATTTACATCACATCTAACTGGAACGGCTCACTGGAGAACCCAATCAATGTCACTGTGCTCAGTCTAGAGGATTACGCGCTAAGTTCTACTCATTACCCGAATCTGTACGAAGCGAATGGGGGAACGGGATACTATCCCCCTGGCTCGAGTAATGATAGTACGCCGCCGAAGTTACTATTCTGCGACCAGGGGGACTTTGAGCACCCGTCCGGCCTCGTGGCGGTGGATCCAGCCACGAACACGTCAGAGGTCATCCTGAACAACTCGCTCGGCCGGAATTTCTCGTCGTTGAACGATGTGCGCCAGCATCCCAAGACGGGCGATCTATGGTTTACGGACGCGGATTACGGGTTCTTCCAATCGTTTAGACCGGCGCCTGCGGTTCCGAAGCAGGTGTATCGCTTCGAGCCATCTACAGGCGTGATTCAAGTAGTGGCGGATGGCTTCGATCAACCGAATGGGCTGGAGTTCTCCCCGGATTTGCAGACGCTGTATGTCACGGATACGGGTGCGCAGCACGTTACGCAGAACCTTACGCGCCCGGCAACGATCTATGCGTTTGATGTTGTCGACAAGGTCAGGCTTGGGAATCGGAGGACGTTTGCGTATCCGGATAATGGGTTCCCGGATGGTATACATGCTGAGACTGATGGTAACGTATGGGCGAACTGTGGAGATGGGGTTCATGTTTGGAGTCCGCAGGGGATCCTTCTTGGGAAGATCTTCGTAGGGGCACAGAGTAATAACATGGCGTTTATTCCGGGTGGGGTGCTGGTGTTTAGTAATTCGCAGCTTTGGATTGTTGAGAATATCAAAGCGGAAGGGAGGGAAATATGTCGGGATTTTGGAGCTTGTTGATTTGGGCTAGTGACAGGTACAATTTTTCAGCACTTAGGTACTCTGTACAAGTAGTATGCCAGGCCAGCTTCAACACCCCAGTCCGAAAGCTACCCGACCCCTCTGCTTACGCAATCTCTTGCCGCTATGGCTGGGCTGGATTCGGCTCAGGCCCGGCTCCTACCTAGGCTCATCTAGGCAATTTCCGCTCAGGTCTCCCGAGTATCCTTGCTTAGATGCAGCTCACTAGAAATGGTCAAGTTTTGGCGAGATTCCAGGCCGCGGTCATGTGCGAACAAGCCTGAGCCTCATTGCAATCCTCCTCCAACAACAACAACTTCCTTCACCACTTCTCGCCAGCCATGGATCCGCTAAGCGCGCTTTCAGTCGCCTCGGGTGTTATCCAAATTGTTGACTTTTCAGCAAAGGTGATCTCGAGAACCCGGGAGATATACCTGTCGGCCGATGGTGCTCTGGAGGAGAACTCGTTCTTAGAAGACGCGACTGCAAATCTGTCTGAACTCTCCACTGAATTGACCGAAGAGATCCGACAAACTGTGTGGGGTTTCCGGTCTAAGGGGAGTGGGTTTGGTCGGAAGAGTGCCGATGAGCAACTCATCCAGCTTGCCAAGGACAGTAGAATGGTCGCGACCAATCTTCTTGAGAAGCTTGATCGGGTGAAGCGTAAAAAGGACGGTGGAAAACGAAACGCTCTTAATCAGGGGATTCGCAGTATTCTGGAACAGAAGGAGGTCTCAGGTCTTGCGGACCGGCTTGACCAGATTCGAAAGCAGGTCGACACTGCATTACTTCTTTCCTTACGGTGAGCTTTTAGCAAGAAGTGAGAAGACGCGAGACTAACGGAAACCACAGAAAACGCATAGGCGAAATTCCAGAGCTCAGAAAAGAAACCACCTCGGCATTGGAGTATGAGAAGAAGGCAGAACTCCTCGCCTCGCTTCAAGACAATGATTGGAAGCCCACCCAGAAGGGCGAGATGGTGGAGTTTTCTAATTCTCTCATTTTAGCCGTCGACATGGACGTTGAACAACGTTTTTTCAACATGATACTTGCTCGACTATATTTTTCTGATTTACCGGACCGCTACGAAGCCATCCCGAAGGCGCATCAAAATACCTGCGAGTGGATTTTCGAGGACGATCCGCAACAAATCGAGTCGTGCGAATGGGATAGCTTCACTAAGTGGCTCTCTGGTACGGACGGGGATAATCTCTACTGGATAGCAGGAAAACCCGGTTCCGGGAAGAGCACCCTCATGAAATACTTGTTCAACGATAGTCGTACATCCGCCCAGCTGCAGACATGGGCAGCGGGAAGGCCACTTATTCAGGCCGGTTTCTTCTTCTGGAATTCTGGCACTGTCATGCAGATGTCGCGGATGGGGCTCCTTCGGTCCATCTTACATTCATCACTCTCCAACGACAAGAAAACCGTCATGCAAATATTCAACCACCGTTGGCAAAAGTTCGTTGCTTTTGGGGGAGGCCGACAGACCTTTACGTGGTCTGAACTAGTGCAAGCATTCGAGGCTCTAATCGCTCCATCAGAGACGCCGAAAACTTTTTTCTTCGTGGTCGACGGGCTTGACGAGTTTGATGGCGACCACAAAGAGCTTGTCCATCTATTTCTCAATGCGGCTGAATATCCACATGTCAAAGCCTGTGTAGCCAGCCGACCATGGTTGGTTTTTGCGGACTCATTTGAGGATCGACCTTGTCTTCTTCTTGAGCGACTAACGAAGAAAGATATACATCACTATGTCACTTCTGCATTCAATAACAACAAGCACTATACGAGACTGAGTAAGCTTGAGCCTGAACGAGCTTCCACCCTTATCAACGGCATCGCCGACAAGGCTGCCGGAGTATTCCTCTGGGTTCACCTTGTAGTACTGTCGTTGCTCGAAGGGCTGTCAAATGCCGACCGCATGTCAGACCTGCTTGCGCGGCTAGAAGTCCTTCCCCCGGGGCTCGAGTCGCTATTCGACCGATTGCTCAGCGGGCTGGATCCAATCTACTTCAAGCACGCTTGCCAGCTATTTCGTCTAGTAATGGCGCGCGACCGTCCGCTCCTACTAGAGTTGTGGTTCGCGGATAACGAAGACCACGACTCCGCTATGGAGGCGGAAATCAAAACTCTATCTCCGGACGAGGTCATGGACCGACTTGAAACAATGAACCGCCGTCTTATTTCGCGCTGCAAGTGCTTCCTAGAAGTAGAGTCCTGGCACGAAGATCCAAGTGTTGGTTTGTCCACTCGTAAGTTCGCTCAATCGTGCCACCAAATGGAAACTTATGAGTGTTAGATTCGTATGTTCGTTTCATTCATCGCACTGCGAAAGACTTCCTCCAATCTAGTGATATGTGGAAGACTATACTCAACGCTACGGGTCATGATGCATTCGACCCCGAACGCCATTGGGCAAATGGCTTCATGGGCATCCTCAAAGCAGTGAACACTACTTCTGACGCAAAATGGGAAAACTTCATCTGGTGTATCGAATACGCACTCATGTTAGAGAACAAGCTCCAGTCTTCTTTCGTCGATTACCTAGATGAAGTTAGTCGAGCGGGGATGAAAAATTGTGAAGACTATCGAACCTCCAAATACGTAAAGCGAGTCGGATTCGATACTATTAGACGCCCTCCTGCTCTCCAATCATTCCTCGATTTCGCCGTTTGGTTCAATTTGGTGGGGTACGTCCGCGTCAAGGCAAAAACTGCATCAAGGGACGAACTACTGCATGCTACTCAATTCAAAGGCATCCTGTGGCGCGAACAAATCGAGGAATCGTGGCTTGCAGGAAAGGTTATGCTTACGAAGGCAGGTTTCATAACGGATCGTAGCGCTTTGAAGCAAGTTTTAAGCAATAGTCTCCAGAGCAAGAGCAGTGAATTACGCAAAGAAAAATGGGAAAAGACTAAGAGAAGGTTCTTCCTTAAGAAGGTAGATGCAAGTAATACCACCTCACAGGAAACTCCTAAGGTGTGAAATACGAACAGAGAAGATGACACATGCCATCAGACTGTACATAGCAGCCCAGTTGGTTGCTTGCGGAATCGCCAAGAGTTCATCAGATAGATTGAATTGAACATGAGTTTGTATTGTAGTGAATGAGTGAGCTTATATACGTAATTGAAAGGAGAGTAACGTGACTTTGTGAGGCTACGTAGGACGGAAGCTGATGCCGTAGCTACGTACTCATACGTACTGAAGCTGTATAGATCTAAGCTTACTGTGGATGTAGATGCGGAGGTGTATGCCGAGCCTATAGATCTCATAGATCTACATGAGGATCTACAGGTCACAGCCCAAGAGGAATTCCAGCAGTCACCAGTTCCCTAAAAGGGAAAGGAAAGTGCTCAAGTTGTGATTAGGGTGTTGTACATTGTACTACCCACAGTAATACCTATTATTCTACGCCGTGATCGCGGATTCTCTTAGACAATTTAGTCCTCTTTAGACCCCCTTTCTTCTCCAACTTTTAGGCACTTCCCCTCGAGGTTTCACCGGCTGCAACCCTCCTCCATCTCCGTAATTTTCATTCTGCTAGCCTCCTGTTTTGCTTGCAAGGTAAAGAGCATTTCCACACTCAGTCTCAATCTTTCCATTTTTTAAAAACCCGTTGTCCTTGACACCTGCAAGCAAACGTGCTAGTATAAAAGCAGTAGGATTGTCGCAGCACCAAGAGCACGTACAGTCCTTACTTTCTGTGAATGCAAGGAACACGGTTTCGCAGTCAAAATCGCAAGAATCTTTAGTGTTCTCTCAAGTCAATGACCAAGTGAATCCGGCCTCAGAATCGGCCTCTTCCCAATATTCTCGCCATTCGGGCCTTTGATGTTTAATCCGTCCTGAGGTTTTGCGTGTTTGCCGCAAAACTTCTTGATTTTCCTTAAACGAGTCAATTATAAATCCTGTGAGGGGGAGAGATATAACAACGCACTCTTCGAACTTTTCTGCGCCCACTTCACTCAGGTTGCAGCACTACAACCTAGGATCAACAACTCATATGCCAGAAAGCTACTCTCCGAACATCAGCTGTAGAGAACCCAGCTGAAATCTCAGCTGTAGAGAACTGAGCTGAAGCCTCAGCTGTGCAGGGCTCATCTGAACTTACTAGCGCGCCACCCTGGGGGTGGCCCCCTTCCTTCCCCTAGTATATATACAACTAGCTAGACGTCTATAGAAATCAGAGTTCACATCAATTTAACCTGAGTACTTCAGCTTCCTGCAGCGCGCCATTGCACTTGGGCTCGAATGGTAGCATGTCAGCGAGTTTGATGAGCTGCTCTAACCACTCATATTGCGCGTCCATGTAGTCGGGTTTGACTAGAGTGATATGAGGATAGTTGATATTCCGGCAATGGCACCCCTCATGTTTTGTCTGTATTCTAGTGTCAGCAATTCGTTCTCCTTCCATGCATACTCGCCGACTCACCACTTTACAAAACGCATTTCTCTCAAGGATCTCCTTATCCTCTTCTTGCGCCTTGCAATCGTCCGCGATACAAAGTATGTCTTGTGGACAATATAAGTCTTCCGGCTTCAGATTCTCTGTGAGCGCCGTCTTCGATATCCATATATTTAGCAATTGGCTCCCAACCATACCCAACAAGAGTGTGACCGCTAGTTGGAGTTCCACCAACGTCGGGATATTAAGAACTTCTGCTTGAGCCAGCAGCACGGGCACCCCTTCCCCACGGACCATGCGAACTCGGACGTCATGGTACACGACGACGACCATATTCATGTTATCCAACACCAGGTTCTGGATCGGAAACCCGATTTGCCCAACGGGCCCCTGCTGTGCCGGCATGTTCTGAGGCGCCATCTGGATGGGTGAGATATTTCAGGGAATCCAGGAGAATTATATTAGAGAAATCACAGGTGATGAAGAGGTACAGAAAATTGACGTGGTGCGTGCCTAGTGCATTCTATTCCCTTCACTTCTTCGTTCCCATTCAAGGCATATGTCATGAGTGCTAACAAGGCCAACCGTAGATCATATACTGTGATCTTTCTCACTACAAGAAGTCCGAAGAAGAAGAGGACCTCTGGAAAGATGAAAGTAAGCTCCATCCCTCATTCCGAAACGCTATCGAGTCTCTCAATTGCTGGCAAGTCGATCATGCCAGCTACCGGAGAGCTAGTGAAATACAAAGAGCAACAGTGCAAGCAGTCTATTGGAGACTTCAGTGCTCTAGCCATAACGTCGAGTCCAGAAACCTCCAAGCTCGTCCGCGATGAGAGTATCACCGATGTATTGACGTTAAACCGGAAATGGGACGAAAGGCCAACCCAAATTCAGATCTGTCCTTGGTTCGTTGATTGGGTCAAATTTAAAAACTTCAAGACGCCTAGCGATGTCAAGAAGAGGACTAAGATTGGAAGAGCAGTTATCAAGCCAGTGGAGAGTACGAACTGGGGCTTGAGACCGATCGGTATGTCATTTCGCCGCTTGAACGTGTCGAATACGCGCAGAGTTAGAGCAAAGCTAATGAGCGAATGAACAAGATGCCTTCTCGCTGCTCAACAAAGTCATTCTGCACGAAATGACGCATGGAAGGTCAGCCTGGCTAGACTACGTGGAAGACGAAAGAATCATCGGCACCGAAAATGTAAGCTCTTCCTCCATTTCAGACTCCTACCGCCTATGCCTACAGCACTCATTGATCTCTTTACCGCGTTCCTGTACCTTTCCTCGGAATCTTCAAAGTTCCTGCATACGGTTGGACAAACGCTAGGAAACTTGCACAATTCGGAGAGGACGTCAACGACAGCGGAGAGGTAAACGCAGCGGACAGTAACGCGCTCTTTTGCGCTTTTCGATAGCGGTATGTCGCCTTTCCATGTTTCTGGATTGTCGTGTTGTGAAACATGTGTAGCTGACTTGGCCTGAATAGCGGCTAAATTGTTGGACGACACAGCTCCAAAGCGTGTGGATGACGACGGTAGGATTGTACCTATCGTCTATCAAGGGACCTAAAAGAGTGTCGGACAACATCAAGCCTGGGCATGTAGATGACAATAATAAGATCGCACCTATCGTCTAGGTTCCAATCAAGATGTCGGGAATACTAGGCTTCAAAATCTGGACTCCGAGCAGAGCATACTATAGCCGATTGATTTGGAAATGAGGACGTGGTATCCTGTAGGGTCCTTCTGATACCAAAGTAGAATATGCGACAGGTGTTGAATCTAGAAACGAGCATGAGGCTTCCTGCAGGGTCTTTGTTGAAACCTGAGCGTGAAATTTGTGTCTCCGAGTATAGCCTGAACAGGATCAGGAATGGGAAAATTCATCTCAACCTCGAATGATGGGGCTTTAATGTCCTTGAGCGGCTCCAGTACCGACACCAGGGATTCGACATCTGCCTCTGCAGGCCCATCTTCTCTCCCCTCTTATGCCCGAACAATGAACTCAAAGCGTATAGAGCGGAGACCACGGAGCTCCTGCAAAGCCTTGCAACCGTCAGACCACTTGTTGTAATTCTCTGGAGGGAAACCTGACCGCAGCCAACTTGGCCTCGGTGTTAAGAACAACGTTGAGACATGTACATGGCGTATCATATGCCATTGAGGGGTCGGTACAACTGATCTCATCTCGAGCATGCCCCTTGCGCCTTCTAAGCTGAAGTGGTTTGCAGTGTACAGGATGTCAATACCCTCAAAATAACTATGCCTGAAGTCAGTAACGCGACAATAAGAACAATCGTACGGCCTCGAATTTCAGACTTCAGGAATCAAGATGGGACAAAGATTTAGACGACAGCTTACCAGCAAGGCAAGCAGCTTGTCGTGCGTCTGAGGCGTAAGCCGACGAGATACGTGGCCTTTGTGCGCTTCTAGCCCGAAGCACTTGTGCTGCCAGGTCGGATACGGGCATTCCATTTCCCTGCAGCGATAATGACCTACGCGACGTGACCCATTGTCATGCGGAACGATATGCATTGGCCGAATCAGATCGCCGAGAACCGCTTCATAGATGAAGATGCGCAATTCCGCTGCAAAGAGTTTGCCAAAGAGGGGCGACTGAGTTTGCTCATGTCTTGGATACAGCGAAATTGGCGGTTTTGAAGGCGCACGCACTTACGGAGGAATCATACCAGGGCCCAATAGTGGCTTTTGCGTTTTTTTGGCTCTACTCGCAGATTGTCGAGAATGCAACCAAACATGACTGTTGTTGGGGAAGCTGTAGCAATAGTTAAAGAGGCTGTAGAGGAAGATAGAGGCTGGTGAGAAAAGTCTCCTAAAATTAGGTTGTGGCACAGTGGAGCAGGGCGGTTAACTACCACGTGACTAGCATCGTTGAGAACAACCTCCTGAAGCTGAATAGACAGCGAGCCATTGAAATTTGAGGGTTTCAGGAGTCGGATCTAGTTGGTACTTAGAAGCGTCTATGTGTACGTTGTTGACATTGTAGTTTTAGAGAGAGAACGGAGAGCTGAAGCCTGATGTTCCGAAGTGCGCTACCTAGGTTGATAAACTAGAACTTCATACGGAATATCACGTGATCAACCTCAAGATCGCAGTGTATGGGGCTTATTTCAGGTACCTCAGACCCTCTACGAGGAATTGCCTTGCCCGTCCTGCGGTGGGCGAACGTATGCCCGTGCACGCTTATGAATTTTATGCTCGTACACGTGATGCGCACGGACGGGCAAGGAATTCCTCGTAGAAGGTCAGAGGGAAAATGGTCGCAGTTTGTAAGGACGGTTTTTTTGAAGCTTTCACGGTCGCATTCCACCACCACAACTTCTTTCACCCTAAGAACCTAGGAGCTGCTTCTTAAGAGTATAAGAAAGCAGCTCCTAGGTCCTTAGAGTAAAAGAAGTTGTGGTGGTAAAGTTCCATCTTAAAAGCAGATTGAAAAGTGAGCCCGACCGGTTTCAAAAATGAACACTCTCTTTTCAACGCTGTATTTCGCCCCCTAATAGACTAGGTGATAAGGCATAAATATGTGAATTGAGTACTCAAGTACCTTAGCATTCAATTGCATCAACAACTGTGATGATAGCTGCTTGGTAACACCCTTTTTTCGTCCACTGAAGAAAATGAGCCTGTTGAATTCCGACCTGCTTACACCAAACACGCGCCCATTTGAGCTCAGACGCTCCACAGAGGATTTTGGGAGTTGCAGGGGAGTTGCAGGGGTGTTGCAGAGGGGGGAGGGGGGTAACGGTAGGTGCTGAGTTATGCAACCACCACAAATTTTCTGCGGAGCGTCTGAGGTTCCTGAGATAATATGGGGTCGATATATGCCAATTGAACGCTTTTAGCTCTATTTTTGAAGATCGATTCTGTAAGACACTCGAACATGAGATTGGCTGCTCCATTCCGTTGAAGAGAGTATCATATCCTCATAGAAACAAACAGCCTTCACAGACCTCCATCATCGTCCCACATTCCTGAAGCCTTGTTAGAAACCTGAGTTCCCACCACTTGGACCTTCTCAAACCCCTCGCTGTGAAAATCTAGCATCGGGGGTTCTTCCTCGATAACGCACCCAAAGACACACGACAGGGCAACCCGGAGCGTGAACTCGATATCGCTTTCGTCTACTATCTCTTCGCTACCCGCTTCGTCTCCACTGCCACCTAGCTCTTTCTCGCACATTTCCAACTCCCCCCCATGCACCTCGAAACTGAGCTGGAAGCTTGGTCGGTCGTAGTTGCTTCCACAGACGACCTCCTCGATGTAGTCATACAACACACCCATCCTCAACCCCTCGTCCTTAAGCACCACTGAAACAGGTGGGGCGGAGCTGACTTCCTTGGCTTCACTGGCTGGGAGCTTCCCGAAGTTCTCGAGATCGATGATCCCGTCTTCGAAAACTCCCCAAGTATCAGAAGGAGCTTCGCGCTTGCTACTTCTACCTTCTGGAAATCTCGCAACAACAAAGTGTGCCCTCTTCTCCCCATCCGTTTCTTCGCTATCCATTCCCAGTTCAATAACGCAATGCTCAACCGTTGTCTGCATTTGACCGTGATGCGTGTTAACGAATTCGATCCTCTTGATCGGTGGCTTTGCGATATGCATCCGTCGCCAACTCGCCTCTTTCCTCCTCATTGCTTCTCTCTTTGCAGGATCATTGAATGGCAGCCTCTTAAACTTCTCCATAGTTGCTGTGACTCCGACGTCGAGGAGTGAACGGTCGAGGTGTCCGAAAAGGAGATCCCAATCATCCTTCGGGATCCTGGAAGAGGAAGAGAAAAAGCCAGGGAAGGTAGCGAGGAGGAGATGGTTGGGTGTGAAAGAGGCAGCTTTGGTAGATGACTTTGAAGAGGAGGGCGGCGGAGCACGAAAGAAAAGACATGATTGCAGCAAAGGAGAAGTCGAGATGAGAGTGTGGAAGAGTCGGCACGTGCTTTGCGCGCGGAGGAGAGAAGCAGGGGGAAGATGGTAGAGTACGTTTTCAAGGAGTTCGGAGGTGGTGAGCACGTCGGTTGTTGCTGAGGGCGCGGAGAGGTCCATCCTAGGAGGTATTTTGGTAGATCGAGTCACTCGTGGTCTCTCTTATGTGGTTCGTGCTGGTTGCTTAGAGGAAGGGTGTTGTTATGCTACTTCGTCGCCTAGAGAGGCCTGGTGAATGTAGGTGGTTGCCTCAGCTTTGACGGTGTCGGTTATAGTTACTAACTATCCTTAGCTGCTTAGTCAGGAGGCAGTGAACCCGGACCAATCATTGCGTAGCTACCACAAAAGTCATGTGTTTGCATATTGCTAAGCCTGGGTGTTGTGCATCTAGTCATTCTTCCCTTTGAAGATCCAAGATAGGTTGCCAAATGTTCCCGTGGAATGTTGATCCTAGAACTTTGAAGTGAAAGAACATGCTCAAGAATAGAGAATCGTGAAGAATGAGAGTAAGTATGTATCGGCCCTCTGAGTACAAGTACTACACAAATACTCCTCTCAGAATGAACAACAAGAAGTGAGTACTCGAAAGACTCGGAACCCTGAGTTTGGAGGGACTAAGCCAGACAGTATCCCCGACTTTACTCGATACGCCAAATAACTTCGTCCCGTCTTCTGGACGCAATTCGTAGACCTGGTCATCTTGGTGACTACGGAGTATGTGCGGTATTCTGGGCACGACTGTGACTTGTGCTGCCGAAGTCATCCGTGGCGTAACCGCTTGGGACTATTAGTCATGCTGCAGGTCTCCAGAGTGGATGGCCTAAGCTATTGGCATTCTATTTCTTCAGGCTGCCGTAGTCTGGGGAAATTGCGCCGCTCAATTCTTCACCGCCGCATGCTGAGCATTCACAATCATTGGAAAAATCATTAGCGCTAAAACCGTCTCATTCTCTAATGACCTAGATAGACATAAAAAGCATATATATTTTGCGTGTATCTGTGCGGTCCTAGGTGCGCTATCATCAGTATAGGTATAGTAAAAACCCCCATCATTGCACTATCAGTGCTGCTGACCCACACAGAATGAAACCATTCTCCTCTTTCCTTTGTTGGCACTCGCTATTCTTCGTATCCTTAACTAGAATTATCATAGAAAACTACAACGGGCACTGGGCCTACCAAAACCGCGTTAGGCATCTGGCAGCTGTGCCATGCCCGAGGAACGACAGTCCGAGAACATTGACCGTGTCGAAGACGAAGCGCCATTTGGAGGACTATGTTCCGGGCCTCGGGCCAGAAGACGGTGGCGTCTCACAGACATTCAATCTACCGCAGCGCCGCATCTCTTTACATCTGTGTTTATATTCTCATATGTCTACTACTAAGTGTGATTGACTCTCGAGTGTGGTACAAAGGTAAGCTTCGGGAAAACGCGATGGGTCTGGATATTGTCGAGGGATGTTATACGATAGAGCCTAGGAGTCCTGTTAATAATACACTTCATAGTTTGAATATTGAGCTTGTAGTAATACCTCCCCAGACGACGCATTGAATACGGAAGCTATGCCTCTAAATGAGTTCCATTGCATTGGATAGATGGTCTAGTATCCCATTCTCGAGATCAATGCCCTCCCGAGGACGAGTCAGACCGCTCTACATCGCTACTACTGGCATATTCGAAGTCAGGACTTGTTTAGAGAAAGGCCACGATAGCGCGGAGGTTATGATGCTGTCATGTCGGGGAGAGTGGAGGCTTGGTGATGGAAGGTGGTAAAGTTTTTAGCCTGCTTTAGTCATCATAGAATACGACCCAAGTTACAAAGTACCCTCGAGCCATCCCCTCTCCAACACCATCCATCAGATCCATCAAGTTATTGTATGTAACGTACTACTTGGGGCACAGATCCCATGTCCTCTCCATATCGGACTCACTCAAGATAGCTTCGATGCCCCTTTCATCAATCCTGTTCCATGCTCTGCACTTTCTACTTCCTAGAGCATCACTCCCGCCTAATGCCTGAGAGAATGGCAAATCTACGTTTCTATCCTTCTCCGTTCCAATATGCACTGTTATGGACGCATCAGTAAACATCTTGATCGGCAGTCTTTCCGGTACTTGAAACGTCGCGTAGTTTTCGCGTTCTCGCACGCCATCAACACTGCATATCACTACATCTATCCCATGTCTTTCCTAGAGACCAGCTTAAACTTCGGCGGATTAACTACCGCACAGCACTTACTAGTAACAGCTGTCATAGGCATGTGGTGTCGGAGTTACGTTGCACCTCTGAGCGGAGACGGTGTTTTTTCCGCATCCTGTATAGATCGCTCCACTACTTCCCACGCGAAACAACGCCGAACCATAGGCAATGGGTCCCTGTTATCACAGCCATTGCGTGCGCGCATCTCCATCTGACGAATGTGGGCTCCCAGGCCCTTGGTCCCGGATTAACAGATGCCTATCATACGCGCCGTGGAAAAGCTTGCACGCCATCAGATATACGGTCCGTTACGGGGTGCATATATGACAGCTGTTCCGCTGCTCTAGTATATGTGTTTGCTGTGCAACATACCTCCCTAGATTCAGTGGTAGCAATTGCAAACAGGCTTGGCCTCTTGATCTACCCCAGATACAGGTCCAATTGGACGATCCGCATCAATGGCAGCTGCAGCACCTTATGATGTCAAACCTGGACAAGATGGGAACGACCCCTCTTTAACGAATGTCCAAGATGTGGCCGATAACATGTCCGAGAGTGACAAAGAGGCATTCCTCGCATCTTTCTCTGCCGAAGATGACAAGGCGATTATGCGGAAGGTGGATAGGAGGTTCTTGCTGCTTATTGGATTGATGTATCTAATCAAAAATGTAGGATTTCTCGTTGGTGCATGATTCTTTGAGCTAATCGTTTCTAGGTCGACTATGCGAATGCGGCTTCGGTTAAAGTCCTACAGGTCAAGCAGCCATCCAACATTATGAAGGAGCTGCACATGACTTCCGACCAGTACAATTGGGTCCAATCGATTTACTTTGTAAGCTTTTCAGCGATGTCAGCTCAACGAGACCCATTAACACACTTAGATCGCCTACATCGTCTTCGAAGTACCAAGTAATCTGTTGCTAAAGAAAGTCACACCCCGCAATTGGCAAACTCGCATCATGCTCTCCTGGGGAATCGTTCTAGCATGCCACGCAGCCGTCAAAAACAAGGAAGGTCTTTATGCTGCCCGCTTTATCCTTGGCATGATGGAGGCAGGTATGTTCCCTGGACTCGCCGCTCAGCTATGCAGTTGGTACCGCAGCGACGAAATGGGAAAGCCAATCATGTGGATGTTTGGCTTCCAGAACACCTCCGGTATTGTCGGCTCTCTACTTGCCTACGGCATATCCTACCTGAACGGGAAAGGTGGCTTGAGTGCTTGGCGATGGTATACCTCCTCTTCATCCTTCAATTCTCAAACTCACCGATTAACCGCCTCCTAGGGTCTACCTCATCGAAGGCATCTTCACAATCTTTTTCTCCGCAGTGGTCTTCCTCGTGCTCCCCGACTACCCCAAATCTCCCCGCTCCCGCTCCTGGCTCACCCCCAGAGAGCAACAATACCTCGAGCTCCGCCTCTCCGAAAATGCGCCCCTTACTCACGACTCTGCGTTCTCCAAATCCGAAATCTGGGCCTCCCTGACCGACCCGCGCACCTACTCCTTCATGCTCTCCCAGATCCTCCTCAACCTCGGCGGCTACGGCCTCAGCTGGCAGCTCCCCGTCATCACCACCAACCTCGGCTTCGCCGGACTGCCGCGCAACCAGCTCCTTAACATCCCACCCGCAGGCGCGACCGTGCTCTCCATCATCGCCGCGGGCTGGTTCATGAAACGTGCGTGGATTACCCGCCCCGCGTTCATCATGTTCATCATGGCCGGCGCGACGACCTTCTTCATCGTCCTCGCGACCGTCCGCACGCCCGGCGTCGTCTATGCCGCCTGCGTGCTGGGCACGATGTTCTACTCCGTGTACTTCATCCCGTTCTGGGCGTGGCGGTCATCCACACTGAAAGGGACGACCGGCACCGCGTTCACGCTGGCCTTCCAGTCCTGCGTCGGGCAGGTCGGGGGCGTGATCGGGCCGCAGCTGTTCCAGGAGCGGTGGGCGCACAACGGGTACAGGGCCTCGTTTGCGATCTGCGCGACGGCGATTGGGGTGGGGTGGATTGCGAACTGTTGGACGTGGTGGTTGACGCGGAACGTGGAGTGGGATGTGAGGAGGATTCGGAGGCTGAGGATTAAGGCGGGGAGGGAGAATAGGATCTTTGCGGAAGATGATGTGAAGGTGTATGAGGAGAGGAAGTTTTATGGGGGGTTGACGAAGAGGGGGGAGGAGGAGGTTGTGTGAGTGGAAGAGTGGTAGGGAAGAGGTGGGTGGGTGTTGGGCTTTCGCGGGGAGGTTCTTGGTAGGGTAAAAGTTGTCTCTGTTGCAAGGGAGTTTTGTTGCATCGTTCTACGCCTCATTTCGTACGTTCTCGTCAATCCCTTCGTCAAACGTTCAAGATTCGTTTCTTGGTTGCTCATTCTCCCTGATCAATCGGAAGGCTCCAACTTCTCTGAGTGCTAGGTAGCCAAGGCCTGCTCCAAGAATTGTTCGCCACAGTCATGAGGCTGCGCTGCACGTGAGCTCGTAGCAGCCCTGGCGGCATGTCATAGCGCGACCCGTCAGAATGGCACCGGATGGGGGGGAATGGGGCTCGACGCTATTGTAGGTCGCTAACTTAGCCGCAATCGCCTCGGAAGGTAGGGCAAGGGTGCATGTCGCGACGGGATTCGCGGGCAGGTGGCAAGGGTGTGCATGTCGCGACGGGATTCGCGGGCAGGGGGCCAGGGCGGTCCAAATTTTCCAATTTCGGCCCGGTGCTGCACAACTGGCTGTGCCAAACACCACGCAGGCACGCCGGCTGCTATCCGCTGCAATGATTTACTCTGACAACTGATGCTGAAATATGGCCTACTCCCCTCATCCCCAATTTAAATTCGAGCAATCCCGAAAACATATTTCTGTTTGCTTTCGCATGATTCAAAGCTTTTGATATCATTCATTTATTCCTTCTAATACTGACTTGCTCCATTCTTGTCTTGTCATTGGCTCATTGCTTAGGCTCCACATTTGGTCACTGTAGCACTTGAAAAAAAGCGCCCAAAGTAGCCGTGCAGCCATGAAGCTAGACACCTCTCTAGCTATAATCTTCGGCACAGTGACCGTTCTTCAAGTTCTTGGTGCGCTGGTCAAATTCATCATGAGATTATTCCATCGACGAAGGCTTGGAGGTATGTTCAGTATATCTTCCTAACTCTAGGTCCTATACTTGAAACTCTATCGCTTCATTTTTCATTCTGCATGAGAATACACTGACTTCCAATTCTCTTCTGTGGTCATCACTAATAGAGCTGTGTATAGAAAACGAAAATGAGGACAACTACGACCTCGAACCAGGACCCCCATCCACCATCTCCCGAACAACACAGCTACCGCACTCAACAGGTGTAGAGCTCGACACCCTAGCTCCTCCTCGAGATCCGTCTTATTTGGACTGGCCCGTGCTGCCGTCTCCGTATGATGAAAGCAGCCGTGAGCAGAGGGAGTGGGGAGCCTTATGACCTAGAGAGATGTTACATGGTTGTTTCTTTTCAACCCATATATAGGGAGACGCCATCACAAAAGCTGGGGAAGGTTTCGTTCATGTATCAACTATGTTCTTACCGTGTCGCCTGGCTCGAGAGGACGGGGGTGTATACCAGTGGGGTCTTCTCGAGAGCCTCACACTTCTCATCAGTACACTGGTGACAAGCTCCAGCAAAGTCTCCGTCCGTCAAGTGACATTGGTGAAGAAGTGGGTGTTAAGCATCGTGATTGAGTTATTGGGATGGTAAAAGGTATCTCTATTGCAAGGGAGTTTCATTGCATTACTGTACACTTCCACTGCTCATCAATCTTCGTCTTACAAAGCACCCTAGGTTCATGGCCGCTTATTCCCCTGCTTGACCGGAAGACTTCGACATCTATAAGCTTTAGGGTTGCTCGAAAGACTATTCACCCAGTCACGAGGCTGAGTTGCACGTGAGCTAGTAGCTAAGTAGCTAAGTGATTGAGCTCAATACATCAGCATACATTCAACTTTGTCCCTACTCCTACCGCGAAAGGCAGATGTCGACATTTGCGGATTCTGTTCAGCATCGCATTGCTCCGCGAGACATTTCTTTAAGGCGGGCCAGGTCCCTTAACAACACGCGACGGTAGACATTCTGTCAGGGAGTAGCGGTGAGGGCTACGGCAGGCGCATGCCACCTTGTATATAACCTCACCTTCCTCCAGACCTCTCTCTCTTCTCCGTGACACATTGTAGACGACCTTCCAAGGCGAATTTTAAATGCGAAGTTCCTAGTTCTATTTCCCGCGATCACTTAGCGGACATGGGCATTCACAGGCACCGATTTACACCGGCCCGTGGCGCTTTGAACTCACGCACTCTAGTGTAGCCCTCTTCGTCTGTCAGTCCAGGATCTAGGGTGCTGCGGCAGCAGAAGAGTCAGAGCTAGCAAGGCAGCACATGTGATATCGCGTCCCTTGACGCGTTGGGGGGATTTCCACTTTACGCGTCCAATCGCGTCTGTCACTAAAGTATGCCGTGCGGCTGTCTGCTAGATAGCCGTCCTCCCTGCAACGTGTATATTCCCCTGGCATTCACCGGTCACTGCATTGTCTGCCTTCCTCCGCACTTTCAACCTGTGTGATACGCTGTCCTCCACCTGCTTCGCATATTCTTGCGCTGTAAATGCAGGCCCAGGAGCAGCGTGCGTCGTGGCGTACCCAATGATAAGCTCCAAAGCAGTCAGCAGTCAGTTCAGGCCCTGTCGGGCCCTAGGTTCAAACCAAAGAGCCGGGCGATGCAGGCCAGCTTGACGGTATTTCGAAGGTTCGTAGTGGTTGCGGGGCAGTGCCCGCCAGATGGGCGGAGGTTGCGTCGCAACCAGTAGAATACTATGCCTCACGCGAATAGCCTGCACTCACGCGCGAGGCATAGTATTCTACTAGTATATAGTCTCACTTACTTCCCACTTCCCTATCATACATGGAGCAATCCTGAGGACATGCTGTCTATTTATTTTCGCATAAATTGATGCATACGGCTATTCTCCTGCTATTAATTATCTCGCGGGCTCCTCGCTTGCTGGCGCTCTACTTCAACCCTGTGTCTGGCGATCTAGTCGTTTCCCATAAGTCCGAAAAGCTGTTTCGAACAGACCGTGTGGACATGAAGCTGGATACCACTCTTGCCATAGTATTTGGTGCCGTGTCCGTTCTCCAAGTCCTCGGTGCGCTGATCGGAGTCGTGATGAGGTTCTTCCATCGACGGGGAAGGCTTGAAGGTGTGTTCGATAGACTTTCTTTGCATTAAGATTCCACGTAATGTTACCTTTGTACCTTCGGATACAAATCCGCTTCCAAGTCGTTGCTGCTGACAGAGTTTTTCGTAGAAAGCGAGAGCGTCCACGATGCCGAATCGGGCCCACAATCCATCGCCACCGGATCGGTCCCATTAGAGCGTTCTACTGGAGTAGAACTCGATTCTCTAGCGCAGGTAGGTTATTCGTTCTACCTAGATTGGCCTGCGCTGCCGTCTCCGTATGAGGAGAGTAGCCGTGAGCAGAGGGAGTGGGGAACCTTATGAGTTGGAGAGATGCCCTCTGGATGTTTCTTGTCTGATTGAATGTATGAAAACGACAGATGAAAAATCGGAGACGGCTCTGTTCATGTACCAACACTGTTTCTATGGTGTCACCTAGCCCGATTCCAGACTCATTGAAATCCAGTAAAAAGTTAGCATAAACGATCGGATTGATCCATATCGATGTCTCATGCAGTTGCAATGTTAAACATACGTCCGTCCGTCCCTCCGGTATTTTAAGCCCACCCCTCAGTAGTAGCACAGGGGTATATCGCTCCCCAAACGCCAAAGACACGTCCCCTACCCAAACCAACCCCTCACAACCACCACATTCTCTCCCCCCTCGTGTCCCACTTCATCTGGCCTGCTAAAACACATACCTTCTCCCTCTTTGCCCCTTCTTCTTTCCCCGTATACCACCCTTGATTCAGCAACCCTACCTCCTTGTCCAACCACTCCCCGACCTTCTCATCCACCTTCGGATCCAAATCCACCAAATACGCTTCCACAAACGGCACCTCCGCCCCATAATGCACGCACACAAACATCGAGCAATCCCGAAACGTCATCGCGACCTTCAGCCGCTCCCTCGCGACCCCAATCGGCATCGCAAACCCCCTCCCACCATCACGAGCGAAGATCCCCTCATGACTAGTACTCTCAAATCCCGCGGGATCCAGCTCCTGCTGCCACAGCCGCAATTTCAGCAGCAGCGCGCGCCCGGGCCCGGTCCTGAAGTAGTCAATCACCATCATCACCATGCTGTCCTCGAGGTCCGGGGAAAGCGCCTTGAAGCCTTCCTCTTGCCGCAGGCGCTCGGAGAAGAGCTGTCCGACCCCGCAGGTGAACCTAAGGGGATCGTCCAACACTAAGAGCAGAGGGCAAAACGGGGCCGCCCCATGGTCGAGCATCAGCTTGCGTGCGTCGCCTTTCGCTGCGCGCTGCGCTCTCAGCGCGCAGGTGCGGCAGCGTACCGCAAGCCACGGCGCGGTCGGGGATTGGAGCAGCCATTTGGGCTTGATCTCGATGGTGGTGGAAGAGCCGGGGATGGAGGTTAGGTCGGGCAAGAGAAGGCAGTTGAGGTCGTCTGTGCGGATAAAGGAGCGCTCGCAGCCGGCCTTGCGGTGGTTCAGCATGCCCCACTGCTTCAGCAGGGTGTTGAGATAGTCGACCAGAGGTTGCTCGACCTCGATGATGCCGTGGAACGCGCGGTGGCGAGCAGTGTCGCCGTCGAAGAAGCGGCTGGTGATGTTGGTGAAGTAGGTTGCGATGTCGCTGCAGCTTGGGGCGTTGGGCGCGTCTTTTGAGAAGCGGAGAACGCGGTTTTGCATCAGTGATGGTTGGGTTGACGCGTCTTCACCTGACGCGGTGGTGCAGATGACGGGGTGGCGGCATTCACAGGACCCTTGCGGAGCGTAGGAAGGCGAGCGGAATGCGAAGACGATGTTGGCGGCGCCCTCGCCGAGGTATTGGAGGGACCAGAGGTTGCCGCGTTGGATCTCGTCCTGGGTAGCGGCGCGGATGCGGAACACCATGGTCGTGGGTGGGGCGATGCTGTAGATGAAACGAAAGGAAAACGAGGGCTGTTCATATGGGAACGGGGTTGTTTGGATGGAGCTTGAAAGGCTCGATCTGATCGACGTTCCTGCTAATGCTAGAATGGGGCAAGCGCGTGGGTAGGGAACCTTAAGTCTATAAATACAATCAGGGTCTTCAGGGCAAGGCTTAAATAAAGGTTAATAGAACATTGGAAATCTTTTCTGTTTCATAACTTTATTATTAGTTCTCTACTACCTCATTTAACCCATATAAACCGCCAATCACGAAGTCTATTCATTGTTAGGGTTTCCTCGCCTAAGCACAGGTATATCTTTATCTTATGGAAAGTTGGTTCTTAAAGATGCGCGAAGATCAGGAGGACGCTATGTTTAATAAAGATAGCTTTGCAGCCAGTGATTTGCATCTAGAAGACGGTACGAGTGTCGCCGGCAACTTGTTCCGGTTTGTTAACTAAGTGTTCGACGAGGAGGGACTTGCGGAGAAGCCATCTGGGAGGAACGAATCTTGTATCAAGACGCCATTTCCGTATGCGATGGTTTTAGTGGTACCGAGAACACCCCAGGGATATCTATCAACTCTATAGAGATGATTTCATAGACTGCCTTCCGATCTTCAGAGAGGGCCAAACTGAATCTCGACGATCTGACATATATCTGGACGCATACACCGAGCACGTTTACGAAGTCTCCCATATCTAAGGACAAAGTAGCGGAGAGCAAAGCTGCCCCTTTTCTCTCCGCTCTCAGCGTTGCTTACATGGTGACGCGGCATTGGGAAGTTCGGCTAAATCTTCAGTGCGAGGGGCTGAGGCTTGCTGATTCAAGATTACGAACGACGAAAAAGGCAAAGAAGGACAGCCGCCAAGATGCAAAGAATTGCTACGACAAGACGTTAGAAAATGCAGAGCAAGAAGCGTAGAATAAGTTGGGAACCGCAAGCACGAGCAACGAACGACGAAAGGAAATTCGGGTCACAAGAATTCCCGACAGGCTCAGCTCTCCAGGGTTCATCTAGTGCCCGAGACTAACGGGAGCTAGGAGGTGCCAAGCTTTACGTGGTACAGCCTCTCTGTACGTCCGGCGACCTAGCGCCAAAATCAAGCCACGAAATTGCCGTATGAGGTAACGATTCCGGATGCCTTTAGGGGGAATAACAGCTGCCTAGCCAATGAATCTTCGAGCCGGCTCATTATTAGCCCAGAAAAGGAGGTTCACGGGGTTCGACTCAGGTTCCGCGCTAGGTCGTCGGACGTACAGAGAGGCTGTACATATCAAAAGAGACTTATGTTGCGATTCGTCAGCGTACCTAGATACGGACTCGCAACTCGGCTCTTGCATCGCACATCCCAGGTACGAACTCATGCACGCCTAAAATACACCCTGGAACGTAACAAGACAACGAGATCAGCGTATTAAAGCGCGAAACAGAAGCCTATTATATGGATCGCTTCAAGAAAGCAGTCAATGAGAGAGACAATGCCTGCTCGCTTAAACCCACCGTCTCGTTCAGGAGTGAATGTCGGCACTTTCGCAAATCCCGTCACTGAGAGTATTCCCCACACTGCCTCAACAAGCCTCGAAGAGTGCAGATACGACTCATGAGTACGTGGCAATTCGCCTACATTCCGCCCTTTGGGTACATCTAGGATGGCGCATGCTCGCACCATAGAGCCCCATCGCGGTTAACTACACTGCCTGCCGATCATATACGTCAGGCTGCCTTCTTACCATAACTTCCATTCGCAAACCTTATCTTTAAAACGGTGCTAGAGCATGATCAACAAGCTAGGAGGCTGATATCTTACTTGTCCGCGAGCAGCTACCCGTATCGCCCCTCGCAGTGCGAGCTTTCGGCTGATCCACAACGAAATCAAGGCTGCGCCTCTTTTGGGAGAATGCATGTCGCGACCCCAGAATATATAAGATGAAAGCCCGATAATGTCTCTAGCCCTTACGCCATTCCAACACCTCCGTTCTCACGCCTCAGCAATCACTGGTTCTCAACACCACCAATCGGTCATTCACTCCCTGCTTCGTACTTCCGTTGACTGTTTTACACTGCCAGCGTGTTTATCATCAATCGCATCAAACTATCTCCCGCAATATCGATCATTTTCTCTGGTCAAACTTCTGCTCATTCAACCACGAGTCCACACGCTGCCCCTATGACTACCATAAACCTCTTACTCTCCCGAGCGGACACGGTCGGCAAATACTACGATTATGACCCCTCCAAGGCCGCCGCAGTCGTATTCTTGGGCATCTTCGGCATATTAACGCTGCTTCACCTATACCAGATGTTGCGGACGGCGGCGTGGTATTTCGTCCCATTCTGCCTTGGTGGCGTCCGTGAGTATCCCCTTTCTACTATCCTCAAGCCGCAGGGCCTGAGGCACCTTAGCACGACTCTCCCCATCGCTCCAAACTAACACCTTCCCCCCTCTAGTCGAAACAATCGGCTACCTCGCCCGCCTTAAAGGCGCCAGCGAAACCCCTAACTGGACTGAAGGCCCCTACGTAATCCAAGTCCTCGCCATCCTGCTCGGGCCCCTCCTCTTCGCCGCCTCCATCTACATGGTGCTGGGCCGCATCATCCTGCTCACCGAAGCCGAGGCGCACTCCATTATCCGCCGCACCTGGCTCACCGCCATTTTTGTCTGCGGCGACATCTTCTCCTTCCTCGTGCAAGCCTACGGTAAGGCGCCCCCCTGCCCCCATTCCCTAGTCCCCATCTCCAACAACCCACTTACTAACCTTTCCGTTTTCGCACAGGCGGCGGCCTCCTAGCCAAAGGCACCGCCTCCAGCGCCAAAAGAGGCAAAACCGTCATCCTCATCGGCCTCTTCACCCAAATCCTCTTCTTCGGCCTCTTCCTCCTCAACTCGCTCCTCTTCCTCTTCCGCCTGCGCTCAAACCCCACGCCCCGCTCGCGCCAAGTCCCCTGGCTGAAGCACCTGGCCACCCTCTTCGTCGCCGCGCTGCTCATCCTGATCCGCTCCGTGTACCGCGTGGTCGAATACATGCAGGGCGCCAACGGCGTACTGCAGATGCACGAGGTGTACCTGTATGCGCTGGACGCGGCGCTGATGGCGCTGGCGATGCTGATTTTCGCGGTGGTGCATCCCAGCGAGGTCAAGGCGCTGTACCAGGGCGGGAAGGTGGCCGTATTTTTGAGCGTAAGGAGGGTGGGGAAACCGGATGATGGGTGGAGGACGAGCTCGGTTAGTTTGTTGCCGGTGGGTGCGGGGGGGTATGAGGGTGTTGGCGCGGGAGGATATGCGGGTGCGGGAGGATACGCGGGTGCAGGCGCAGGGAGTTATGAGGAACGGGGAGGTGAGGTTTGATAGCGAGTGATTTCTCTTTGGGTTTAGATGGAGGGGGCATGTTAAGGGGAGCAGCGCCGAGCATTGGGTCCTGTGTTGATGCAGAGGACTTGTAGGATAGACGCAGTGACAGACAAGAAGGAGAGAGCGGTGTTTGCGTATACTATCCTCGTAATCACAGCTACGAGCCTTGCGATAGGGGTAGTAGACAACTGGGGACGAGTTTTATATGTATAGTGTACGGATCTGCAATGCTCGAAGACTCCTGCAACAGATGCTAAAAGCAGAAAATTAGTATTATACTCCCTAAGAGACTCGAACACATCATTTCATAAAGATTTACACATCATTTCATAAAGATTTACACATCATTTCATAAAGATTTCGCTTAGTGATTCCTAGAAACGCCTTTGCTGTCCTTGCTGGTTCTGCTCCATTCGTTGTTGCTGATTCTCCTCCATCATCTGGCGCTCTTCGAGGCAAGAATGTTCATCCGTACGATGCTTCTTATTACAACTTACGTGCTGAAAATAGCCAAGACAAACGTTCCCCAAGGCAAACTGCACTTCGAATCATTGCCGTTTGTCTTCTTACCCGTAGCAACCGCACTAGGGCTCGTGGTTGACCTCCTATTCGTGTAGCAGCGACTCGGGCCCTCTGGCCCACCCGCGGGTCTAGTCAAAACAGAAACGGCAATGAAGGCGCCGACGAACGCGAGGTCGAGCAGGACCCAGAACCATCGCAGCCACTTTGGGCCGCCGCCGCGGAGCAGAAGCGTTATTATCATGGCGAGGATGCTTTCGACGGCGCTGTCGGAGCCGGAGATGCCACGGTAGGTTTTGACACGGTTGATGAGGCGGTAGATTTTATAGATTTTGGAGGAGAAGAGGCCGAAGGAGATGATGGCGGAGAGGAATTGGAGGACGCGGGTGAGGCGGAGGAACCAGCGGTAGAGGGCCTAGTGTTTCAGCTTCTCGGGCACCCAGAGGGTGAGAAGGCCAGTCATGATGGGAATTGGCAATAAGGGGGAGTTGTGAAGATCAGTTCTAGGAACTATGCGCTTCTATAACTGATTACGAGAGTGTTTAGAAGGGTCGACTGAGGTTTTGTACTCCGCATTTCATGAGTGTGAGCGAGTGATGACACCGCAGAGTCGGCCATGATGGCCGCAGTGAGATGTCTGGATAAGGCTGATTAGTGCCTTGGATTCTGCACCATTTGTGACAGTGAAGATGGTTCAAGGCCTTCTTCTCCGCTGGTTCAGCCACGTTTGTAGTAGGAACAATCCAATGAGTGTCAGAGATAGCCTTACTTTATGACGAGCTGTCGATCTTCAGGGTTTCTCCAACGCTAGGCACTGAGAAGCTGGAGTAGTGTATACCTTAAGTCAGGATGTTCCCAGGATTGAGAATCAGGGTGAATAATCACGTTTGAACAACGACACGAAAATCAGTTCGGCAGATTCGAGACTCAGGTCTTTCTCTACCCAGGTATGGCATATGATATGAGGAATCTCTGGTTCTTTCTCTGAGATCGCAGAGGTGTTCTGAAACTGTCGATGATGGTACAATTAAACTTGGTCGTGGTATGATATAACTTGCCGCTAAAGTGATGAGCGCGGGACCTATGATGAGGCGTCGTCATAGACGAGTAGGAATCGTCTCCGCAGAGACTTGACCAACATATGCGAGAACCCGATTAGCAAAACTATCGTCGTGATAGTGAGACCTACCTAGGTAGCGCCTAGGCCTCGCCACAGTGGCTAAAGTGGCTGGAGAATATCAAGAAAAGGCCTAGGAGAGCGCCATGGGTTTGGCAAAATCCCATTAGACTAGCTTACGAGGACTCAGCATCGTGCCCGGATCAATTGCATGTTTAACCTTTATGAAAATCTACTGGAAGAGGGTAGCTGCTGTGAACTTCGGAACTTCGTAAGTGTAGCTCGGAGCGACTCCGCAGCCACTGATAAAGACACCGATCGTGATGTGCAAGACGGCGAAAGCTGATGAAATGCAAAGGGCAAAGGTCCAGATTTCGCCTCTCGTCCCAGCGTACATGGCGGAAGTTCTCAGAGACCTTTTCTGGAGCCACGGGTACCTAGGTATTGTTGAAATGAAATCAAGATCGAGCTTTTTTGACGTCATCAGTAAACTTTGAACTCACCGAAATAATAGTTTTTAAGAGCTTAGAGATCCGTCCTAGATGCTGCTATGATGCATGAAATCTCAGATTCTTCGACGAATAGGGTAACGTAAAATGGAAGTTGAGAGGAAAGGAAAAGACGAAAAAGACGATCAAGTGCGCCTGGGGAGCTCGGGCTGTGCTTACTCAGCCCCAGCGCTCGACATCAACATTGTGCGTTCTTCCAACATCCCTTCTAGACATCTGCCAAAAGTCCGAAGAAGTTCACTGCGCAAGAACCAGATCGTCCTCTCAAGTCACATTCAACCCCCCCGTTTCTTCCCTCCTAGGCAAAGGAGGAACATCAACCGTATCAAGATAACCAGTCGTAGACGTATCCTTCTCCTGTGCAACTATCATCCCATTCCCCATCCAAGCAAGGCAGTCCTCCTCATCTTCATCAAAAGACCCATACTCAAAGTCCTCAAACCTCGGCGTTTCCAGCGTCGCTCGCTGATGCACCGCCCCGCCAGGCCAGTATCCTAGAACCCTCCCATTCGGGGTTCTTTTAGCCCACTGGCCACACTGCGTATCTCGGATTAACTAATTGCCCACCAAAAAAATAAAGGGCATAGCATACCATGAATGCGAAAGTAGTTTTCGCGAAGTAGCGGTCGACCTGCTTCATAAACGCTCTGACAGCCACGTCTCTTCGAGCTCCCTGTTAGCTTTACTGACAGGACAGGGCCATAGGTGATATTAAGCTTACTTCGGTACCATCCATCTCAAGTTCTCTCGCTGTAGCTTCTGGACACACTTAATCATGTACTCACATGCACACTCGCTCATCTGGATAGTCGAGCCAGCGCCAGCTGTTCCGTTGGGGCCTAGGAACAGGAAGAGGTTCGGCATCTGCGGTGGACAGATTGACATGTACGCGCCTGGCTCCGAGTCCCATAGCTGGTCGAGGGATACGTCGTTTTGACCGTAAATCGGGTTTTCGTTATGCCTCAGTGAACTGCTTTCGGGTTATGCTGAGAGTCAAGGGGCAGGTGGCGGTATCAGGCACTCACGTATCGAACCCAGTCGCACATACGATCGCGTCGACCTCTCGGAAGGTGCCGGTATCGTCTTCAATACCGCTCTCCGTCACGCGTTTGATCCCGTTTGGAATGAAGTTCAAGTTGTCCTCGACGAGGCATTCCAGGTACCGCGGGCCTGGGGACACGCGACGGCAAGCGACCGGGTATGTTGGTTTCATGTGTTTCAAAATCTCCGGCTTGCTAGCTAATCTGCGTGCCATAGACTCTTCGGTCGCTTTGGTAAAGTTCCGGTTCATTTCCGTTCCGAGTACGTGGAGCCCCTGGGACTTGTTGACGTACTTCTCCACCTGGTGTCGGTAACGCAGATAGGTCTCTGGGTCCTTGGCGAACTCTTCTCGCTCTTCGACCGGGTGCTCGACTGGCAGGCCATGTCAGTGTACAACGTTAGAGAGTCACCAAGCAAGGCTTACAATTATGAACATCCGAGTTCGCTTTTCTGGGGTCAGCTGCAACATACCCTGCCGGCGAGATCCACGACGGCCCGCGGACATAATGATCCATGTACTTCACCTTTCCAAGAATTGCAGGCACGAGCTGCAGTCCAGTAGATCCACAGCCTATGACCGCTACACGTTTACCCGTCGGATCAAACGATTCGTCCCACTTAGCCGAGTGCAGCAAATTGCCTTTGAAGTCGTGGAGTCCGTTGATACTAGGCCATACCCATTTATTCAGCGTTCCCGTCGCTTTAACGAAGACGTCGCAGTACTCTTTCAATTCCTGGTGTTGACTTCGTCAGCGTCGATTTCAGATATCAGTATTCATGGAGGGCAGAAACACCAACCACATTATCCGACAATCGCAGCACCGTGATCTCCCACCGCGTCTGTTCCTCCAGCCATCTCGCGGCGCGAAACACATGGCCAAAGCGCACCAGCTTCCTCACGTCGTAGCGATCCGCGACATCTCGGAAGTAGTTCCCAATCTCTTTCCCTGGGGAGAAGAAGTGCGACCAATTCGGGTTGTTGGCAAAGGTGTATTGATAAGCATGGGATGGAACATCTAAAAACAGCAATGTCCTCGTCAGCGTTGCTCTACTATCACGCGTAGGGCCCGCAGGAAATCTAATCTATCTTCAAAGTGGGGGATTACCGCAAGTAACACCAGGGTATCTAGTACGCGCGTCAGTTATAGTTGCTCAATTATCAAATTTCACAGAAGGTTACCTATTCTCATACCACACGCCCCCAAAATCCTCGTTCTTGTCATAGATCGTTAGATCGAGGTTTTGGATCCGCTGCGAAAAGCGTATGCCGCAGAGTATCCCAGACATGCCCGCGCCGATACAGATGACTTTGATCGGTCTGGCGTAGTCGACTGGGGCGTCTTGTGGGCGAGGGACTGCACTAGACGGCGGCATTGTTGGAGCTTTTTTGGTCTCGTGTTGAGTGATTGGTGACAGAGTTAAGCTTCAATGTTCAACGTAGAGATGAGAGTTGGAAGAGAACTAGAAATTCACAATGAAGCGTTCATTATATCGCGAACTTCGTCAACCCTATATCCCCCCTCGGCTCCTCTCCACGGATTACGTAGGTAGCTGCATACATGCTCGCGCGTCAGGCGCGCGGATTCACGTTACGGCTTTAGTGCTAGACTCCGTGGGTGGCATGGTGCTGCGAGGATGCGGAGTCGTTATCCGAAGTGGAGCTCCCTCGACGGACAACTTACTACATTATCTTATCTGAAGCAAGCCTATCGCCAAGTCGTGATTATTGCTATACAACGCTTTCGTCGTTGATAGGATGGTAGAAGTAAGTCAGTAAATTGCTTTTCAGGCGGTCGTACCCCTAGCTTATAGTGGGAAAAGGACCTCGGGAGGACTGCCTGAGTGGCACGTGAGTGGTATCGGCGCTGCTTGCCGGAAGCCTAGATAGGAGACTTTGTTTGCTCCCCGCGTCTGCCATGTTGGAAGCTGGCTAAGCCAGTGATAAGCAGGCTCTCCGGCAGAACGAGAACCACGTGTAACCACGTGTATCGCGACTGCATGTGCATGGTTGTTCTGGACTGCGGTGTCACTAGTGGTTGTTGGCGATATTCTTTCAGCAGGATCGGACTGTCGCCATGGCTCTCTATGGCTGAGCGCTAGGGAAAACGCACCGTTGACTGTGGTAGAGGGCGTGTGAACACCTTCCGAAACCCTCGGACAGCATCAGGTTGGAGTTGGCTGGGGCAATCTTGAAGGTTTGGTGCGACGCAGCCCTGGAGTCATATTCGCGCTATTCCAAAACAAGCCAAGGCTGAGGACCTCTCGAGTCTATCAATACATTTAAGGCCTCCAAGGCAAGGCTGAGAATTGAACTAAGATCGAATAGAGTATCATGTAGATTTACAGTCTTCCAAGAGAAGTTTAGCACTTTGCACCTCCTAGGTAGCTATCTAATGTGCGGAGCTGTGCATTGATATTGATCCTTTAGTTGAATGCAAGCATTTTAGCGTAGTATGGGGGTATATACGCAGCCTTCTGTAGCTTCGGCAAAATTACGATTGAACAAAACGACGACCAGGAGTTGATCGCACTGCGTTCCCACTCGGTATACATAGGCTATGCTAGGCTTCCCCGCAACAATACCAAATCTAGGTACATGTTTCCCAACTTAGCTTCGCTCTCAAAGGTCCATCTCCTCAACAACCACCGCTCGACTCTACACTTTACCATTTCCGCGCCAAGACTTACCTGGACAGGGCATCAATAGTGTCAAGTTGCAGACGCTTTGGTGGCTGATTATTTTGGTAGAGACGGTAGAATGATAGAAAATAACCTAGAGTGACTAGTCACATGCTGGACAATTCCGCTAATACTTCGTTGCAATTATGTATTATCTTTAGGTGTTATGTATGTGCGTGACGGGTAGAAAGGCTCTACTGGGTATATCCAACTCTCCATATACTTACTACTATTCCACCTCATGTCCCTTCAGTACACCCCTAAGCGTCTACCCTTCTCCCAACATATCCGCAGTCCCCCAACCACCCTTTATCCCTCGACCCTCTCCACTACTTCTCCGCATCCCCAATCTTCACCACGAATAACCCCTCCGCCAACTTCCTAACAACCTCATCCCCCACCCCCGCCAAGCTCTTCTTAATGCCCTCCACCGTCGCCTCACCCAGCCCCTTCCCACCCCTCGAATACAAATCCAACCCCGCAGGCGTGAACAGCGTTTTCGCGAAAAACGTAACCACCCACTCATTTCCCCCCTCCCCCTCTTCTTTGCCATACCCCAACACCTCCCACCGACTCCCTGCAATAACCAACCACCCCCGCCCACGCCAATTGTACGCCCAGCCCCCGCTGCTCGCATCGATCTTGTCCACCCCGCGCACGGCCTTTTCCTTCTCCCCCTTCAGAGGATTATACGTGACTAGGTCGTCGAGGGGAGGGAAGTCGGTGGCGGTGGTGGGGGAGAGCGGTTTGTATGTTATTTTGACGTTGCGCGCGTTGCGCCACATGGGGAGGGTGGAGTGCGTGACGTGCCATGTGCCTGTCAGAAAGCCGGGGGTCGGCGGGGAGAGCGGGGAGGTGGTGGAGCCGGGGGCGCGAAGGGGGAAGGCTGGGATGGGTGGGGTGGAGGTTGAGGTTGAGGCGGGAGGAGTCGTGGAGGAGGTGGGTGGTTGGGTGTCGGCCATTTAATAGGAAGGCTGTGTAGCTGTGGAACGAAGAGGCGGTCGTGTTGGGCGTCTTTGGTAAGCACGGGTGGGTGGGTGGCTTTGGGGAGGGAAGAATTGGGGATGGGCTGAGGTTGAGGCGTGCAGTTGAAGACACTTGGAGCTTTCAACTCGTGAATATTGAATGGTGGCGTCGTCGAGACAACCCCAGCGCATTCCTTGTTCCTGCCGCACGGCCCGGCGATCGTGAGATCATCGGGTTGTCTTTCCTGGGAGGGGCGACGGGAATGAGGCTCTTCCCTTTGCAGGTGCTATTAATACACACAGTGCGGCAAACACTAAAGTCCCCGCGGCGTTTCGCATCCCAAACAGCGCTCGCGGCAACAAGTCGCAGCAGTGCCTTTGTGTGGAGCCGAGCTGACGAATACTGACACGGGCGGCGTCTTGGAATGGTGCGCGCGGCCGGGGCTGTGCAGCGCGCTGAGGAGGCCATGCTCCACACCGTTACGCCTCTCACCTCAGAGCACTCCACTCGCCGCTGGGCCACTACATAATACGCGCGCCGCAGGTACGGATGTGCTTTTCATCTTACATCTACATTACAAGAGGTGCCGCGCTGTTTGCCATTTCGTTATACTCTTACTTTCTTTCATCTGAAGACTGCGATCTGCTTTTGTCTCGTCACCTCGGTCATCATCATCCTTCGTTCAGGTGCTGGCGTCAGTCTTACTCTACCCCAGCTGACGGAAATCGAGATCACCATCGCTCCACTGTTATTACTGTCTTGTCTTATTCATAAGAGATCCATCGTTTGCTAGAAGATCCAAGCTTCATATCTTTAGCTCGTGGAATTCCACCACAAATCGCCACAATGCTCTACACAGCACTTCTCTCAAGCTTTGCTCTACTACCGCTGCTCTACTCAACCGCCTCCGCCGACACAGCTTGCAATAACTCGCCGTCGCTGTGTTCGAAGAACTACAACAACATCACCCACCTCGGCGCCCACGACTCGCCCTTCCTACGCGACAAGTCCACCGACTTCTCCGAAAGCGGCAACCAGTACTTTAACAGCACCGTGCAGCTCGATGCCGGCGTACGTCTCCTTACCGCCCAGGTCCACAAAGCAAACTCCACATCTGGCGACGCAGAATGGCACCTGTGCCATACCAGCTGCTCTTTACTTGACTCCGGGACTCTGGAATCGTGGCTCAGCAGCATCAAGAGTTGGCTCGACACCAACAAGAACGACGTCGTGACCATCCTACTCGTCAACTCCGACGACGCCGCTGCATCTGATCTAGGTCCCTCTTTCAAAGACTCCGGCATCTCCGACTACGCCTACACGCCCCCGTCCAGCTCCGCCGCGCCCACCTCATGGCCAACCCTCGAGAACCTGATCTCCAACAACACGCGCCTGATCACCTTCGTCGCCAGCCTCACCCCCGACACCGCGTACCCCTACCTCATGGACGAGTTCACCTTCGTCTTCGAGTCGGCCTTCGAAAACACCTCGCCCGCCAACTTCTCCTCCTGCCAGCCCAACCGGCCCTCCTCGGTCGCGAACCAGCCCTCCGAAGCGATCGACTCCGGCCGCATGTTCCTGATGAACCACTTCCTCGACTCGTCGGAGCTGTTCGGCATCGAGACGCCCAACGAGGACGCCGTCAACGTCACCAACGCCGCGACGGGGACGGGCAGCTTGGGAGCGCAGATGGAGGTGTGCGATAAGCTGTATGGGCGTGAGCCGACGTTTGTGCTCGTGGACTTTTTCAACGTGGGGCCCGCGATTGCGAGTGTGGATGCAGCGAATGGGGTGACGGATGCGGTAGGCCGGACGGCCGTGACGACGGCGAAGGTGGAGGATACCGGGAATTGGGGTGTGAGAGCGGGCGGGAAGGGGAGTGTGGGTGCTGTTGTGGTCGCGATGGTGGTGGCGGTGTGGTTTGGGGGGTTGTGAGAGCTCCCCTCGGACCTGATCGTGGATGAGTTATGATTTTCTTTCTTCTCCTTTTGGTGGGTTGGGTAAAATTGGTAAGGATGGGTGGCATCTTCATTCTTTTTTGGCGTACTTATTCTACTGCATTAGCGACGGCGTTTGGATCGGGCAGCGGCATCACGCTTCAAAAGATGGGACATCTCCATCAAAATTTGGATTTGGCATCTTGTTGCATCAAAGGAGGTTTGCTCTCCACAAATAGCATCATCTAGCATTGTCATCAACTTGACATCTACCCACGAGTTCATCACGCACGTGATATCCCTGTCTGGCACGTCTACTTCTGTCTTGATACAAGGGTATCACGGCAGAAGAACGGGTAGAGTCTTGGATAGGGTATTTGAATTGGCTCGTGCACATATACACGTGATATGACGGAGAATGCCGTGTGTATACAAAAAACGGGTGGGGGGGCATTCTCTTGTATTCTATGCACTTGTGGAACCTCAACGCTATTGGGGGGAATTGATAATATACATTCTCTGTCGATATACAGCCTCACGCATGAACTGAATGTAATATAATGCTGATTCTATGCGATTTTTGTATACACACGGCATTCTCCGTCATATCACGTGTATATGTGCACGAGCCAATTCAAATACCCTATCCAATTCAAATACCCTATCCAATTCAAATACCCTATCCAAGACTCTACTCATGGGTTTGAACCTGAATTGGACCTCATGTTCCAGGATTTGATGGCAGGCTTGGAGGACTTTCGGGCCGACATTTCGTAAGTCACGTGTGCACGGGTGGTCGCGTTTGACCGAGTGCGCCTTATGTTACATTACCTCAAGAAGCAAACATGAAGACTTTTACCCCTCGTCCTCGACACCAGAAGGATTCTTTCGATGAGATACTCTTCACGACGTCAAGATGGAGTCGCTGCTGCCCAACAGCTACGAACAGTACAAGAACGATACTTCAGTGTTCATGACATGGCTCGCACAAGCAGCACAGAGATGTGGATACGAACTCCCTGGAAAGGCCCGGAACAAAACGAAGCAACCCTCAGACGTCTATGAGAAAGGCTCACAGGCTTCAACAACCGAGCGGCATGCTCTTCCTGTCAAAGAGATATCGGTACAAGCAGAAGCTGTTGCCAACGCGAAGACGCCTCAAGTCAAGCCCCCGGCAAGCATTCTTCAAGCGGCTCAACGAGCGATCAATACGAGAACAAGATTCGCCGCCTGTTTCAGTGAGATGGGCATTGAGTTCCAGGCAGATGAAAGCCACAGACACTTCATTGGAGTCTTACAACATGCTTTAGATCTATTACGCGGATGGTATGTCCTTGCATGAACCAAAATCAGATTGAACCCCTCTACTTTCAGCCCCGGCTAACCTACTTTTGCAGTCTCAGCGATGGCCCGCGTAAACCCAAGGTTGCCCACGATTCTCCCAACGTACGCGACGATATCACCAATCGATTCGATGTCCTTGACGTGGAGGACTGCGATGATGCGGGGGACACAGCGACAGACTCCCAACACGATTCGTCCAAGGCCGTGTCACCAGACCAAAGCGGCACTCCAATCATCGTTCTGGATCTCAGTAGCGAAGTCGACATGCTCATCGACATGAAGACTCGAGCTTTTTGCTTTTTCGATGATCTACACTCTATGCAAGGACGGTTGCAAGAGGTGTGGAACGATTACAAGAACGGCACGATAGACCTGACAACTGCGGCAATGACCACCAATGCTGCCATTTCGCTGGTTGAGCAGGCGGAACGCGAGCTGGCCATGGCATGGCCGTCGCTGGAGCGGCTAAGAAGCGTAGCCCTTGGACAGTTTAACATTCTTCCCAAGGCGTCATATCAAGGCCTGGTATTGCAATTTCGACCTGAAATACACTCCTGTTGCACCATACCAGAGCTCGCCGATCCTACGGCATCTCTTAGCCCTCTTGGCGATTACATCTATGCCGATACCTGGTGGACTCTGATGAAGTACGCGAGGCAAAGCGAGGAGGAGTTCTCGGTTTGGCCACGTATTCCAAGCTTGCGCATGGCATATCAGGATTATTTTCTACTGTTCCCCGCTCCGAGGAGCTTCGAAGAAGTCATCCACCATGAGAAATTCCCGCGAAGAGAGCGGGAGGACGAGTGGCTCACTCAGCTGCTCATGGATACCTTGTACAACAAGCGTCTCACGGAAAGCTTCGTCTCGATGAAGTTCCCCCGACTCGATGTTATGGATGAGTTTTCACGAGCGATGAGCGCATTGGAAGAAGGCGAAACCATCACACTACGGTAAGTAAGCCGGTAAATGTCTTAGGAAGAAGAAAGCTAATCATATCTCCCTATATCAGCATGATCTTTGCAGCGACTATTATGAAGGATATCCACCGAGTACTCGGCCACAGTACAAGCCAAGCCTATTCGAAGCTTCAACAGATGGTGAAGCAGTGTCACGAAGCAGTGAAGGACTCGAACCCAGACCCAAGAGTGCGCCGTGGAACTGGACCTCACTGGCTGACAAACGATGTCAAGTTCATCACTGGCATCTTCGATTTCGTCAACTTCATAGACAACTGGGGCCTGTCGGGTGGCAAAGCGCACAGATTGCAAGATCTTGCACCCTCGCATTTCGACTATCCACTCGATGGTATCAAGGAAGGAATTCCTCTCGGCTTCGCACGGTTCATGGAAAGTTCAACGTGCGAGTTGAACGTTGAAAGCACTTCTCTGATGTGGGTATCTTTCGTCAAGAAATGCAACGAGAGCGGGATCTATTATGTCCGGCCTGCAAAGGACCTGGAATTTGCCTTCAAGGGCAACCCCCTCCTCTGCGGAACGATGGCGTTCAATTTCGCGATCTTGAAAGAGCAAGCCGGGGTCTCACTGGCGAACCATCACCTGTCCATCCTCCACACCACCCATCTCTACAACGCACTGCGCCAGAAGAGTCTTTTACAGGGCATTTGGCCGGATATCGAGCATTTGACCGACACGCACCTCAAGCCACTATTCTTCGGCGCGCGGCCGACCACGCCAGAAGACATCTTCAAACGGTTCCACCTGCGGCTAGGGTTTCCCGCCCATCTGCTCAAAGCCCTATCTGGATCCCGCACGGCGCCTCGGCAATGGGGCAACTATCTCGTCGAGGGGCGTGGCGGCGATGGCACTAACCAGGCCAAAAAGGGCCCCACGCCGTCGTGTCTGGCCATCAACACGTGCTCCGAGACCTTTGTGCAGTTCTTCGAAGGAGAGAGTAGTCTGATCCGCACTTTACACGCCGCGGACCGCCTCATGCGGAAGCACACGAAGAACACGAGCTTGGATCCTGGACAGTTCCTGGCACAATTTCCGGGGTGGATCGAGGAGACCATGGCTCCGTCGTCGATTGACTACATCGGCCTCACGCGGACTTGCAACGGGCTGCTCAAGTCTTTGCTGGATAGCGGGAAGATTGATATGCACACGCCCAAGCTGCGAAGGCCGGGAGTGGGCGCTGCGAACTCGAACAACCCGTTCCTGGTGCAGCTGACACACCAGATACTGTGGGAGGACAAGGAGAGGCAGCTCGCGGAGCCGGGGTTGAAGCGCAAGGGGCGGGTCATCTTGAACAAAAGCGATATTCAGATTGCGGGTGAGTTTGTGCAGGAGTGGCTGAAGGGGAGGAAGTTGCTGGAAACGGACCCGGTTACGTAGGATGGGAGTATTAAGCGGGAGTCTTGGGCGGACTGGACTGCTAAACCAGGTATATTAGAGCAGAGGTCGAGGAATTGGACATAAAAAGAGACAAAGCTTTTTGGTAGTCTCTTAGAATATATACAGATATTCAGGCTGCGGTGATGAGAGGCAAGTGAAAGTGCGTCTTAGACCCCCACCGCGGCTACTAATAGCTCTTAGACGACGATGAAGGCCCCGTCAAAGTATATATGCTTTTCATGTCATGAACATTAGGCCAAACTTCCGCCATGGCCAATGTTAGAATAACCACTCTCTTTTCACGCATTATAACACCGCACTCCAGAACGACCATGCACATGCAGTCGCGATACACATGGTTCTCGTTGTGCCGGAGAGCCTGCCTATCACCCGCCTAGCCAGCTCCCAACGGCGTAGATGCGGGGAGCAAACAAAGTCCAGATGCCTTGCGTAACAGCACGCCCCAGCCTGAGCTGTGGCTGTGCTGGGTGAGCGCATCCTGAGACGAGACTGAGCGCATCCTGAGCCAGGACTGAGCAGCTCGTTGGAATCCAGTTCTGGGCCTGGTATTCAACAGGCAGCATTGAGACTGGGGTCCTCACCCTGCTTTGGAAGGCCCATTTCTGGGCCCGTACGCCTGCCAGATTCTAGTTTCAGGGCCCCAATTCTCAAGTAAACCTACCCTCCAATGGTCAATTGTCCAAGGTTAATCTGCGCCACTTTACCATCCATGCAAGGATAGAGCCACGAGTGGCTAACAGGTTCCAACGTCGTCTAGGGGGTCCAAAGGCTATATCTTTGCCAAATAATCAAAGGCGTAATATACTATTTTTACAAAAGCTTTTAAATAAAATCTCTTTAATTTGCTATAGTATATATATATTCTATCTCTTTATCTCTATTATTATTATTATTATTATTATTATTATTATTATTAGGTTCTATTAGGCCGATTTAGCTCCCGTTAGGGT